ACTCCGTTTTTGAGAGATCCACTGGCCCGGACAGGGGAAGGAATAAATAGCCGCTTCAGGTGACCGTATCAGGCCACAGCCCCTAGCTTATTATCTATACGCGTATTAATTTATCGGGCCACTAAACGTTGGAGATATTTATTAGAACTTAGTCCAGCTGAAAGAGATGTCCAAGGCATCAGTGAGAGCAAAGAGTTTATTATCTATATCCAATAGTCTACCTTTTCTACCTCTGGAACGGAACCAAAGTTCTTTACATCCCTCAGCCTTACAACGTTTCACAGATCTGAAAAATGAGGAACCGAGACACCGGAAATGAATCCGAGGGAGCTAACATTCTGGAACCACCTGCTCGGGCCATGTAGCTGTTTCAGATGCCACGCCGCCCACTCTAGCTGTGGGCAGTTCGTATTCTTACCGCACAACATTCCAGATTGGCGGAACAATTGGCCTAGTTGTCGGCTCGAGAACTGCAATTTGCGAGATAGCTCAACACTGAGTCAAGAACACGAGTCAACAGCAAGCGCCTTTCCGTTATATATCTCCCTGGGAGTCGTAAATCAGTTTCTGTTCTGGCAGTATCGTTCATTCATTCATTTCCTAGTCCCTCGTTTCTCCTATTTGTATACGTTAATAAGGAATCTGGTATTCCTCTCACATTCGTTTTAAATACTTATTCTTAACGCATCTACAATGCGTCTCCTCGATGTTTTCGTCGCCGTCGTGGCATTTCTCCCCACCTCATTCGCCGCTCTCCCTACGCAAGCCGAAGGATTTGCCGCTGGTACCACTGGTGGAAAGGGCGGTCAGGTCGTACGCCCCAAGAACAACCAGGAGCTTACCAACTACCTGAAGGATAACACCGCTCGTATCATTTATCTGGAGCGAACCTTCGATTTCAAGGGATCTGAGGGTTCTGCGACTGAGACTGGCTGCGCGCCATGGGGTACAGGTACGCACTGCCAGCTTTCTATCAACAAGAACCAGTGGTGCAGCAACTACAATCCTGGTGCTCAGAAGGTCACCCTCAAGTATGACAAGGCTGGTCTGAACCCTCTTATGGTGGGCTCAAACAAGAGCATCATCGGCGTCGGTTCCAAGGGTGTCATCAAAGGAAAGGGTCTTCGTCTTGCCAATGGCGTCAAGAATGTTATCATCCAGAACATCCATATCACCGACCTCAACCCCAGCCTGGTCTGGGGCGGCGACGCTATCACGCTTGACGGCACTGACAACATCTGGATTGATCACTGTACTACATCCTTGATCGGTCGCCAGCATATTGTTCTTGGTACTGGAGCTAGCGGTCGCGTGTCTATCACGAACAACAAGATTGACGGCGTGAGCCCTTGGTCTGCAAGCTGCAACACTTATCACTACTGGGCCATCCTCTTCCTCGGAAAGAGCGACGTAAGTAACAAGGACGCCATATGTCACAGACAACTTACTAACATGCTTTAGTTGATCACCTTCAAGGGCAACTACATGTACCACGTTTCCGGCCGCGCTCCCAAGGTTTCCGGCAACACCCTCCTCCACGTCGTCAACAACTATTTTCACGACGTCTTCGACCATGCTTTCGAGATCGAGGAGAACGGCCAGGTTCTCGCTGAAGGAAACGCGTTCCAGAACGTCAAGAACCCCCTCAAGGCTGGTACCAAGGGCCGACTCTTCACTGTCCCTACTGCCAGATCTGCCAGCTCCTGCAGGGCCGCTCTTGGACGCGCGTGTCAGATGAATGCCTTTGGAAGCTCTGGTGCCTTCCCTGGCGACGACACTGGTTTCCTCGGTAGCTTCAAGGGCAAAACTATTGCTTCTGCTGCTAGTGCTCAGAGTGCTAAGAATGCCATGACAAAGGCTGGTTTCGGTCTTGCGTAAGTGCATAGTCAGTCTGTTGCTCGATGGTACTCTTCTCTCCTATATGGGCATTTTATCGTGTATAATTACATTGAAGGAAGGCAAAATGGTGGCTGTTTTGTTGTAAATATTGTTTTGTTATCTCTGATAAGGATATGCTGGTCCAGCCTGTAATCAACCTTGATAGTTTAACATCTTATAAATTACATCGCATTGGCCATTTTCATTATTATTACATAGTTTGAAACGCAGATAAATACGAAATATTAAAGAACTACATACTAGAGCCACAAGACTATCACCTAAAACTCACCATATAATGCATAAAATAACAAGATCTAATAAGTAAGCTAGTTATAGACATGTCTGAGGTTGTATTCTTTATATAACAGGCATGAAGCAGGAAGAAATGCGTGTCATCCAGTACACTCAATTTCTAATGCACTACGGAGTATTCACATCTTATTATTCTCAGAAACACCGTGTAATTTATTAATTAGAATAGCTATTCAGATTCCTAATTGTCAGGTCATAATCAGATCTGGGGCCTTAAATCTTCTAGTCGTTTCAGGAATCCCGGTTAATGGTTCAACCCCATAAATCGACCCCTTTCTTTGAGACATACGCGTATAGCTTCTAATTATTCCGTTGTGCGAGATTTTTCCACCGCTAGCACAGAGGTCTCATAATGAATACGCTTTTGGGGAGGCTGGTATACTTGTCTTGGAAATCAACTGTTATTAGACTTCTGGCTGTTGGCCTACACTTGAACCCTGAATTTAATGTAAATATCCTCTGGAAATTAGGCACGTTTTCTCTGTACCCTTAATTCCGGCTGGTTTCGAGTTGATGATCTCACACCGCGGCGTGCTCTCTATTGGAAACAAGACTACATGATTTCTCGGCTACAAGTAGACTGGCGCACCCTTATTTCTCTGGCATGGCAATTCCTCTATCTTTCAACTAGATTCCATAAATTCTATAACTTGCTAGTCACTTCCAATATGTGCGGCCTCAATCAGCTCTTTCTCGTCCTTTCGACTATTGCTGCTGTCGAAGCTTCGGGTAGTACCAATTGTCGCCACCGACGACCCAAGAATGTCAATTCGGAAGACACCTCAACAACAGTAGAAATAGAGACTACAGGACAATCGCAAATCATTATCTCGACCGTCCTTACTGTCCCGACTGAGACACCTCAAGTAACTGAGCCCGCCATTAATGCCGGGGCTGTCCAGCCTCGAGAGCAAGAAATATCAGGATACAACACAGCTTCATTGTCGACATCGCAGCAAACAAAGAGTACTACAGAGGCTCTCAAGGAGCCTACCAAGAAGTTCTGCGGCAAACCTAACGAATTCGAAGTCCTGTTTGGAACGCCCTGGATTGTATTCTCCATGAACTACAACTACCAGTCCATCAAAGGCTCTTCCTGCGTCGGCTACTATGACTACGAAGGGTCTGGCGACAACCAGACCATTCACTGGAGCGTCCTATGGGATATTGATCCCAATGTCGGCACGAATCTCGTCAAGGGCTACAACTTTATCGGTCTTACGGAGGGTCTCGAAACAAAGCTCAGTGACATCAAGAGCATTCCTTCAAAGTATGAGTGGACCACTAGCAAGACTGCTGATTATAAAGGTATGTGATTATGACACTGCTGCCTCTCTCTGCAGAATGTGTGAACATGCATGCTGACTGTCGGTGCTTAACAGGGAATGTTGTGTATGACTTTATGACCTGCGATACAAAGGGAGACTCAACCTCCAGCAACGCGCAGGAGCTCATGCTCTGGCTAAACTGGGAAGGTGGTCAGGTCCCCATTGGATGGGGTGAGGGACCTAGCGCTACGATTGATGGACTCTTTGGCAAAGACGGCTGGAAGTTGTACCAAGGTGTCAATGCTGATACTGGTATTACAGTCACCTCGCTCCTGTGCCCCGAAGATAGTCAGTTTGGTAACGAAGAGGGCGGTAGTTTTGAGGGTGATATTAAAGACTGGCTTGTAGCGCTGTCCAAAAAGGGCGTGTTCAAATCAGACACCTATGTGAATGTAGGAAATGCTGGCATGGAGCCTTACTACGGCAATGTCGACTTTGACAACTACCTGAGCCTTCGGATTAATGTCTAGATGGAAGTGTCAAAAATGGTTAAAATTTCATGTTTCTGTATCTTATTCTTCACCTAGAACCATGTGTCAAAACGTTCAGTTTGCACGTATGTAGGTTTGCTTGGCCTGTAAACAATTGCTTAAATGTTTTCATGTCATAGATACTAAAAAGGTTACTGAAGAACATTTATGAAAGTGCATTCTTGTAGACAACAAACGAAGAATGCTTAAGTGCATGATAGTTTAAACGACTGACGGAAGTGAGAGAAAATGAGTGACAAGACAGAAAAGGTTAAAATAAGTAAACAATCAAGCAGTTGAAAATCTGGGAAGCGTGCTTTTATTATTCTCCTAAAAATCGGAAATGAGCATGTTGCGCTAGTGGTATCAGTGCCCGGAGACAGTTAATAGTTTGTATTAGCAGGCGAGCTAGTGGATTTGGGCTATTGAACACCAACGCCATTGAAGGCTTCCATTTGATAGTTATCATACTTTACAGGCTAAGCTTTTACCTTTTACCAGGAAATCCAGCAAAGGCCCACAACTATACTAAAAAGAAAGCTGCGAGAATAGCATTTCTTATAGGAGTTGTCGCTGTTTTAATAAAGACCATTCTAGAGCTTAATGGCTAAAAGATTTAGCTTAGCTAGGGCTCTTCTAGAGGTCTTATTGCTGTTATTCTTGGCTTTGTAAAAGATGTTTATATATAGTAATACGTTTCGTTGATATATTGAGTTAAGATTTCAGGCAGCTTGGTGTATTATATAAGACTTATTCAATTGCTGTATCCTGCACTATAGGCAGTGCCCGAATAATTGGCAATAGTCTAATGCTGAGAAGGCGAATAAGAATAAATACGCAGCTTTGCTGCCTGACGAAACAAGTACATATAAGTATCACGTGGGTGAGTGGCGCGTGACAGTCCCAAGAGACCATAAGCAGCCACATCAGGTGATCGAGCCAGGCTTTGACCCCTCACTCGCATGCGTCCCAACTATCAAATTTGAACCTTAGATTACGAAATGTCGAAATGGCTGAAGTTGCTGGACTCGCGCTTGGCGTCCTAGGCCTCGCTGGTCTGATCGGCGCTTTTAAAGATACCATCGATGTTTTCAACACCGTTGTAGATATGCGCCATATGGGCCGTCATTATCAAGTCCTCGATATCAAGCTAGATATAGAAAAGGCCCTCCTCCTTCAGTGGGCGGATCGGGTGAAACTTCTTCAAGCTGATCACGACGTGCGACTGAATGAACCGAATACCCAAACCCTCGTTCTGCGGATCCTTGGTTCAGTTCGATCACTTTTAACGGACGCGGATCAGTTACAAAAGCGATATGGGTTGCGACTAGAATGTGACACTGAGACAGCGACCTTGCCTCCCATCTCGACCTCAATGGGTCTTGAGCCGGACTTTTCATATCTGCCCTCCAGACTATTGAGCGGACCGATTCCGCTCCAAAATGTGAGTTCCGACCAACAGCGAGATCAATCTCAGTCTGGCTGGAGGTTCAGTCAGAAGCGCATGAAGAGCTTTGTGAAACGGCTCGAAGCACTGCCAGTTCCGGAACAAGGTCGGGCGACCACAACATCTATTGCCCAAAAGACACGTTGGGTTATCAGGGATAAACAGAAGTTTGAGGTTCTCATCCAATATCTTGCCGAGCTGACGACCAAACTCGATCAGGTTGTCCCTCCGTCAAGTTCCGAAATTGCCCGCTCAATGATCCAGAGCGATATCGAGCTCATCAAAAAGGATGTCAGAAAGCTTTTGTTGTTTCAGGAAGCGGCAGGAAACCATACAGCTATAGCTCAATCAACAGAGGAGAATCTCGATATTATGCGCCAGGCTCGCATTTTGAACACACTATGGTTCAGGATGATAAATGATAGATCCGAAAGCATCTCAAAGAATCATCGGGACACCCTTCAATGGGCCATTGAAGGTTCAAATAACACCGAGTCCTGGCATGATCTCCCGTCTTGGCTTCTCAACGGCTCGGGCATCTACTGGGTCTCTGGGAAAGCCGGAAGTGGCAAGTCAACCCTGATGAAGTTTGTCTTTGGACACCAGCGAACCACGTCGATCCTATCTCAATGGGCTAACGGAGGCCGAGTTCTTACGTGTCATTACTTCTTCTCCAACTTGGGAACAGATCTCCAGAAGAGCCAGGCTGGACTCTCCCGTACATTGATTTATCAGATACTGGATAAAAACAGGTCACTGATTCAAGAAGCACTTCCTAATATGTGGAAAGAATTACTCGAAAGAGAGTCTAGCCTGCGAGAAAAGGATGTGGTCATGCATGAAAACATCACTTTACCTTCAGTAGCCGAGACCCGGCAAGCATTTGAACTTATCTCAGCAAATAGCGGCAGGATAGGACACATCTGCTTCTTCATCGATGGCCTTGATGAACTTGTTGGGGATTATCGTGATAGTATCGACTTCATTAGCAAGCTGGCTCATAACGAGCAGTCCAAAGTCGTCGTCTCCAGCAGGCCTATTCCGACCTGCGTCGCTGCCTTCCAAAAGCATCCTCAAATGAAACTGCAAGACCTCACGCGGCACGATATACAAGCATATGTTCAGTTCAAAGTTGGAAGCCATCCGTCTATGAAGCGATATATGAGACGGTATCCCGAAGAATCGGCCTCCTTACTCAATGAACTTGTTGACAAGTCTTTTGGAGTCTGGCTGTGGATAATACTGGCTTGTAGATCTATTTGTGGAGGTTTCGATGATCATGATCGCCTTTCAGAAATTCGTCGTCGCGTAGACGAACTCCCGCCAGAGCTTAAGGACATGTTCATGCATATGCTCAGCAAGGTTCACAGACGGCATCAAAGACAAGGAGCTCAATTGCTCAAGATCTGCTATACATATCAGAAGACCAAGTCACTGTTTCTCCAGAAAGGCTTATATGCGCTAGGCCTTGCACTTGTGGATGACTATAATACGCAGACTGTCTGCATTAAGAATCTTGACGCCGAGGAGAAGCTAGAAATATGCGAAGAACTTGAAGGTCGACTGAGGAGTCGGTGCTGGGGTTTACTGGAGTTTGCAGACTTTAAGCCTGCAACTTCGGGAAGAGACATAACGGAATCAAAGGTCATATTCATGCACCGAACTTTCTTCGAGTTTCTGAACGATCAAAATATATGGAAGCTTGACTGTCTACAAATACGAGACCTAAATTTCGAATCAGCTACAGCCTTATCACTCTATGGCGCACATATGGCTGTCCAGAAGCTTGGTGAATATAATGAAGTGGCGGCCATGGATCTACTCGAGGAGGGCCTTTGGTGGGGAGCTGAAGCCGATAAGCAGAGACCTAGTGACACCAACAACTGCTTCTTCCATCTTACGGCCTTTCTATCGCTTCTGTCAGAAAGAAGACCTTCGTGCGATACGCTCCAGCTCCAGCGACTTGCACAGGCATTAAACGCTGGTGAGCTGTCTGACTGCTCACATACGGACAAATGCCCACCTACCTCGTTACTACTCGCCGTTGAAGCGGCGCAACGAACTTTGTCAAAAACCACTCAAGTTTCACAACAACAAATCATGACTGTCAGCGCGGATGCAGGCCCCTTCTATACCATGCGCTCAGGAAACCATTCCTCAGTGACAAATTTAACGATCGTCCATCACTCTCACGTTTCAGCACCTCTCACATGGTGGAGATGCTTCTTCTGATGGGCTGTGACGCTACCGATCTCGCCACAATCGGTGGATGGGAAACAAGTCTTTGGTCTTTGTGGTTGGAGGAGCTGACAAGGCTCACGGCCTATACGCTTAACGAAGATGAGAAGGCTGTTCTTGCTAATATCTCTCAGATGTTTCGAGCAGCAAATCAGAATTTTAGACCAGAAGGATTTGATGATATGATTATTGACTGGCCTGGTGTTGCCTATTAGAGATACATTATGCCCCCTGTCATATAAATCCAGCACACTGATTAGCGCTAAGTAACTTCTTTTGAAACCATGGGATGACTGCGGCATATAAGGTAAAGCTTTAGGCTGGGAACACAGGTGATGCAATGCTTTGTATTAACGACCAAGTATCATCAACAGTCGACCGCCTACTCTTCACCTTAAGCGGCCAGCCCGAGCTCCGATCTTGTCGCTATAGTGTATAGGGTCGCTGTTTATAAAGTCAGACAGTTCGGTATGCTAGCCTCGACTAATCTCAGCGGTGATGAACGTTCCCCTGATGTGAGACAAGTCAAGGGCAAGCAAGGATGGACTGTCGAGTAGCATGTCGTCAGTTGACGCTAAAAGTTCAACTGAAACAATAGTGGGTCCGTGCCTGTGAAGAGGAGATCAGCGGCTCTGTAGGTCCGAAACCCGAATCCGTAAATGTTAACAGCCAATTGATTCCTGGAGCAATAAACTGTATTATTTTAAGCAACAAGACTAAGTACACTTCTCTAATATATAACCATTCCCTTGATGCTTCTACAGTAGCAAATTATTATCTATCTACACAGCTATTATTTCTTAATACTTCCTTTTCTTGCGTACCTTATTTTAGCTTCTCTACCTGTCTCAGCTCTAGTCAACCCCTCCTCCATCGCCATCATACCCGGAAACAATCGCCAGAAAATGGCAAATAACACCCGAACGCCCGAAGGCTATGCCCCTTTCGATTTGTACCCTTACAACCCATCTCAAGGCCCAGCATATGCCTTCTTAGGCCTTTTCGGAGCGGCGGGCATTGCTCACTTCATCATGATGTTTCCCTATCGATCAGCCTTCCCGATCCCCATGATAATCGGGTGCGGCAGTACGTGGCCTACCTACCCATATCTGTGTTGTTCCATTTAGCTGATACTGTTTCTAGTGGAGGCCACCGCGTATTGGTTCCGCTCACGATCTCACAACAACTTGCGACAGACGCTGCCATTTCTAATTCAAAACCTACTCGTCCTTGTAGCCCCGCCATTCCTCGCTGCCACGATCTACATGTCCCTCGGCCGGATTACGAGAGCTCTCAAAGCACAAGAAGTTTCGCTGATAAGTCTACGATGGATCACCAAGTTGTTCGTTCTGGTTGATCTGATCTGCTTTGTTACGCAGACTGCCGGTGCCATTATGTCAGGCAGTGAAGATGTGGACGAGGCAAAGCGAGGCCAAACTATCATCATCGGCGGATTAGTTCTCCAGATCCTTGCATTTGCCCTATTCATAATCTGCACTCTCACTTTGCAGCTCAGAATTCGAGCGAGTCCCCCAGTGCACTGTGTTGCTGGTGTTATTGCGCACTATCGTCGATATTTCATTGCACTCTACTGCACCAGCGGCTTGTTCTTGGTCCGTAATGTGGTCAGAATTATTGAGTATAGACAAGGTGACGATGGTCCGCTGTTATCGAATGAAGCATTTCTTTATGTTTTCGATTGTTGCTTTATGTTGGCAATTATATTAATTGTCCTCATACTGCATCCAGGGCAGTTAATTCTAAAAGCTCGGCGGTTAGATGTATTGAAGGAGGATTTACCATTAGTATCAAGGTCATGACCTGAAAGAAAGGCTTATCCACTCCAATTTAGATTTACTTATCCCAATAACGGATTCAACACGAACAGGTAATTTAAGATACGCTTTATAAATGTAGAGTCTAGGAATTGTATACGTGTCTATCTTAATCATATCCCTTTGTAATATTATAACCGTTTTGCGCTGACATCCGCACCTTAATTTTCACCTCATAAGCGCCCAGGCTCAGGTCAAATGGAAAGTTCCGTCTCTTGAGTCATGGCGAGCTAGCAGTGGGCCGCCCTTGAACTCCCTGGCCAGTCATAAGTTTACGCATCGTATGCGCAAACGCTAACCCTGGCGAATCCGTGCCACCCGAAATGCCCTTGCGAGATTGCGGCAAGACCTCTCCATCTACCAGCTTTCGAATCTCTCATCAAAAAGTTCCCAACAAACCAATCTACGTTAGCACGAGGGAGAACTGCAGTCTCAAGCCCAGCCGATGAGAGACTAGGCACTTTTTCGCCACCTAACCGCCGTCCCCGGTACGAGTATGCGTAAACCACACAGAAAGTCTCGGCTGGGCTGCCAAACATGCAAAAGACGAAAGATTAAGGTTAGTCGTGTCCTACTGATTGTATCTGAATCCGATTTCCTGTATCTATAAAGCTATACCGTGCTATAGTACGTTAGTCTGATCCTGCTGACTTATCAAGTGCGACGAAGTCAAACCGCAATGCGGGAAATGCGTTCAGTTTGGCGTATGGTGCGATTTCTCTCCTCTGCCGCTAGGTCCCCAGCCTTCTCTCAGTCAACAGCCTGACAATCAGTCCCGGCGCCCGGGCCGTCCCAGATCGGATTGGACGTCATGGGCCGAGCAGATCCGGGTTCACGCAGCCGAGTCTGCTACACCAACTCTGAGTACAAATATGATGGATCTTGAGCTCTTTCACACCTACATGACGAGAACTGCAAGTACTCTTGGTGGCGGCAGCGGTTCCGGAACCCTTCTTTGGTCTGAAGGTGCGCCTCGAGTGGGATTTCAACACAATTGCATACTCAAGCTCATACTCTCGTTGTCAGCATTTCATGTAGCGCGGATCAAACCTGTTGACGAGCAGCGATATTCACTGATTGCGGAAACGCATTTAACTGCCGCGTTGCAGCCAGCGATGATTTTGATCAGCAATCTTGGTGGAGATAACGGCCCAGCTGCGTATCTGACATCTGTCTTGATATGCTTCATTGCTCTCGCCAAGGGTCCAAGTCCCGGGAATCTTCTCTTAACCAACATTGAAGGACAAGTTTCGTGGCTTCATCTCCTTAGGGGCGTTCGTTTGGTTGTCGAGTCCGCTGGCTGGTCTTCGATATTCTCGGGTACGCTGGCACAGTATGCTCCGCTACCTAGCGGCGATACACTAGAGCACACCGCAGCAACTAACCCAAACTTGATGGCTGACGGCATCGAAGACTGGCGGTCCTCTTTGAACAGAATCTCTAATCTGATAGCTCAGTTAGCAGAAGAGAATATGGACAACCTTTACGATCGTGAGCTCGAGGCGCTTACTGCCTGTTTTGAGAGGACATTTTGCAGAGGGCAAGACGCCGCCTTGGATACAGTGGGTAGGCTTCAGGATGTCATAGGCTGGGTCTACCGGCTTGGAGATGAGTACATGGGAGGGCTGCGCCAGATAGACCTCATCTCAACAGTCATTTTGGGACATTTTTGCGTCTTACTTCGGACAGTTGAGGCTCAATATTGGTTCATGCACGGATGGGCAGCACATGTCATAGGAGAGATTCTCGTTATTTCTCCCAATGCTCGACAGTGGCTTTCATGGCCAATTGCATACCTGAACCCGGAAGACCAGTAATGATACCTAGATTCGGGGCGAGTTACAACGAGCGGTGTCCCCTTCATAACTATTGATGCCATTTCATGTTCTATGCGATGGCCATGGCGAGCCTTTTGGGGGGGGCGAGGATCTAGAGTGTAAATATAGGTAGATAAGTCTGGTAATAATGTCTATGTAGTCTATGTTTGTGCCTTACTTAGGCCCAGTGCCCATGGCAGTCATCAAGATGAGGGAAACTTGATTACGCAGAGACTCTTGAAGCCACCCTGGCAGTCCTCGGATTAGGGAAGTCCACCACAAGTTAGAAGGTACAAGGATCTGTGCACCATAGCCAGAATAGACCTGGTCGCAAATTCTATCTGCCACAACTTCAGCTGGCGTGACAGTGTCCTTCAGCTTTCCGTTTGCAACCATCTCTGCTGTCATAGCCGTCCTAATCCATGAGGGATGTACAACACTTTTAAGCGTCAGGAGGCGTTTACATGTGTGACGGAGGGGAAGCAACTGACCTAGTGCGAACACGAGGGGCCTTGTAGATATATCTCAGCTCCTGGCCAAGGCCTTCGTGGAAAGCCAGTAGGCCGACCTTGGTGGAGCCATAGGCCACATTCGTTGCTTGCGTGGCGAAAGATGCTTGGCTAGCAATGTTGACAATGTGACCGTGATCCCGCTTAATCATGCTGGGGAGGAACTGCTTGGTGAGGAGGTAGGGGGCGAGGAGGTTTACGTCAAAGATATTCTTGAAGTAAGAGTCCGGCAAGTCTAGTATAGCTTTTAATTCTGCAAATCCGGCATTGTTGATCAGAACGGTCGGGTTGCCGTGGTCTTCTCTGATTTGATCCGCAACCGATGATATGGCTTCCGAATCCGAGAGGTTGATCTTGTAGAAGTATGTATTTGTGGCTAAATAACGTCAGGTGTCTGTTGACAACACATCACTTGCGGCGTAATAAATGCATCGTGAACTAACGGGACTTACCCAACTTGGTAGTAGGAGGGTCCCGATCCAGGATCAAGACCTTGACGCCCTTTTCAGCAAACCTTGAAACTATGGCAGCTCCAATTCCATTGCTTCCTCCGGTAACAACCACAATTTCGCGGCTCCAATCCCATGAAGGGTCGCTAACATAATTGTTGACCTTCCTCCTCGTATACCACGCATTCAAGTACCCCAACGACTTTAGGGCGAGGAAGATTCCAGCAGCGACTTGAACTTTTGGGTTTTTAGCCAGCTCAATGGCTTTGGACAAGACCTGTTGTTGTTGATACATGACTAACAAGGACTGCACGAGGCGTTATCTTTCTCGATAAAGACACAGTCCCAGATTAATATTAATACATAAGCAAGAAAAATAGCACGTGGGGAGTAAAGCGATACTTTTCGACAGAGCCAATATATAGATATGCATATTATCGGAAGCTGGGCACTTGAGGATAAGATCCGAAACTCTCAGCCTTTGCCTAACTTGCGTTATGCCACCTTGATTTTCCAAGGAACCGACAAGCTACGACCGAGGTACAGCGATTTGCAATACGTGCCGGTATAAAATAAAGTATCTGCTTTGTCGCTCTCGTTTAGTGGATTGAGACTTTAGTGCGTTTCTCCGCCATGACAGATCTGACTTTGTGGGGCTGTGCCGAGGGTATGCCGAGGGACTACTCCCGAACCAAGGGACATCTAGCCGACTGTGGAAGTAAGGTGCACTATAGCCTTGGTCAAATCAAACTTGAGTTGTTGCAGCACCAGGCTACCCAGTCAGTTGCATGGCTTTCAACCTGCCGCTCGGAAGGGCCCGTTGCTTATGAAGTCTGACTCTCTGTTCCCATGATCTGAAACACCCAATAATCCGAATCCATAACTCTTAAAAGCAAATTGATTTGCAGAGATACTCTGTTCCTTTCTTATCAATAAGTGATGTCTCATCCTAAACTAGAAGGCCATCAGGAATTTATCAATACATAAAGCGTTCCCTCGGCATGATAACGGTCAGCTGCATGGGACAATATGTACTATTATTAATATCAAATTCCAAATTAACCTGATATCATCCAGACGCGATGGTTAATGGCAACTCTACTGCGGATACTGTCGGTTTACTAATTTCGATTTCATTATACTATGTTTCCCACTATATAGATCTGCCTGTAAGATGCCGTCCTATATTTATGTCCTCCCAATGTCGATACCACATTGGTATTTGATCATCGGCATAATCCCATGATTGTGGCAATTCGAACGCTTGGGGGATTGAGACCTCTGAGACGATTGGAACTGATGCCGGGGGTTGAATGGGTCGATCTCTCGGGTCTAATCTGTACACTTCCAACCAGGCCCAACGTAGCGCTCGTTGGCTCACAAAGTCGCGCCATTCTGAAGAAGTGATGATGTAAAAGTAGCGCAGAGCAGGAGACGACAACTCATTTGCTTTGATTTGTAAGAAGGACCGCCTTTGTGTGATGTTTGATGAATGACTCTGCCAGGACTGATTCTGCCCAAACAGGTGAAGTCCTTGATTATGCCTGAACCCGGTTGTGCCTGCATTGGACTGCAAGCCATCTCCGGAAATCTCAAACTGAGAAAATTCAATTACATAATCTGGGACTGCTCGGGTTAGAACGGAGTTGGTATCCAGGGCAATCACTAGGCTAGAGCTATCACCAACCCGCCGAACAGGAAGGAAGCCCTGAAGTTTTTCTCCGACATGGTCGGGCCATATGATATCTCGATTTGTCCAGCCATGGGGAGAAAGTTCGCTCAGTTCCAAGCCGAAATCATCATCCAAAGGTCGAAGGGGATAAAACTCATGCTTGACAAGGGTTTGGCGAGGGAAGACACAATATGCCTTGCTCCAAGTGATGAAATTGACCACCGTTGTTGTTGATGAAGAAGTGAGGATGGTTTTAATAGGTAGCCCAGTTGTTCGCGTGACACGGACTTGGATATTCGGCCGTGAAAGTCTACTATAGACTCTACGTCTTGGAATCTGCTCCGAACTTAGCTAGAACTGTACATGAACCATGGAATCTTGACATTGACTTCTCACCATGTCGACTTCAGAATCGTTCTTGTAATCTTCCGTTGTTTGCAAATAATCCGTGAATCGATCGGCATCGACACCTTCCTTGACGAAGATGTCCAACCTTGAGACCCTGTTACTGCTTAATTGGAAGAAATTGAGGGCAAAGGGTCCTGCGATCACTGCATTGTAGTGTCCCAACTGGGCTCGAAACGTTGTAGCGTCGATCACAAATTCCTTGAGTGCAGCGTTAATCCCGCAAATCAAGCTGAGAATATGGCTTTTTATTCTGTAAAGTTGCTTGCATACTCGGAATAAAGTAAAGAAGTCCGGAATAGTCAAGAAAGAACAAAGCACCTCCAGAAGTGTAGGCTGAAGAAGCATTCCGACCAACCGTGGTTGGTGCTGCGATAGGGTATCTAAGTCTGTCATCAGTAGTTTGGTCTGTCCGCCACGAGTCGATAAGTTGGAGATAACCCGAATAAAATTTGTTGTACAAAACTTAAATCAATCTAATGCGAAATCTACGCCAGGAGCATGGCAATTGACAGGTTTCATCACATGCCGTCAATGGGCAGTTGGGCATCAAGTTAGTGCCTAACTTCTGTACCCAACTGTGAAAACAAAACAACGTGCAGTTCCAAGATGCAGTAGCCCATGCATGATTGGTAGAGTCTGTCGCTAGCTGCCGGCTTGAGATTCATATAGCCCGTTGGTCGAGTCCATGCATGAATCTTCCTTTTCATATATCATTGTTGTATTGGGTACTCAGTAGGTGCAACTGGCCCAGACCTGCTACGACTCCTTTGATCGCGAGTGAGAAAAGAGAAGAGCAACATTTTGAAGAGCTAGTCAATTCTTTGCATACTCTACGGTTGAACACTTTCTGATTCACATTCTCTACTTGTCATGCGGTGCGGGACGGGCTGTTCATTTCCGCCTTCCAGCTCTCCGCTACTGACTCTTGGCGTCCGGCCAGGTGATAGCTGACAGGTGCTGTGAAGATGTCGCAAGACCAAAAGTGAAAAGCCCTCTTCAAGGGTCTTGGCGTATCAATTTAGCCCTATAGGCCTGCACCCTTTAACAGGTCCCAAGTGGTTCTTAGCCCTGCAAATCTTGTGATCCGGCCCTGCACAGCACTTACTGAACTTGCAGAACTCGCACACCACAATCTAGGTATAATAACAGAAGCTGGGATAGCCCAGACCGTTGATTGGTCATCTGGGGGTTGAAAATGTACAGCCTGCTTTCCGTGCCCGACGTACCCGACGTGGCCGTACCGCCAGCACCATAATAGTGCAACTGCGATAAGTTTGAGGGATCAGAATAGATAACAAAGAGAATCCATCCACGCCACGCCAGACTTTGCCAGAATATAGGCCAATGTTGGCGATATACTGCATCAAGGCCTTGACTAAACGAGTTTGATATCGCGAGATTGACTTTTTCAGCTCCCCACTGTTAGCGTAAAATAAGTGACGGGCGCTACATAAGTCACAGTCGCATTCATCAACCCCTGTCATCAACCTTGTCACTTACGATTGTCAGCCTAACCCCGCTTAGGGGGCACAGGTGATGTGGAATGACGGCGGCTAAAGCCAAATACGAGTTGAAGCTGAATCTTCGTCTTGCCCCTCGTCACATAGTCCTCAAACCCAATCAGTTACGCAACAATACTCATATTGGCACCTGTGGGCAATGGCTGAGAACATGCAGGTTGGGAGGCTAGACCTCGCCAGCCGAACCATTGACTTGACAACGGTTTTGCTTCGGGCAACCTCGTCGTCCGGGTCCCTGCTCAAAGGCGCCTGGGAGATTGGGCAGTGGCTCGGCCGCGAAAGGCTGAACCAGTACGAGCTTCTCGACTGCATGGAGAAGGCCAAGGGCTTCGCGTTTGCGAACCAGAGCGGTCAGCAGTTCTTCGACAAGATCATACAAGGACTCGAGACCTTCCCGGTTCGTCCATTATTCCTGCAGCAGTCAGGGTCGCTGGGCCGACTGATGGCCGGGGATCCGAGCCTGAGCTGGATCGTGTCGACGGTGGCATGCCTCTTCCAGCACCACAGAGATGACATGCTCGTGACCGACACAGTGACGGCGTGCATCATGGAGTCTCACCGCCTGAGAGAGCAAGAGCACGATGTCGTGACTCGAGACACATTCATGTATAACCCAGAACATACAAGAGTGAGAGCAGTGGTGCGCAAGATTGTCTCAAGCGTGTGGTACAACGTCGTCAACGTTGGCTGCGACACGGTCCCGCTGCCCGACGAGCTCCTGGCCGTCTGTTCACGAGGCCACTACCTCGACCCTGGCGACTTCGGCATCGTTGTCAACACCATATATGCTCGATGCCCGTCCAAAGCCATCCTGCGAACAACTCATCTTCTGCGCGATGTCATGCTGTGGCTTCTCTTGCACTACGATGGCGCGATCGTCGTCAATGTCGGAGGTCATATCGTCTACCGCGCGGACTTCGGCAACCCTCTGCGCGAGCTCGAGGTCAACGTCGCTTCGCCCTGTCCCCAAGAAGGTGACTGTGGCGGCGTGGGCCAGGCGTCGTACCAAATCCTCCGCCACGTTTCAGGAAAATTTGAAGATTTTCTGACAGGCTATATTTCTTCCGACTTTGATGACTCACTGCCGCAACCGGGAATCCGGCAGAGGTTGTACGAGATTCCTCGGCTATATCCCAGGGCTAGTCCCATGTGGAACGAGAGTGTGCAGATATTGATCAAGTGCACAGCGCAGTCTATAATGCGGTGGTTGCTAGGCGTGCCGCTGTCCCCCCAAACAGATTCCCCGGGGTTTAGTGCCGAGCCGCTCCGACAGGCCGCCGAAGGCGAAATGACAGTCTCCCTAGCGCTAGGAAACGTGCCATCAATCATCAGCTTACAATGGGGCAGCTCGCCCGGTCCTCACGTCACCTTCAAGAGCCCGGCAGAAGTTCATTCTATCCTTAGCGACTATTCTAAATTGGGGAACGGCGGCTTTACGGGCTACCGGTTGACCTACCTGCTCGAATTCTTCCCAATTCTCAAGGACATGGCATCTAAACTGGGTGCAGAATGCCAGTGTTCAGAATGCTCATTAGTGAAAAGGGGGTCTGTGGCGAGCACTCTTAGGCCAGGCTGTCTTCGTCGCCTAGCCGTGGAAGAAGCTCTCTTGCTCCTAGCTCACGGTGTCGCGGATGGGTTCTGCGTCGACACTGCATCCTCTGTTTCTGATACTACCGATATTGTCGAAGGAATGGCTACTCTGCTCTTGGAACTTATCGAAGACAGAAAGGTCATGTGGAATACCTGGTTCACCGTAGCATCGTGTGTTTACCTGGGTTGCCCATTCCAGAAACCCGTGGAACCGACACACCCAGCCTTCGGCGGGACGGCATTTGCGGCGATTCAGTACGGAGATTTGGCGGCGCAGGCACCCTGGCTGGACTTGACTCGCGAGCTCTCCGTGCATGGATGCTTCCGCATTGTGGGATCGAGGGGCCGACTTGGGGTGGTGACGCGGAGGCATGAAGACGTACAGTTTCGGAGCGTCGAGGAGAACTTTGCGATTATCGAAACTGAGAACACAGAGGACACGTCCCACTTCTGTTCCCGCTACAAAAAGGCAGCGTCACTTATTGACCATGGTCTGAGAGTAGACGAGGATAAAACGTCAGTGAAATCTGATGTGATTCTTTGCCAGATAGACGAGAAATTCTATCGTCTCTCATTTCGCATCCAGACCAAGAGCCATTGGCGAATCGTGGACCCAAGCGATGCCTTGAGCGCCACAATTAGAACTGGCTCTTCAGCCATCTGTCAGCACAACGGCCAGCCTCCCGAGATCGTACCCCTGAACGCAAAGATCTACACAATGGACGAAGTCGTTGGACGATGGCCAGACGTTGTCCGGAGTTCCGTTGGGACTACAGGTAGCGGCCGTGCCACAAATAGCGGTATATTCCACCTGACACATGTCCTCGACACTCATCTGAAAAGGAATATCGCCCTCGCTCTATCCGTTTGCCCAGTTGCTGTACCAAATTACCCAGATATCGCTTGCACTACATGTACGCTCGAACACGCGGGAAAGGTGGAACGGAAGCCCTACCGGGAGGGCGAGGGAGGGGATCCGGCAGATCGCTATGTCATCAATCTCATTAAGGACCTAGCGGGGCAAGATGTTCCATTTGGGCGTAGGTTGATAGTGGCAAAATGACCATCCGAGAGTTGGAAGAGTTGTTCAAAGATATAAGTGATATGTTAAGGCTATAAAATCATACTGTACTATTGTGAACATAAACGAATATTTCAAAACAATGTATACTTCATTCTGATAACAGACAATTAAGGGCTGTAGTAGTACGTTAAGGTTTTATGGCTAATAAATATGAAATAGATGCTCTCTGTTGATACAATACCACCATATCAAGAGCCACGGCAAATCTTGTCCTGATCCATACGATCGTTCCATCTGCTTCTCACACAGCTCCCTTCTGCCACCATCTTCCCCCAGATTCCTGGCTATTGGCCACAGGCCTCCCTTTACTCCTTTCTCTGCTCAGGGGTTGATCGGTCGCTGTACCCATGTATCATCATGCCCGTATAAGAACCACGGAAAAAGACTCCGTGATGACTGCACGGCCATTAACACCCCCCACTGTGACGGGAATAGTAGCTTGGTAGGCAAACCTGCCAGCACCAAATTTTGTGCCTTTCTACATCCTCATCCGGACAAGGAAGAGATTAATGACCGAGTGCTGATAACTTAATGTGACTGCAGTATCCTGTTAATCCCATTCTCCAATGTTGACAGAGTCTAGTTCACACATCTCAAGTCTGGATGGTGATCCATATTCCCACGATCTTGGAGAGGTTGTTCTTACTACTCGTGGCGATGTGAACAGCCAAACTCACTAGCCAGTCACAGCCAATACCGCTCGCGAAGTGGAGGTTTCGGAACCGCTATTTGACGTTGACTCTGTCTTCAGCTCTCTCGATAGCGTAAGGCGACATCTTGTCTGAGTTCAGCGTCCAAGCTTGATTTTGGCGGTGCCTATTTAGGTCATGAGTTGACAGGTCTCTTGCAGACAATGGACGTCGCTCTTTTCTATCTATAAATACGGCTGAAGCCCACCGCCTGAATCCATGCTATCCGACTGCACGCTCATTCTTCAGAGAAGGAATAGCAAATAAATAAGTATTGTTTTAGCGCCTCAAACGCGTCTATGATGACATAGCCACTTACGTCATGACACCATTCGTCACACTGTTCCGGATGATTGGTGTTTCATTCAATGACGTGAATTATCAGTACTATAGTTGTTGAAGGTAAAAACACAGTTGTCTTTTGACAAATAATAACATGATTGCATCTTGACGTAGTCATGGGTCATGATGTAATACAACCCCATCTAGATTTTACCTCGCGCTATCACAACTCTCTATAATCTACTTTAGCTACTATACATTGATGCGATGACGCCAGACCAACTGCTCCTCACGAGCACTATAAGTCGAAGCCCCAAGAATAGCCCTCATCTGCTGCACACTCGTAAATAAAATCGGACGCGCGATGAAAAAGCGAATACCCTCGGTGCAAGGAGGACTCGTCAAGCTTCCCTCATAAGTCCAAAACTCATCAAAGTAATCAACACTCTCCAGAAGCAGCCTATGATTTAGAGTAGTCTCTTCGCTGACGTCCGTCTCGTTGAAACCAATCATCTTTGGGAGTTGGGCGAAAAAGCTGTTCGCCTTGTTACCTGGGTCGAGACGAATAGCTAGGACAGCGCGTTCTTTGCCCTGCGCGTTGACGTGGACGAGATGAAGCTCGGCTCTGGAGCGGTGGCGCTCGACTGTGTGGTCGGCGGGGGCGTGGATGTGCCAGCCTTTGAGGTAAACAGTCTCGTTGTCAAAGCTGAAAGAGGGGTTCTGAGTCCAGATCTGGTCGTCGTTCTGGACGGTGAATGCAGGTCCGTAGCCCCAATTGAAGAAGTTGCCCGTGATCTCGTCTGGATAATTCCACTCTTTGATCAGATGTTCCAGTGAGAGACCTTGCTTGAGGGCGATGGGGATAGGGGACTGTTGGGTGCCATCTTGGCAAAGATGGTAGTCTAGATGGTGTCAGTCACTGTCTGTCAGAACCCTCTATCAGATGAACGTACCAGGGTTGAGACGACCCCAATTGTAAGAAGCTTCATAAGCCCAGTCCGTTTTTCCAGGCTCGGCGCGAGGGTCAATGTGTCGCTTCTTGTGCTTGAGGGAGTAGTGATTGTTATGCTTCGCGCAGGACAAGACGCTGGTGACATACGTCGCCACTGCGAAAAGCTGAGAGACACGCATTGTGATGATGAGATAGGGAATAAGCAAGAGAGAATTTTGAAGAGCTGATTGATGAGAACGTTGAGATGTCGCGCTCGTGTGCAATTTTATATCTGATTGCGAAGGACATGAAAGAGGCAGAATACAGTCTAGCGCGCAATAATGTCACTGCCAAGACAAAAGCGAGGCGCAAGATACCACAGACCACGGAGGCTTGGACCCCCGCAGCAACCCAATTGACTTTACAAACTCTATCTCGAAGCCTATCGATAAACAAGATCCAAGTTTTTACCCTGTCATTCACATTTCTTTCTCAATGAATTACCAATAATTGCTTGGTGACGTTTGTGAAACTTTCCTTTCATGGCCCATGTGGACGTTCCAGGCACAGCCCGCGCTAAGAAATGGGATTCTCCATGGGGTAATGCACTAAAGAATTAGGCTTTACAATGGTGTGTCTTGGCGCTGGCGGTCTAGAATCATCCTTGAATCTCCTAAACAGCGAGAGATAAGGAATAATGCGTGCTTAGCCAATGCTATTTGCAACTATCTTGAGCCTTGTGTTTGGTCCAGACTGGTCGCATCACTAGTCAGTCGTTTTCACTCATGATTCCCGCTTGGAATCTTCCGCAGTCGTATAGGGATCTTTGAGATATTGCATCCTTCCTGGTTTCAGGGTAGCATCCAAAGACACAGCCTTGGATTAACGGTTTAAGGTTTCGGCATCTCGTTATATAGATTGCCGAAGCTTCCGAATCTGGCTTTGTCTCCGAGGAAATGAGGTTTTGCATCTCATGTCCTGATTTCAATTGGCACATTCGTCTAAGCTGTCATAAAGCCAATAAACATGGTGCAAGCATCTTGGAAAGCCGTTTTGTCTACCCGAGACAGGCAGCTGTGGAATGTTACTGGGGACATGAGATTGGCTCACCGTTCTGAGCCTTGGGCGCAGCTTCTTGGCGCATGAGATCAAACAAAACTAAGAAACGCAAAGACGATGGCTTTTCGTGCAGAAATATTTGCCGTCTTGGCAACGGTATAAGCCACAAGCAACGTCATTTCTTCAGACGAGAGGAAATAGTAGGTGAGCATGATGAACCCGCACTAGCTAGTCGCGGTTTAGGGTCCTGTGGAGTCAAGGATTCAACTTGAGAGTGAGAGTGTGTGCACGCTAGGAACCATGTTCTGCTCGTCCCGTGACCAATAAAGGGAAGTTCCAGTTGGTATTATAATACAAAATTGTCAGAATAACAGCGGTCCGACAGTATTATGAGAAATCGCCTTTAGATAATTTACAATTAAGCTGTTTTGGGACTAAATGAATCTTTCGATTTTCCGCGCTTACCCTAGAGACTGACAATGATGATTATCGGTAAGAAAAATGCCATTAGCCCTACTCCGTAGTCTGCTAAAGATCCCTAGACTCAGCATTCTGTTGCGCTTCAGGCTCCTGCCTAGCCCTAGAGTTAAATAAGTCTCTATCATCAATATCTTCATTAACTCCGTAATCTTCATAGTCCTCCTCTCCATATTCATCCTCCTCTTCATCTTCCTCTTCATCTTCATCGTCTTCCTCCTCTATATCGTCATCGTCATAATCTTCTTCTCCCTTATCCGTTCCTTCGTCATCATCCTCTTCATCGTCATATCCATCGTCATATCCATCTTTGAGCTCCTCTTCGCTCTTGGTCTGGAGCTTCTCGTCTATTATCTGATCGTCTGACTGCAAGTGCCGTATGGGCTTTTGCATCCTATTGTTGGGATCTACAGGCTGTGGACTAAGAACCTGATGCTCTTGTGTTGCAAAGACAGCAGTTCCACCCTTACAGCAACCGTGTTGAACAAGACCGTCATCAGTAAGCTTGATGAGAAGAAGCTCGCAGTGTCCAGGCTCGTTGGTTGTCAATTCTTCCGGATCTTGGTTCGTGCTGCCTATGCTTGTCGGGGGACGGATAGCGACGTAGGAAATTTGGCAGTCAAAAGGTCCTGGCCCATCAACATGGATGAGAGAGCCATCGGCCGTTTTGCAGTGAAGACGGGAAATATGCTGATTTGGAAGAAGACTAGGACATCGTATTTGGTTTTCTGGACCTCCTGTGGACTTAGAAAGTACAGGTAAGATATCGAGGGCAATGAGTACAACGATGTTTGTCTTCATGATGGGCAATAGAGAAGGATGAAAAGTTGGATGTGGAGTGAAAAGCTGCAGGCCTTCTGGAAATAGAGTGTTTGTCTGGGCTGATGGCTCTCTTTGAGTTGGCGACAGCAATTGAATGGATCTCTTGATAGCGAAGTCTTCCCGTTAGAAAGGAAAAGGCAAGAATGCGGGGTCAGTAGATGACCATAGATGTATTGGGCTGGCAAAAGCATTACCGCCTTGGTATGCAGCATATGCACCGCTTTGACGTATATGCATGGCTTATCACACTCTGGCCTGGGAATTCAGCTCTGTTCTGATACTGATCTGTATACCTGTCAACGAATGAGACCTCTTGATGCATGCGTAAGACGGGGTTCGACATGATCTGATTACCAAATTAGGGACGTCAGCTCGCCACAAAATCTGTTTTGGGAAGAACAAGCATCGAATACCGAATCCTTCTGTCGAGGGGCTGGCTAGACCCTTGTTCCGGTGTAACCGAGCCGCTTTGACGCATCATGTAGCTGCATCTGTGCGGGTAACGCACCTCGTCAATAATGGCGATTTGTTCGGACTGCAGGCAGCTGAAAAGTAACATTAACGGCCTTGACATGCAGTATAGTCACATGGTCCTATGTGAGATGGTTACGAGTGAGTAGGCTGGGGGTGAATTCGGTCACGGCACCACGCCCCGCCAAATATTTCCCATGGTGCTGACCGTGATCGTGTTTATTAATGCTGCAAATGAATCAGGACGAAAACTTCACAATAAAATATGGATGGAGAGATTAAGTCCGCTTTCACGAGGGCGCCAGTTATGGATGTAGTTGTATAACAGGCGGCAACACAAGAAAGCAACTGTTTATTTTATCTGCGCATGATAGTAAATCGGACTTAACTATGATAATAAGTAACTAGAGAGAGGGTAAACCTCAAGCACCGATCTCTACTCAAAACATATTGCCTCTTCAAAACATCAGCTTCCAGTTCCCCACAATACTAACATCACAGAACATGTAGAACCTAGTCCTTACAATGGAGGACAATACTGCATACTATAACAACCATGAGTTGCGACCAGAGTACACCTCCCAAGAGACAAAGTGGTGCCTGCAGGGCAGACAGGCGGTTCTGGAGATACACACTTATCGCCCGAGACGACAAGAGGAAGTGTACACTTCGCGCCACCGCTGGAGACGCACTTGTTATCCCGAAGGGATGAACCATGAGGACATGATGGGACCGTGATAGTGACGCATCCTTCAGGGCGCAGTTGGCTGCCAGGAGGGCAGTTTGGCCCATTGATTGCAACACAAGAGCCGTTGATGAGCTGTGTACCAGGAAGACAGGTTGGTGGCTCGCTAGAAACGCAATTATCGCCTTGCAAGTGCATGTCGGGCGGACATTCTGGCAGCTTCCCAGAAATACATCCTTGGGAGGAGAAGACATAGTCTTCAGGGCAGTTAGGGCGCGATTGGCTGATACACTTGTCTCCCTGGAGGTGCGTATTTGAGGGACACGTAGGAGCCTGTTTATGGAGGCAGGCTGTTCCGTCAAAGGTAGCATTATCAGGGCAGGCTGGGATGACATGCGAGACGCATGCTGTTCCATTCCAAGTGAAGACTGCCTCGCAGGCCGGAGGATCCCGAGAAACACAATATTTGCCATCAAAGATAGTCTGATCGGGACAAGTTGGACCCGTGCTGGCGATGCAGGTACCGTCTTTCAGAGTCCCTGTGACGCAAGTGGGCGTGCTGGTTGTAATACAGATTCCACCAGCTGAGGTTGATCCTGGGGGACAAACAGGATTGCTTGCAGAAATGCACCAAGCCCCGCGTAGTATCATTTGGTCCGGGCAACTGGTGGGTATGGTCGAGACACAGCTCTCGCCTGACAAGATAGACTCTCCTGAACAGCTGGGTGTTTGAGACGTCACACAAGCTGATCCATTAAACGTTCCCTCGTCGCATGTAGGCTTATCTGTGAAGATGCAAGTGTTGTTGGATAAGCTGGTATTTTCCGAACATGATGGAGCCTGGAAATGGGCACAAACACGGCCATTGAAGGTGAAGCCCGGTGGACAGTCGATATCCTGGGGTGTAGACGCACACTCTCCGGCATTGAAGCTACTCCCATTCGGACAAGCCGTAGAGTCGGTAGCAGGCCGTAGACAGAGTCTCTTGGCTTCATTCCAGCCCATCCCTTCTGGGCAACAATTTTCACCACCCGTCTTGGGGTCTCGGGATTTCACAAGTCCATCCTGGCAGAAAAACGGCATCGCACAAGTACTGTCTATCGCAGTGGCGCCAGGAACGCAGTCAGGCCCCTCGGAACTCTGACAGACTCCGCCTTTGTACTCGCCTTCTTTGCACTTAGGTAGTTTATCCGAAATACAGACTCGTCCACTGAATGTTGAGCCAGAAGGACAAGTGGGTTTCTCAAGGTGAGAGCAGCTCTTGCTGTCCTCATTGAACACAAAGCCGGCTGCACACACTGGGGTCTGCTTCTTGACACAAAGGCCATCCTCAAGTGTCATTGCTGATGGACAAGAAGGGGGGAGTGCATGAGTACAAGACCCAGCTTCAAGCTTTTCTCCAGTGGGACATGTTGGTGGCAAATTATGCACACAGAGACTTCCCACAACAGTATACCCTGCTGGGCAAACCAGTGGCTGAGTTGAAATACATGAGACGCCGTTGAAGTCAAATCCTGGGCCACATGAGGGAGGTTGAATAGAGATACAGTTACCGCTGTCGAAGCGCGCTCCAGACAAGCAGCCCGGTTCGATAATCGAAACACATTTCTCGTCCTGAAGAACAGTGCCGGTTGGGCATGAAGGCTTCTGATCAGAAACACATGCTCCTGCCTGCAGTGTTGTGTTTGGGGGACAAACTGTTGTCGGTTTGGAGACGCAGGTGATGCCGTCGAAAGTTGTACCCACAGGACAGCATTTGACCTGGCCCTTGGAGTCAAGAGAGGGAGTGATATCGTCCAGAGAGACTTGAACACAAGCAGCGTTGCAAGAACGTTTAATTGTGTGAGACTTTAGAAGATTCTCTACTGAATCTGGCAGAGGTTGTTGGCTTGGAGCTTCTTGAGCATAGGACGCAGTAACAAATACAGCCAGGAGAATGGCCGGGAAATTTAGCTTTGTCATGGCGGGATGCTCGTGAGAAAGTAGCAAAAGGAGAAAAAAGTAAATAGCAGCTTGTTGAGCTTTGAGATGCGATGTAATTCAAGCGCCTTGCTACCTTACATATATTTTGTTTCTTTGACCTTACTTCTCACTCAACGGAGCAAGAATACGCGGGATTATTGCTCGTATTGGGCACCCCTCAATCGTTTATGATTAAACCCTCCCCAGCGTCTTCCAGCGCCCGTGGCGGCTCGAATAATAATTGATAGCTAGCTGAAATGAAGCAGGCACGACAGATACAGCTGAGATGTTACATCAATCCGGAAATGCTACGCTGCCCGTTGCATCGCGCTCTTGCGCGGGAACAAGTATAGTCTAGCTTCGTGCAAGTTGGAAGCTGACAGTGATTGATCTTCACATGACCCCATCATGATATCCTTTACGAGAGTGTCGCTTGCGACAACTTGTTTACCGTTAAACCTATCACATTCGAGCGGATCATGTAAAGAGAGCACTGACGATCAGAATAGGTAATAGATCTTCCAATACATATGCAGGCATGTCCCGTGACACATAATATTGGTGTGATAGCGCCTGTAGACGCGCATAATACCCTTGCAATAGATGTCCCGCCAGAGCTGAATGAAAGTGGCTGGCTGGCTGGCCCCGGTCCGGTCCGGTGAGCCAGTCCATGTGCCGGGCGTGCCGACGCTGATCAAAAGTCATACACTACTCTAGTACTCCAGAACAGACTGGGTCATGAATTTATTTATATATATTACTCCAGTATATCAGGGATATAGCGCCCGTACTTTATTCCAGCAGGCTGCGAAATCAGCATCATTTGTTTACCAACATGTTGTGTCCCTCTTTTGCCTTCTTCTTGGCTGGTCTTGCCGCTGTCCTTGCTCCAGTCACCGCACAGTCTTGCAATACCACTGGAACTTATGAAGCGTGCTGCCCATCCTCTGACGGGAAAGTCCTTATATTTCAAGACAAGAACTACCGAGTGCGCTGCAGCTACTCCCATGTCTTCGGAGGAGTAGATTCACCAAATCGGCCAATGAGCCTGACAAGCTGCGTTCAAAAATGCAGCGGCAAAACGGATTGCCTGAATCCGCAGTGGCAGTCCAGAGGACAGTCCAGTACGGAAGGCCTCTGCTATGTAAGCGAATTGAAAAGCGATGCTGCCTCTGGAAGAAGGCCTGGAACAAAGAACGTGGCGTTTGTCTCGGTTGATACTTCGGAGAAGGCGAAGGATCCTGATCAGTGCCGAGATGAGGTCAGCAATTGCAATACAGATTGCGACCGAAAGGTCTTTGAGGCAGGGAAGGGCAAGATCCCTATTTCAGATTGCGACCGAAAGGTTGAAGAAGCTGGCAAAGGCAAGATCTCTACTACAGAATGCGATCGAAAGATCGCAGAAGCTGGCAAGGGCAAGATCAGCAACAAAGCTTGCAAGGACAAGATTGCAGAGGCAATTCGGGAAAACGAAGAAAAATGGACAAGGAGATTGAACAAACTCAAAAACAAACCACCACGGTATCCTCGTTTCGCATGCATCAAGGGTGTCAGGACTTTTTATGAGCATAGTTACAATTATCACTGTCATCTTGATTTGCACCAGCGTCCGAAAGACATGTCAAGACAGAACGACAAGGTTATTGATGACGCAGATTGTGCTCGCAGGTGTAATCGGTCCAAGGGTTGTAAGTGGGCTTTCTATGATCCACATACAAGCCGTTGCTGGTGGAGCAAGACGCCATACAAGCCTCGTTACACAAGGGAGGGAAATCTTGGAGGAGCTGTTTTAGAGCGCGTATAAAGAAGCTTAATGCTTCTAATTAAATTAATTATATAAAAGTATTATTACTATCTTATATATCTTTATCTTATAGACTATAGTACTATATTCCTCGCATAGCTGTTGTCCCTCAGTTGAGTTTAAGGTATATAACATTTCTGGTAAGCTGTGCGAACCCCTCTCTCGAGTCTACATGTAACGTAGCCGTTCCCCATTCGTCTGATCAGATCCTCCAATTAGGCATGTCTGCCTTGTCTCAACTCAGCCTGTACAAATGCCTCGTGCGGCTGAACCCGGCTGCATCCCACTAGCCCCAGAACATACCTAGGCCTTCCCCTTCTGCTTCACTAACGCCTAATTCTACAAGCTCTTTTGACATAGTGTGCCTCGCGTGGCTTTTAGGGCGCCCAAATGATCTTATCTCCACGGTCTAGACCGTTGCAGTTCTATTTTGGACTTTCGGCTGAAACCATGTGTCGGTACACAAATACCCGCTCTTGGCACTCTTGGCCTTTCGCTTGTAATTCTTCGTGGATTAACACGACGACGAAATGCCTTTCGACTTTAAGGCCTACGACCAGAAATGCCAGGGCTTGACGCTCGAGGAGCTACAGCGAGAATGGGAGCACTATACCCGCCTAATCTCGGGCGCTGCCACGTCGACTGCGGTGTCGGGATGCGCTATCCCCCTCACGCTGGGGGTCTCGACCATTGGAGTCGCCATGGCAGCACCAGCGATTCACAACGCACGGAAGAAACGCGAGATCATCGAACGGCACCTCAATCGACTGAACGCGACGCATAAAACACGAAAACGCGATGTCCTTGGAAGTATGGCGGTCAGCGGGACGATCGGCGTTGTCACCCTCGGGGTCGGAAGCATGGGCGCTGATGCAGTAGCGACTGCTGGTGCAGAGCACGGCATTCAGTCAATTGTTGCAAATGAGACTGCTATTAAGCTCGTGTCGCATGCTGCGCTTGATGGCGCGGGGATGATGGTTGAGCATAAGCACACAGACCATCTCAAGAAGAAGGATGCGCGAAAGGCGTTTCAGAAGGCTGGTGTTTTCCAAGCTGTGCAGGATGCTAAGGCCGCTGAGGCTGGGTATACGATTCAGCCGTATCAGAACAACGGTCAGGTTTACGCTGCTGGGAGCTCGTCTCAGGCACTTCCGCCGCCGCCGCCACCGTATAATGTTGCTGTTGGTCAGACACCTGTACCGCAAGGCTACAATGTTACGCCGAATGGGTATCCTCAAGACTTCAAGGCACCAGTCGCTCAACCGCAAGCTGAGCAGTACCAGGCTTATTTGACGCCACATGTCACCGGGCAACAGCCTATGCAACCGTATGAATACTCACAACAACAAGTCCCGACATACGGTGCACCATCGCCTTTGCCTCCGGCGAATACGCAGATGTTCTCACCACCTCAAACTCCAGCCGTGCAGTACCCTCCTCTGACTATGCAGGCACCGAACGTGCAGCAGGCACAGCCGCAGCCTCTCTACCAACAACAGACAGGAGTTCCGCCCTATATTCCTGCTTCAACACCGCAACCCTTCAACATGGCTCCAATGTATCAGGCTCTTCCTCCTGCTACACCTGCGCCGTCAACTCCGTATCAGCAGCCACAGACACAACAGGTCCCGGGCATGGTATTGCCTACGCCTCCCCAGGACAGCACTCAAACCTATATGCCTCAACAAGTACAGCCACAGCCAACTGGACAGATCACTGGTGCACCTCAAGCGGGATACTTCCCGTCTGCACCTGCAACACCATCTGGATATCCACCTGCTGTCACAGTTCGCCACCAGCCAACGCCGCAGCCTGTTTCTGTAGCTCAGGTTCCTCCGCCTGCTGACCCGGCCAATGTCTACCAGGCTCCCGTACAGCATGTTGTTCAGCACCAGACTGGATATCAGTCATCTCCTATATCGGCTGCTCAACCGCAGTATCATCAGCAGGCTGCCTATGCATCACGACAAGTTCCTCAACAAACTGGCACTTATCAACAAGCCCCGGCGCCAGCTCCTGCACCTGTCGATCGAAGAAGCTCGTTCGTTGCCACGCACCAACCAGCCTACGCTCCTCATGCACCATACAATCCTCAAGATTGGGCTCCTAAGCCTCAGCAAGCATATACTCCTCAGGCTCCTAGCATGGCCAATCCAGCTGCACCAGGCATGCAGTATCAGATGCCCCCGACACCTCTCCCAACTGGCTCAACAGTAAATCAGTATCAGTACGACAACAAAGGTTCATACTTTCCAGCCCAGCCTCAAACCCCTCAATTGACAGGACAAGCCCCTCAACAATATCCACCAGGAAATGATCCCGGGGCCCCGATGCACAATCCTGTACAGGTGACGCAATAGCTGTGGAGACGTGACATTGGTGGGTTGCAGATGGAAGTATGAGTTATGCTTGATTAGTTAAGGGATATGAAATAAAGTAGAACCAGTTAGCATGTAATTAGCAAGTACATTTAAGGCGCACAACTCTCCCCTTTGCCGTATCTATTCAGTGGTTATACATTGACCAGTTCACAACTGAAGCCATTCGAGTGGAGTATTGAGAGAAGGATCTGCGCTAGTCTACAATAGGCAATTGTGCATTTCGACTCATCCAAGGTCATACATACCTTTTCAGCGGGACCCACCTCTCCCTAATCTCTATAAGAACAACCAACAGAACACAAACCTCGCATCTCACCGATTCATCATTACAAATGACAGCACTAAACACCACCAACATGGACGAACTAGACATAGAGCTAGACATCATCGGCCAGCAACCTTTCATGGTCAAGATCTACACCCAAGTCAGCTTCTGCTTCCCCGTCACCAACCCCTCCACGCACCCAACCATCACCGCCACCCTCAGAAGCGGCCTACAGCGTCTACCGCAGAGCTTCTCTTGGGTAGCTGGCCAAGTCAAAGACGATGGCACTGGCGTCTTCAAGATCAGGCCGTTCGAGGAGACACCGCCCCTGGTAGTTAAGGATCTTCGAGATGACCCCTCAGCACCGACGATGGAGGGCTTGAGAAAAGCAGAGTTCCCCATGAGCATGTTTGACGAGAACAAAATTGCGTCGAAAAAGACTTTGCCCTTTGGACCTGGTTTTTCACCTGATGATCCTTCGCCTGTGCTGATGTTTCAGCTTAATTTTATTGAAGGCGGGCTCATATTCACTGTCAACGGACAACATGGTTGCATGGACATGACGGGTCAGGATGAGCTCATTCGACTGCTCTCCAAAGCTTGTCGCGACGAAGCTTTCTCAGAACAAGAGATATCAACAATGAACCTTGACCGCAAGACCATTGTTCCGCTGCTCGAGAATTACGAACTCGGGCCTGAGTTGGATCATCAAATCATCAAGCCCCCACCAACCACTGAGACCCCGCCAACACCGCCAAAAGCAAGCTGGGCATTCTTCTCGTTCAGCTCAGAAGCCCTCTGTGAGCTCAAAGATAAGGCGACGCAGAGTCTTGACGGACAAACAAACTTCATCTCAACAGATGATGCCCTATCGGCGTTTATCTGGCAATCCGTCAGCCGCGCCCGTCTCCCCCGTTTGGAAGATTCCACCTCGACTCAATTCTGTCGCGCCGTCGATGTACGCACGCAACTAGACGTGCCAAAGACCTACCCAGGAATCCTCCAAAACATGACCTACAGCGTCTCAAACCTATCTCAAATCGCCAACGAGCCCCTCGGCATCGTAGCATCTCGCTTGCGGTCTCAACTCGGCCGCGACGATCTCCGCCGGCGGACCCAAGCCATGGTGACGTATCTGCAAGACCGAACGAACAGAGCAAGCGTATCTGTCACGGCGGATGCGAATCCATCGACTGATATTATGTTGAGTTCATGGGCGAAGCTGAAATGTTGGGAGTATGACTTTGGACTTGGATTGGGAAAGCCTGAGAGTGTGAGGAGGCCGTTGTTCGAACCGTTTGAGAGTTTGATGTATCTCATGCCCAAGAGACCAGACGGAGAAATAACCGCAGCGATATCATTGAGGGATGAGGATATGGAGAGATTAAAGAGTGATGAGGAGTGGATAAAGTATGGGAAGTTCATTGGCTAGGAATATGTTCGAGTGGTTCGCGGGGCTTCAATGCAACGTTCCAGCGGGGAAGGTCATGACATAATTCAACATCACCCGAGCTTTATGCTTATTCTTGTTTATAGAGTTGTATCTTGCGGAGACAATATGCAGATCTCGGACTATTACCCAGATGTGCCGCTACTGTGATAGGTGCGGGAGATGTTGGTGACGATCGTAGGGCTTGGCGTTTACGGAGGATGAGGAGTAGAGCCGAGGCGATGGCCGATGAGATGAGGTATAAGTTAACTGTAATCTATGCGACTAATGATTTAGAGCACCATCAAAAGTTTCTTGGTATCAAGTTGCACCATGGATTTGTCGGCGCTAGGATTCCCTGGGGCGTTGCCCGACTGGAGTAACTTGAACGTCTTGCACCGCAATACTCTCCCAGCCCGAGCCCACTTCTACTCCTACCCCGACCAAGAATCAGCTATCTCATTCAATCGAGAACAAAGCTACTTCCACAGTCTCAACGGAACATGGAAATTCCACTATGACATCAGTCCCCTCGACGCACCAATCTGGGACTCTGCCAATACCAGCTCATGGGATGACATTGAAGTCCCAGGCATGTGGCAGCTCCAAGGCTACGGAAATCCTCACTACACCAATATCGACTATCCCTTCTCTGTAACGCCCCCTAATGTCTCTTACGTTAATCCCACTGGTTCCTACTGGCGACAGTTTGAAGTACCTGAACAGTGGGATGGTGATCAGATCAGACTGCGCTTTGAGGGCGTCGATAGTGCGTTGCATGTCTGGGTCAACGGTGAACAGGTTGGCTATAGCCAGGGAAGTCGTAATCCGAGTGAGTTCGACATCACGGACTATCTCACTCCTGGTCAGGCGAATGATCTTGCTGTACGTGTCTATCAGTGGTCTGATGGTTCTTATATCGAGGATCAGGATCAGTGGTGGCTCTCCGGCATCTTTCGCGACGTTTACCTCATCCCTTTCTCTGAATCATCGATCATCGACTTTAAGGTTGACTCTGAACTTGGCGACTCCTTTGATGAAGGCTCGTTTAAAGTCAATGTGACCATTCAAGGAAAAGAGGGCGACCTTGCTATCAGCCTGCTCTCGCCTAATGGTTCCGCTATTGATGAATGGAAAGGGTCGTCTTCTGATGTCTACGAGAAGAAGCTTTCTGGTGATGACTTTCACATCTGGTCCGCTGAAACACCAAACTTGTACACCTTACTCATCACCTTCAACGGAAGGACCATCAGTCAGAAAGTCGGTCTCCGTCGAGTCGAGATTAAAGGCTCCAACTTTTATGTCAACGGAAAGCCCATCATTATATACGGAGTTAACAGACACGAGCATCACCATCTTACTGGACGGACGATCAGTTACGAGAACATGCGAAAGGATCTCTTACTCATGAAGCGATCAAACATCAACGCCATCCGCACAGCTCACCAGCCTCCCCATCCTGATTTCTTTGACGTGGCTGACGAGCTCGGCTTTTACGTCATCGCTGAGTCAGACCTTGAATGCCATGGATTTGGTAGCATTGAAGAGACAGAGGAAGAAGCTGCTGAGTGGCTGTCCAACAACCCCGATTGGGAAGAGGCCTATGTCGACAGAGCTCGTCAGCTTGTGGAGCGCTTCAAAAATCATGCATCAGTCATTATCTGGTCCCTCGGCAATGAGTGCTTCTACGGTCGGAATCATGCCGCTATGAGCAATTGGATCAAAGAGAGAGACCCGAGTCGGATCATTCACTACGAACAGGACCGTAATGCTACGTCAACGGATATGTACAGTCAGATGTACAGCACGCCTGATGATGTGAGGGAGTTTATCAAGACACATACAGACAAGCCGATCCTGCTGTGCGAATATGCCCAGTAAGTATTGCGCATCACTACATATAAGCTTGAGCTAACAGTACTAGTGCCATGGGTAACGGTCCAGGTGGTCTTGTAGAGTACATCGACCTCTTCAGAACCGAGCAACTCTCCCAAGGAGGCCTGGTCTGGGAGTGGAGCAATCACGGACTTCTGAAGAAGGAAGCGAACGTAACATACTACGCCTACGGAGGTGACTTTGGTGACGAACCGAATGATGGGGATTTTATCATGGACGGTCTTGTGCTGTCTGATCACTCACCTATGCCTTCTTTGAAGGAGTACGCCAAGGTAATCCAGCCCGTTTCGGTGAAGCTGGCGAAGAATGGGAGTGCAATGACTGTTGTTAACCACTATGACTTCTCTGACCTGAGTCATCTCGAGGTTTCGTGGCATGTTGTCGCAGATGGTCTCAAGACTGACGCTCACGCACTTGACCTTCCGAGAATACCCGCTGGCGCGAATAGGACTGTGGCACTGCCTTCGGGATTGAACATCACGCAAAACGAGGCATGGATCACTATTGAGTTTAGGCTGAAAGAAGCCACCGTTTGGGCTCCCAAGGGCCACGTTATTGCATGGGACCAACTTCACATCCAGCACCCCAGCCTCAACACCCGGGATCTATGGCTTGTCCGTCGTCAAGACAGCGGGGAGTTCCAGAAGAACGGAACCAAGATCCTCTATAAAAGTGGTGATTCATCCTTTGGGTTCGACTTGCTCCAGGGAAATGTCACTTGGAACATCAACGGCGTGGATATCTTCCAGCGTGGCCCTGAACTCTCCTTCTATCGCACCCTGACGCAGAATGACGCCGCTTCCTCTGGCGACGGACCAGTCTGGGATCAAGAAAAGATCCCAATGATCTACCCTCAAGTCAGAGACGTAACCTGGCGTGTCGACAATGATGGAGCTATTGTGCACTATAAAGTCTGGGTTGGCGTCAAGACGCGTGCTTGGGGCGTTGAAGCAGACATGATCTACAGGATCCCGACTAGCGGACCTCAACTTCAGCTCGAAGCCCGGGGCGAATTTATCGGGAAGAATGAGTCGCATGTCATTCCTCGTATTGGTCTCATGGCCGTTCTACCTGAGTCATTCGACGACGTGTCATGGTTCGGCCGAGGGCCTGGAGAGAACTACAAAGACTCTAAGCAAGGTTCCCGTATCGGGCAGTATAGCTCCACAGTGCCGGACCTCTTTACGTACTATGACTACCCTCAAGAGAACGGAAATCGGGAAGACCTGCGATGGCTGAAGATTGGAAACAAGGACGTGACACTTGCTGCGCGACGGACGAAGGACGAGCCATTCGGCTTCACGGCTCGGAGGTACATGCCTTTTGACCTGGATGATGCACAGCACCCGCATGATCTGAAACCACTAAACATGACGGTTCTGCACCTTGATTACGATAACAACGGACTTGGATCGGCTACGGTCAGGGTCAGACCGTTTGAGAAGTATAGGTGCTACACCAAGCCATTCAACTTTACCTTTGACTTCAACATAGTCTAGCCCTGCTATCAAGCGCTGCATCTTCAGTGCAATATGATTATGCGACTTCGGTCATGATAATAATTGATTACTGAACTTTGTTCTTCCCAACATGTTCCAGCACACGTGCATATCGGTGAGCATTTTGGGGGATATTTCTAGTTACACAACTGCCACCATTATGTTTGATCCCGAATATAATCGTTCCCAATTAGGAATACGAAGAGATGGTTCGGTAGGTAACTTGTCTGAGCGGGCCGAGGCATTAGCGCTCAGAGCACCACGTTCGCGATTAGTGATCAATAATTACTGATCAAAACGCATGACCCGAGATCGGAGCGAATTGTAATCAGCTGAAGCAGCTATTACAAAACCCTCCGGTAATTTCTGAATTTTGTAATCTTTGTCGGAATATGTTAAGAGTAACGCTACCACACATATATACCTACACCTGCTGGATGTCATGCATGAATCCTACCCTCTAACTTCATACAACACAGACATTTCCCAAACTGTATTAGTCAACCATCTCTCTCACTGAAAAAAGTCATGGCCCGTCGCATCTTTGTCATCGGAGCCACAGGTGCCCAAGGTCTCCCTGTCTGTCGCGGCCTCACCAAAGGTGGCGCATACAGTCTTCGAGTCCTCACTCGCGATGCCAATTCCAAGCGGGCCCAAGAATTAGCCAAACTAGGCGACGTTGAGTTTATTGAGGGCTCATTCGCCAACGAAGACAATCTGCGAAAGGGCTATGAAGGATGCTGGGGCGGCTTCGTCAACATTGATGGCTTCAACACTGGTGAAAAGACAGAGACTTACTGGACTATCCGCGCGTATGAACTGGCAATTGAGTCTGACATTAAGTTCTTTGTTTTTGGAAACTTGGACTATGGGTATAAGAAGAGTGGCTATGATCCCAAGTTCCGCTGTGGCCATTATGATGGTAAAGGTCGAATGGCTGAATGGATGCTGAGCCAGAGACAGAGTCACAACATGGGCACTGCGATCTTCACTACGGGTCCGTATATGGAAATGGCGGTCTCAGCACAGACCCCCATGACTCCGCGCATTGTTGAGGGAGTCGTCACTTGGGCTGTCCCTCTCGCCGACGGAGCGATTCCCCATGTCGCGCTCGATGACTGCGAGCACTACGTCCGCTGGCTGTTCGATAACCCTGAGAGATCCAATGGACTTGATCTGGAGGTTGCTATCGATCACATCAATTACCGCGACCTCGCACAAGCGTTCCAAAAGGTCACTGGCAAACCTGCTCAGTTCATCGACATCCCGTTGGAGACATACTTTGAGCACATTCCGTGGGCGGCCACCGCTCCTGCTGGCTACAATGCAGATCTAAACGATCCTGCTACGATGTCATTTAAGCAGAACTTCACTGGTTTCTGGAATATGTGGCGACACTCTGGTGGGAACAAGGGCGTTGTGAAGAGGGATTATAAGCTCTTGGATGAGGTTCACCCGAACAGAATCAAGACTGCGGAAGAGTTCTTTCGCCGAGAAGAGGAGAAGCGTAAGGCTCAGGGACTTCCTAGTATCTTTGAGACTATCGAGAGCGGGAACCTGGGTATGATCCTCAAGTTGAGTGAGGACGGTAGAAAGGGCAAGTTGTAGATGGTATGTTTCCCTGGGCCCAATTGTGAAAGATTGTGAGATACATAAATATAATTATCGCAAGAATAAATTCTGTAATAAAATAAAACATAAATAGTTGTCGATTTTGTAACATTAGGTCCATATCCCGTATATCGCTGCCTCTCTTGCAAATACCAAACCATGATTTGTGTTCAGCCAATCAGAGCTCCTTCACCGTCGTAATCTCCCAATCCAATGCCATGCTATGTCTGAGGCCTCCTTGTTCTCCTAGTTAATTGATAAGAGTGTTATTTTGAGTAGATGGACCCCCGCTGATGGCTCACATCACGCACCTCGCACGTTCTCCAAGACAATCCACTTCTGACGTATCCTTGGTATTACCACAAAAATGACATTACAGCCTGTAGACAGCCTTTATCGGTGAAGACTTCCAGCACGTTGGCGTGGCACGCCGTGACGAGCCTCGCTCTCTCGCCTCTCAAGGCCCCAGTCTTCAACCTTTGAGTCTTCCGGCAGAACAGGTTTTCCACCGAGACTGGCCAAAACTGTTTTATTAGTCGCAGTGAAGTCGTCCAGAATCTGGAGCTCTTTCAGTATGAACCATCGTGGAACGATGAGAATACGAAGGGGAATCATGAGAATGATTAGAACCGGAAATCCAATCGCTGCGATGGTATGTGATATAGCCACGCACGCTGCGACACCGATGAACTGCAACGCAATGTAAAGGAAGACCTTACGTCGGCGTACTCGAATGATCGGTTCATCGCGCTGAATGAAGCGTTGCTCAGACTGAAGATAGATGAACTTCTGGAGGATGCCATTTGACTCAATCGACCCCCACTGAGATTGTCAGTATCATTTGGCACGAGAATTAATGGATAGCTGCAGGGCACTTACGCCGACAACAAAGAAGACACCAGCAAATACCGCGGCCGGCATGAGATGCAGTACGACAAGGAGAGGTCCCGTCATAGTCCCTACCAACCCTAAACCCATCAAGAAGTGCGACACGCGCTGTTCAACCACTGCTGTGGCTCGCACGATGGGACGCCGTATTTCTTGATCCTCTCCTCCAGACGTCAGAATGATCTGAAGGTCAGTTTCGTAAATAGTTAAAGAGTCAGTATGAACAGGTGCCTTTTGCAGTCAGCGGAAGAGCGTAAACATATGCAGATGGGCTTACTGTACCTGAGGAACAAGGCCATTGGGCATGGGTAGCCCAAGAATGCCAGACAGAAAAGTCGTGCAGCCCAGAAGAAAAAAGTCCCAATGGAATCCACCGGGCTTCTTGAGGGGGTATTGTCGAGCCTGGGCAGTGATACTGCTGACGTTCTGTAGGAGTTATTAGTGAGGCAGTTATGGCTATTTAGCGGAAGCAGCACTCACATGGTCATAATAGAATAAGAGCATTGTTAAAAGGCCGAATGGCATGGCTACGAATACCCATTTGACTTCCAAGTTCCAGAAGTCAATGAGCCAGCTTCTAGATTGAGTGGGATAGAAAGCTCTGGTGACGGGCACTCGCTCGATGTGCGTTGATTTGATGTTGCCAGGGAAGTGAGAGAAACCAACCCAGAATAAAGTCCCGAACTGATCGTGTTAGCGATGAGTCATAACTGTGGTTAGGTTTGTGGAAATACTCACCACGTAAGCATAGTCTGCGAGTACTGTACGGACGCTTGCCTTCCAGATCGTGCTAGAGCCTATCTTCTCGAGACCGTAGACAGTTCCAAAGTAAAGAATGGCGATTAGACAAGCCAAATACCCTGCTGCCTGCCCGCCCTTGTCAAATTCATTGACAAGTTCCTCGACACCTTTGACTATACGGACCGTCAGCCACTCGGTAGATAAATGGTGTGCAAGATAAGACCCACTGATGTATATAATACCGACATACATGCCAAACGACTCGCTGGAAAAGTCGGTCACGTAGCGCATATAATCGCACGTGTTGAATATAGCAGCTAGCCAGTGAAAGATTGCAGCCCAGATACCAGTCCAAGCCATGAACTGGGGATAGATGGAGACGTCGTACATGCTGATAATGTCGTAGATGGTGAAGTTGAATAGCGAGATGAGACCAGTGACGCCGACGATGGTGAGCGGCTGGGCACTGAACAGGCTAAAGACAATGGCTGCCATGGCGGAAGAGAACAGAGCTTCGTTGACGCCGAAGAATTCGCCGGTTCGGCGATACATGTCGAGAGTATAGGCTATAGCAGGAAGGAGACTGTAAAAAGCGCAAATATCAGTAAACCATTGCATCTACCGGGTGCATATCGTGGCGACATACTTGACAAAGTACATTCGGATTGTACTGGCGACAGTTCTATAGGTAAAAGCGTCGGTGATATCGCTTGGGTAGTAAGGAAGTCTTCGCTTAACATCGTGGTACATTCCTTTACCAGGATGGAAGATTCGCCATCTCCTCCATCCGCGTCCAGCATCGTAGGAATACGACAAGTTCGACTTTTCTTTACGGAGTGTACCGTTGCCAGGCGAGTTACTCTGCTCAATTTGGCTCGACATATTGGTAGGCGGTAAGGCAAGTTGAGCATAGGCCGCTGAGTCGTAGGATGATGGTAAAAAGCATGGAGAGGTAGTTTGGGGCTGGTAGGGTTAGTCTCTTTATAAGACTCGGGGACTGGGTACAGGATTTCCTTCTAGTTCTGACTCGATATAGAAGATGCGGCCGGCGCCCCTGTCGGTCCAAGAGATCATCCAGTGGGGCCGCTCTTTGCCCGACCCGGGCAGAATTTCCATCCAATCTCACAGGCATCAATGATCGAAGGCGATATTTCCGTGGGCAAAGCATCTCTAGAAAGAAGGGCACAATAGAAATCTGATACGCAGCTTGAGTCGGGCATCTTGAAGCCCGGTATACTACTATGAGGGCAGCAAATTCAGATTTTGCAGTCGGTTTCTTTTGACATTACTCAATGCATATCTTGTCCATGCCATGGGGTGAAGACGATGACGTCCCGGCCAAGTCTTGACTCGGGCACTTTCTTATCCAATCACAATCGAGGACTAGCCACCCTACTACTGGCGCCACCATGGATTTTCTGCCCGGGCAGATATCTCCTTCAACATTTGCCTTCGCATCCCATTTCTCTGCCGTGATAATATGTTGGATGATGCGGCATACCATCTTCCAGATGCTGTCCAGGCCGATATTTTGGAGAAATTGGACACATCACTTTTAGGCATCCCATGGGCCAAATTCAATACCCCGGTGCTACGCTTTGAGGCGTTTGTAGAAGATGGGAATAATGCAGATGGCGAAAGTTGCATTTTTGAGACCAACGACCGGCTTCACCATATTTTCTCGGTACGTCGCGTGTACTCCAAAAGACCTGTTCCAAGACTGACACCCCCAAGCATCGGGTTTCAATCCGTGCAACCACGTCATCGCAAGCATCTTCTCGCACTAATGTGAATTGCGAGCCACATTCTCAAACAGAGGAATACCCTCATCCAATGATGGCCTCGAACAATAGTGAAGCCCGCCACCCTTCATCGGCGTCAAGACTATCGCGTAAGCGTCGTCACGGCGGTTTACGCCCTCCCATGGCCACAGCTGCAATGGACGAAAGCATGGAAGTCCCGCGTCAAATGCAGATAAGCGCCGGAAACTTCCCAAAGCGCGCCAAATTGAAACCCGACGGTGTTTTCCTTCCCAGAGAGTCCTCTCTCAGTAAATTCATCATTGGTGTATGGGAGCAGATACATTCGGGCCTTATCCTGGAACCACATATTCTCACCGAGCAGCTCCAGCTCACTACCGCCGCATCGACCCATACAAGTCCCATGAATGAAGCTGGGATATCAGCAGACCTTTCTATAGCGAGCCTCTCAGAAGGCTCGTTCGATATATTCACGCGAGGGAACATGTTTTGCCAAAGAGTCACACAGGCCAGTAGAACCTGTCGCTCCATCGAAGTTATCGTTCAAGCTCGCTGGATCGAACTTTTCGATTCCTACGTACAACATCTGACTACTGGAAGCTCTGGAATCTCACCCACTAAAGCCCGAATGAAAGCGTTGGCTGAAGCCTGCACTGACTTTGGCTGGAGCGAGAAAGAACTGCGGAATAAAATGGCGATTTGGCGAGGCTACAAAGAGATCAAGGATGTGTTGGGTTGGGTGGCTCTGGTGTTTTCTGGCATGGGCCTGTATCGCCTTTGCAAATACCGAATCGACTTCGACAAGGACAAGTTCAGTCGAGCACGAGCGTTGAGATGCCGGATGGAAGTCGCCGCGGATACTCTGCACCGTAATTGGCGTCAACTCCTGGCTATTGTTGGGAAGTCTACGGAGAGACGTTTCACTGGCCATCCCCACGACTGGGTTGTCTGCCAAGATGGATCAGATCCGGTTCCTCTGCGATCAACGTATTTGCAGTACGACCCGAATTTTAGCTTTGAACATGTCGACGAATGTGTTATCGATACCACGTGGTGGGGAGCTGAGGATCCTCGTTGGATGCCACCGGCTTCTCGCTCATTAGGCATTGCAAACAAAAACACTTGTGTATTGTGCGACCAAGTCCAGTCCGACGATGCCGTACTCAACTCATGCAAATGCTTCGCCAGCCTATTCAGCGGACCAAGACTAACACCCGCTGTGCAAATCTTTAGAACTTCCAACGGTCGCAACAACGGCCTACAGGCCCTCGTTCCCTTCGAAAGAGGCGTCGCCATTGGAGAATTCACAGGGCTCGTGACAAGGGGCATCAAAGACCAAGACGTGCTAGATAGCAAGGTCGGTGACAGACGATACCAGATATGGCAAGGGAGGCAGGGCAACTTTACAAGGTTTGTGAATCATAGCTGCAAGCCAAATGCGCAGTTTGAGAAGTTTACGTGGCTGGGGACAGAACATATTCTGCTGGTGAGCAACGGTATCGAGGCTGGTATGGAGATCACGGTTGACTACTCTGAAAGCTACTGGAAAGGGCTGGATAAGAATTGTCTTTGTGGTGAAGGTTGCTGTAGGTATAAGAGAAGTGATGGTGGGTGAGGGAATAGAAGTGGTTACTTATTGTCGTTACTTACACTTAAAGCAATAGTTCTTCTAATAATTAAACAAACTTTTAAAGAAAGCTGAAAATAAGAATAGAGGGAATGGATACTTATAGTAGTATTTATCTCAGTATCCCAGGCCATCAGAGCTATAGCATAATATTATAAACTGCAACATCAACGTCAGAATGTGACTCAACCCTTGATCACAAGACGCTGGTAGCCTGGTAGGCTCCACTGGCGTGCCGTCATCCTCTGCCCACCTGATTTTGAGGGAAATAAGATTTAATTAGTGATTTAAGCTTCATGCAGTCAATTAGTGCCGTATTTACAATTACGCATATGTGACAGATACAATCATGAATCTACATGGCGACGAGATTCGGCTACTCCGCCTGGGAGCCAATTCAAGCTTATCCTTCAAACGCGTCTCACTGACCGACTCAGCTCGACCGCCCTTTGTCGCGCTGTCCTATCTCTGGGGTGATTTGGATGACACTCTTCCCCTCAGTGTACCAGGCCAGACTATTGCTGCGACTCGCAACCTTCATCATGTTCTAGACTGCCTTTTCGCATCTCGCTTCGACGAGCTTCTCTGGATCGATGCACTGTGTATCGACCAGCAAAACCGAGGGGAGCGCGCATCTCAAGTGGCCATGATGAGGGACATTTACTCACATGCGCGATACGTCCTTGCTTTTCTATCGCCGCAATCAGAACCCTTCAACTTGGGCCTCGACTATATAGAGGCGACTGCTCGTGGCACCATGATACACTTTGACCCTTCAATATCACCGCATTTAACAGTCCAGGGCCTTAATGCTAGCGACAAGCTGCTGCAAGACTCGATCATCAGCTTTTTCGCTGCTTCATGGTGGACAAGAGTTTGGACGGTTCAGGAATTCTTGTTAGCGAAAAAGGTCATATTCAGATGCGGCAATCGGCTCATTGGCTCTGAGATTGTAGGGAAAGCTTGCAGAGCTTGGATAGATCATGAGAACTCGTGCTGTTGGGCTGCGCGTCGACCGATAGATGGTAGTGCGCACGGCTTCCTCGACATTCCCAGTGAGATTAACGGCGGTCTTACCATCTACACTGCGACTCTGCGAATGAAGCACCTCATGGATATGCTTATTCCTGGGAAGTTATACACTGAGGACTTTCTTGCAGCGATTTCGCTTTTTCGGGTACGGCACTGCTCCGATCCACGGGATAGAGCGTTCGGATATTTTGGACTACGGTCGCCGGGCCTAGACATGAAGCGGGAAATATCTGTGAATTACAACATGCCTGTGGCGGATCTTTACAAAAGCTTGGCTGTGAAATTGATTGAGGGGTCCCAGACACTTGATGTTCTCAGTCATGTACTACACGAATCGGGGATAAGGAAGCGGACAGAGGGATTGCCTAGCTGGGTTCCGGACTGGGATGCCACCATAGATGATCGGTACCACCTAACGTATGCGGAACGCACAAATGCGATCAGGAATTGCTATGCCTCTGGAAACATGAAGCCAGAGTGGAGGATGCAAGATTCAGGCCATGTGATAACACCAGGGCTACAGATTGCCGAAATCCAAGAAACCGCACCTGGCTATCGATCCATCATCTCCGGTTTGACACTCGGAGGTATAACAGTCATCAATGAGTGGCGTCGACTCGCTGGTCTATCTGTTTATTCAGATGCATGTCCAATTGACATGCCATCTTGCAACGAACGAGAGCGTGCGTTTGAGAACGCCCTCAGTGGAGGCTTTGTGTCAATGAAATGGCTCAAAGGTAGTCTCGAGTATTCAAAGGCATACCATGCTTGGCTGGAGTGGTTTGTGTCGTCAGAAGTAGCCTTGGCCAAGTCATGTAAACAGGTTATTCAAGATTTCGATGAGTTGATTCGGCAGACGAGTGAACGCCGAAGATTTATCGTGACGAGTGATGGACAGATGGGTTTTGGCCCGGAAAGATGTGAGAAGGGCGATGTGATTATGATTATACCCGGAGGAAAGGTTCCGTATGCTTTACGGAAGATGGAGGACGTCAAGTGTACACTAAGACAGTATCGACTCTTGGGGGATGCATTCATCGACGGTGCGATGGCGGGTGAGAAGATCAGTCATCGATGACTGAGATCACCAAGATACTCATTGTCTAAGAGTATTAATGGTCAGGCGGGAGGTCCGAGATAGAACAACATTCTGTAGCTCCGTAAAAGAAAGCAAGTAATACAAATCGCCACACATTCAGTTTATATCCTCCATAGTACCCGTTCTCTCCAAGTTGACCTTATCCATCATTGACATTCTTCTTCAATCTTCCTCAGCTCATACAACCAATATTCTACCATGTCTTTGTCATATGGGTTCCCTATTTCATCAGGACGTGGCTCAGGTGGTTCTGGTCCTACCTTATCCCATACTACCCCAATCTCCTCAGCTGCAAGTTTCTCATCCTCTGGTAAATCGCAACCTTCGAGGCGATCTAGAACCTCGCTCATGCGACCAACCCACGCCCGTTCCCAGAATTCAATAAGTTCATCAGTTCCGGTATCTGGATTTTCAAGAACAGAAGACATGGTTTCCTCGAACTCATTGATCAGATCTTCGAGTAGTGCCAACTTATATCCTTGATCATCTCCAAGCCCATTCTCATTACTATCAACATCATCCTCAAACACACGATCCCAACATCTGGTTCGACAACAACAATGACTGATTTCCAAGGCGGCGAAAGTGAGGAACCGAATAGCGGCGTAGTGATGCCACCTCCGAAAATGGCAGGAAAAGTGACTGAGATATATAATAAATCCGTCAATCAGCTTCAATAAGGGTATAGTATAAGCCAATCCCCAGCGTTCTGGGTCCTCTGTACTTGTCGTAGCGTCGTCTTGTGGATAGATTTGTGGTTTGTATTTATAGTCTCGTTCATTGACCAGCTGACGTAGTATAAACGTCAGCATATTGCAGCCGCCCGGAGAACATTGGCAACTACATGAATCCACAGCTCTAGCCTCAAATACCGCAGAGTGGACTTCATGGTACCAATCCTCCTCTGAATGTATTGTAAGTGACGCCGCTGGTGAGTTGCCACCATTTGATTGGTTATACTGGCCATATCTGGAGCGGCTCCTTGTCCAAGAACGTCTAATTTCATCGCCAATTGCTGAAAATATGCAAGCACTTCCAAAAATATCCTTAACTGTTGGAAAGGGGAGTCGACAGTATATGCCATCATGGTTGGCTAACCAGCCCAGATATGACAGAGGTTTCTGTAGCGGCGAAATATCCCAATTTTCCACATCATCAGCGTCACACCACGACGCGGTGTCTCGGAATCCAGCCCGGAAAAGAAGATCGGCATCGTCGCATGAATGGACTAGCTGGTAGATTGGCCGAAACGATTCATTACCCTCGACAGCTAGGGCTTCAGGGACACAGATACCCGTCTGCTGTAAGCGCTTCGTAACTTCGAATGCATCAGAATCGAGAACATGTTTCGATTCAAGACACAGTTCCTCTATGTCCGTCTTGGGTAGATTTTCTAGAGCAAGCCGTTTTAATCTATCCCTACGGCCTTTCATGTAGCGCAGATATCTCAGCTTGCACCGTTTGGAAGCATTGACCCGTACATGTCTGAAGGTTGAGTTTCGGATCATGCAGTCAGCTTTCATCAGAATAACAGCGCATTCGGTACACCTGCATCCTTTGCACTTACGCGTTCTACCTTCTCTACAGTTCCTACCACTGACAGAGACTGCGAGGTCCAATGCGGAGAACTTTTGAGCATCGGTCAAGTTGAGTAGCGCTATGTCTGCAGCATCTATTAGAACCCGAAGAATTGATGGCTTGCCTGCGGCGAGGTGGAGCGGAGTCTGCCCGAACAGGTTTCTTTCGGAAAGGGTGCTGGGATGGTTTGTTATTAACACTTTGACTTCTTCCAGGTTGTTAGATAAAATTGCCAGGCTTAGTACACCACATCCATAAGCTATGTCCACGGAAGCTCTTGGTTAGCATAACAGATTAAGCCGACTTTAGAGGAAAGATATACAAACCATCGGCTATCCTAGTTGAAGAAGATAAAAAGTGGAGTAGAACCTCGCTGCTAGATAGCCAAATCACCTTCCCTGATGTTAAAACAGTTTCCATATCATAGGGAAAATCTGGATATCTTCGATTTACTGCAGCGCTATCGGTGTTTGATCGCAGTATGAGATCTACAGCGGTGGCGGGCACAGGATAGGTCACGCTACCATATGACTCAGACGCAAACAGTGCGCTGAGCGGCGTACTAAAGGACAATTTAGTCGACTTATATCCTTCCGATCTGAAAATCAGATGATGAACCTACTTGCCATATGTATTGTAGTTATTTGCCGGGGCCTTGTTATTGACCAAGTATTCGAGTAAGTCAAGCAACGGACTGGCCTGGCTAGTCCTTGCCAGGCTTGGTAGGAATCTCATGCTACGGTAATAACTTCCTATCTAACGGTGTGGTTAGGTTTCATTGCGCTGACTGTGGAGTAAATTTGGGGCATACACATAGGGCCACGCTGTAGACTAAAGACTCGTTGCGGTCGTTGACTGCTCGCGGGGATGCCTTTTTAGCTTGCAAAAGACTGAGCACTGCGGATACCACGGAAGGGACAAGCTTTTCCCACAGCGCTGGAATTTCGGAGTGGCCATAGAATGTTAAACATCGATTGTGACAAAAAGAGTTCATAAGTAGATGGAGCATTTTAAAGGCAGGTGCACGGTTTGAGTCAACGATAGGATAGTAGGTGAAATTGGGGCCGAAGCTTGACCCTCCTGCCCCTGACCGAATCGTGAGCGAGAACTGGATAGCCGAGTTGAGCAAACGTCGGAGTCCAGCATAGGTTAAGGCAAGCTTCTGAGTTCGGTCAGGCTCTAATATGTCTCGAGTGACTGGACACCCAGGTAAATGCCGTTCGGTGGTGGTCTCGTGAGAAAGGACAAAAGAGCCCAAGGCAGCATTCCAACGTTGGACATGTCTACGGTGACGACATAAGCATGAGAAGCGACCTCCAGAATAACTGGACATGCCTGTGCTGACTCTTGCCGCCGTTTCATGTGGTACTGGGGGTTTCCTCTTTGGCTTGTGCCGCTCTTGAGTCACAACAGCATCACACATCTCTCGTAATACTGCTGGCTTTCCGAGAAGTCGTCCAGTGACCAATGCAGGAGTGATCTGTAACTTGTGTCAGGATTTGCTACATGATAGCCTTGGTGAACTTTGATGCTTACGTCTTGCAGCTTTTCATTGGTGTTCGACCCTTGGACTAGCAGCTGTTCGAGTAGATGCTCAAGACCATCAAAGCGTGTCTCAAATTGCGACAGAGTGCTTTGCATGCCTCGAATTGGAGAGCTGATAGATGAGACCTCGGACTGAACCACTAGAAGATCACTAGAAATAGTCTGCGACGTCACTTGGAGAGTAGCTAACTTCTCGGACCCTAAGTGTGATACAGAACTAGCAACGGCTTAGAAAAAGTAAGCTCGTAAAGATCTGATTATTAATTTTACTTACAGTCCTAGACTTTGCAATCCTAACTGAAGAGTCGCATTGATGTGATGCAATTTGGTCGCCATTTGCTCAAGCTTTGGGCGATGGAACGGATATAACAGCTTCTTACCCTTGTTCCGAGCTTTGGTCCTTCGATCGGTTGCGCCTTGATCGTTCGTAGTGAGAGTGGCTACCATTCCCTCCAAGACCTTTAATTCATCGTTAGATGAGTCTAAGAATTGTCGCAATGCCTCGGTCGCTGTTCTGTGGTCATTCTGGAACCGGGAGATTGATGATTCAATAACTTGAAGTGTCTTTTTCAGTGTGTCGTTCTGCTGTATTATGGAGGCGATATCTTGGTCGCGGGATTTCAGCGAGTCAAAGTAATCCGTGATGCCACCAGTGACTTGGAGGCCTAGTGATACCACGGCCAAGGCCAACCCGGCAACGGAGAGAGGGTCAGCCATGAAGAAATAGGAGATAACGGGCCGCTGAAACTCGGACGATGCTGTTTGTAAATTGGGGGTTTTGGAGAAAAGAGGTCAGAACAGGACCAGGTCTAGGACTCTGCTGACTGCATATTGGTGCCTGATCAGGTTGCTGTCACATGACAGGATACGTACCACTTTAACCGTGTTAATAAGCAGGTAACTTAAATTATATAAATCTATAGGATAGGCTGATTTGTTTGTCTAAAGGTCTAAAATAACGATTTAGGGTAAATGCGAGGTAAATGACAGTCAGCCATCTGACTAAATACGCTTCACGAAGGCCTGTGTAATAACAGCGCTCCCAACTTTAACACTGAATAGTGGCAGTCCAACATCTGTATGGTAACCATTTTAGTAGAATTGTTAATTGTCTGTCTCATATTTAGGAGTCACTGTTTTGCTGGATCTTTTCTCTCATATTTATAATCATGGCTGAATTGAGAAACAAATGTCATTAATACTATGGTAGAACGCGATCGTCAACAGTCTATACTAACCGAGTCCCTCTAGTACTATATGTCACATTTCCCCTGAGACCACCTATAGTTGCATTCGCCGGATTCCTAGCCAGCTTCTGGCTAGTGATAGGTATAGGCAAGGAACCTGGGAGCTGGGACACCCAAGATGAAAACATAGCGCGTGAGCTATCGTCAAAGTGGCTCCTTAGCTTTCGACTGGATCTTGCAATCGCTCGCGTTGCAGCATCGACCATGGCAGCCTCCTCAAGGAGAAGAAGAATGACTTCCCGGAGCTCATCAGACTCTAACCCGACACGCCTTCGATAGCCCGTGTACAGCCTGACAGCTGCATCCAGGGGTGTGACGTTTCCCAGAGATGCGCAGGTTGCGCTCATTTCGATGGTCCCTTTGGTTGAGTCCAAACGTATCAGGGTCTCGATCGCCGCAATTCTGGGAGTGACATAACGCTTCCCACTGAGTCCCCATATAGCCGCTAGAAGAGGTGTTCCCAAAGGCGAATCATTTGAGATGGATCTCAAGTTTGCGCCATATTCGTGCAGTACCTCGATTACCTCATCAAGGCCATGAAATGCAGCATAGTGTAGTGGCGTTGGGAAATCCATTCTTTCATCAGTAACCTTGTGACTGAGCTGACGAGATGTCATCCCCGAATGCTTCAAATATTCCTTCTGAGTCTGGATGTAATGCCAAAGAACAATCTGAATCTGAGTGAATAGAGATGTCTTGACCGAAACGTCCTTCTTGTGACCGCTGATACCATCAAGACCTGAAGACGGGCTTCGTCTAAAGTGAATGGGGTTATCGAATGTTCCAGCACCAGAAGAATTAAGAAATGCTCGAATCCAATCATTATTCTCCTCGACTTCAATCTGCTCCTGTTGAAACACCTCGTCTGGGAAACGGACCTTGCAAGTTATCTGCGCCACTCTGGCCCTGAGAATCTTTCCAGCATGGAAGGAAACAAGATAGCCCGGTGCAAACTCTACTGAAACGATATATTCAAGATCCTGCTTCTTCCACTCCCCAAAACTTGACAGTGGAACTTGTAGTGCTTCTGACATAGGATCCTGTATTTCTACGCTCTGGGAAGTAAAGATACCCAGAGGTATTACCGAACGGAATAGGAACGCCAATGTCGTAGTGATAGGACTATTTGATACCTTATCCGATGAATGGTGGTCCCAATATTGAGCAAGGCGCACCATATGCCAGTGTGCGGTATGCCTATTGCAGACAGAAATATCCGAGATTTCATCAGAAAACAACCCTTTAACTGCACAGTAGCTTAGGTGGTGCAACCAGTGTTGGATCGAGTAGCTTCTCAATTCTCGAAGCCTATAACCGACCCTGTCGATTAGCTTTGGCATATGTTTAGTCTCCTTTGGCAGATCGAATGACTCTAAAAGAAGTATACACGCCTGTCCCAGAACAAGGCAGCCTTTGAGGAGATGGATGGAGTACATCGGGTCGTCCAATAAAGTTCGAATGAAGCTCGAAACGGTTTCGTGAGCAAATGAAACACGACCGTTTCGATATTCGAGTAGCCCGCCAGTTATCGAGTCGCATTGACGGCGCAAAGAGTTGATCTCCTTCTCGGTCGGGAAGCCTTCTCCAGGGTTGAGTATGAAAGCGAACTCCCGCAATGTGAAGCTTCTCTTTCCAAACTCTACCACGCCAAGTAACCGCAAGGCCAAGTCGCGGTGTTTCTTTTGCTTCTTCAATATCTCAAGATAAAGCTCTGTTATCTCGTCGGGGAGATTATCCAGACAACGGAGTAGCTTATCGGCATCATCTCCCACTCCAGATATACAGGTTTGAACAACATCACGGCTGGCCAACTTGACCCACATAAATAGGCCATTGGCCCTTGCCGATATACTTTTTATTAACCTTGTCCTACTAGAGCCGTCCAGAAGGTTGGAGAGTCTGGATATCTCTGCTGTAGCAAACATGGTAATGTCGCCTTGAGTATGATCCTCTAGCTTTAGAATAGCATCCTCAGAGGCAAGTGTTGCGTCGAATGAGCACGAAAACTCTTGCTCTGGGCGACTAGAGATACATATGCGGACTTTTTTGCTGGCGGCCCCGGCAAGCTTCGTACACACGTCGGCCAGTTCGATCAGATCGCCAGGGTACCGGTCTAAACCGTCTAAGAAGATCCATAACGGACGGCTATGCTTTTGCGCCAATACCTGAAGCAGTATTTCGTATAGAACGCTCGGCTTCCAGTCCAAATTTGATCGGCACTGCTTCATGTCTTGGAAATAAGGCAGTATGGAGTCGAAATATCGATGGTCCTTCCGAAGTATCTGCCAAAGCAGAGCTCGAGCGATACCCTCCAGTGTAGATCCAAGCGGATGTTGGGTTTGCCCTCCGAGAAAATATGACGCGACGATGGGGTTCTTCCTCAGGCCTTTCTTTCTGATTTCGTCTGGTGTCGTGTTGGTTATGTACTTCAATAACGTCGACTTCCCAGATAGGGCTCGCCCAGTTATCCAATACAGGCCACTGCCGCTTTTTAACCAGTCGACAAACTTGCACTGCTCAGTATTCCAGATCCAAGCAAAAGTCCCCGCAAGGGGTGGCCCAATGCTTTCTTCGCGGGATTCTAAGCCGTCGAAATAAAGGCAGCGAAGACACTCTGATATGCATTATTGTATGAGTGAAGTCTCTTTGAATGACTCGGTCCGACACGTACCTTGCTCCAGCTCCCCCAGTCGCGAAAGTATCGCTCTTGTATCTTTCGCCCAGCGGATCAGCTCTCCCGCCACTGCTTCGTATCCCTTGTCATGGGAGCTAGTATATTTAGTCATACCCTAGTATGTAAGTCACAGAGAACAAAGTTAAGAGGAATTCCTCACCTTATGGTCGGCGTGAATACCATAGCTGGGGTATCCGGGAAGTATGGCAGAGCTACATTCTACAACCTGATAGTGCTTTTAGTCAAAGATCTTGCAACAGATTCCAGTTCTGGACTTACCATGCCAATATTAGGCGAGGCAAGCTCCTCGTAGAAGCAGGTAATGTTTATCGGCCTACTCTTGGCCTGTCTAAGCCTCAGGATCTCGTGGAACTTGTGCTGAATGGTAGCCAGCATCTCTGAATCGCGCTCCAGGACCTCTATTATGTTTTTGTTGGGACTGGACGTTAGGCTCACCACAGCTGTGCAATAGCCACCCCAGCGAGCTTTGTTCGATCCAAAGTGCGGTGTACCCATGAATAGTAACCCCACTGTGCTTGACTCCAGACTGTTAAGATGGACCTCTGGGCTTGACCGTGACAGATCCAGAGCATTCTGAACCACTAGCCCTCCTAGGCTGTGCATGACAAAGACTAAGGCTAGGTCTTCTGTGTTGGTCTTCTCTCGCAGGCGCACGACTGATCCCAAGAGATTCTGGGCGTGGTTTCCAATGCTGTTTCGTGAGGCGGGACTCCACCAATGCAGGACAGCTGCATCATAACCGAAACTAAGTATTCGCGCATCAGGGATGTCAACTTTAAGAAGGTCGCTAGGCCAGTGAAGTCCACTATCCTGGCCGTAGTGCCATGTGCCAAAGGAATTGCCTCTTAACCCGTGAACGAAAACAATGTCGACAATCGGCGCTAAGCCTGCGGGAGGCTCATACAAAACTGTCACCCCCAGATTAGATCCCTTTTGGATTTTTCTCTCGTTCAAATTCTTTTCAGACTCGAGCAAGTTATCTTCGAGAACTGCGTTAGGCAGACTTTGGGCACTGGTAATGGCTGTTGGGCGCTGGAAGGGGACGGACTGGGTCGGGACATGTCTGTCATCAGCGTCCTGATTTTCGTTCTGTGGGATTGCCTGATTTGTCTCCTTGAAACGGTGGATTCTCCGAAGAGCCTTGCGAAACATTCTTTCGATCTATTCAATAACTAGCATTATTGTGCGGCAAAGATCAATTGAGGAGAGGTGAAAGAATAAATGGTGCAGATTGCTGTAATCTCAACCCTTGCATATGAGGCACAGTCCTAGGTGGGCCGTGGACCACTTGTAGCTCGCCACGACACAACAGGCACTGCGCCACGGCGCCAATTCTTAGGTATGGTACACCAATAAATGAACAGGGTAGTTTTTGCAGCAAGACTGATTTCTACAGTAGGGATAAGTAAGATAAGGACATTATTGGTGTGTACATTACGCCAGCTGTAAATATTGTGTTTTGAAAAGCTCAAGACTATATTTATTAATATTACAACTAAGCAGGCCAATGCCGAAGACCGCAAGGCATCTAGAGATACTCGCAGCAACAGTAAAAATAGGTTCAGAACTCCAAAAGATGGTACCATACTACAAGGTCGTGAGATATGTTCACGAAGTGTAAGTCACGCTAAATGCGGCCACCAGGTCCTAAAGCTCTAGGTAACAGAGTCGCGCCTACGGCACAGCACGGTGAGGATACTGAAATGGAAATTATGAAGGGCAGGAGTTTATAACGATTCTAAGGCTCTGCTGACCGCATATTGCTGCCTAATCAGGCACTCACAACATGCGGCAGGCTGTGTGCCTTTTCCATCATCCTGATAAGCAAATCAGTGCAATAGGCCAGCCAAATGGGTCATAAAGTATAGCTTAACTTTTAAGTGTGTACCTAAGGTAAGATTACAATTAATTCTTTCACTAAGTGTCCCTCATTCCAGTAGCCGATATTGAGTGTATGAAACCCGCGGTGCCCCAAAATATCAGCTGTCAAACCACCATAGGGTAAACAGCCACAGTAGGCGTGGCTGGTGCGCCAGTCTCAACCGAAATAACATCCCTGCAAGCTGAAATGTATCTCCATACAGACCGGGCGATCAGGCTGCGCAGTCTTGCAGGTCACCCAACAATAAACAAAGCTTAGTAAGATGCCCAAGCGCTTATTTTACTGACCGGAAATTAAGTCCCTCATTTGCAAGGTTCCAGTTCCATTTCCTACGGCAAAAAATTCCGGATACACGATCTCCCCCAAACCTAATCAACCGAATCCACTATTCAGCTTACTAGATCCTACCTTAAATCTTTTAGTTAAATTTGTTGCATTGCTGAAATGCCGTTGCAAAGCAAGAGAACAGTCAAGGTCCATGAGATTCCCGCCGGCACTACGAAGCAACAATATCTTGACTTCGTTGAGCATCTTTGCACCAAGCCAAAGAAGCCCTCTAAGTTCCACTTCACTCGGTTTGCTCGGCCCTTTAGAGGAAAGTCCAAGTTACCCGTGAGTGCATCAAAATCAGCATCAACGGAAAACATAGACGAAGACCCAAGGTCAAAAGATGAGTCTGAGATTGGCCCCGTACCTTCGAGTTCAAGAGGCGAAGGTGAGCAAGCAGCACCAGTTCTTGACGATCCTCGGCCGACCGCAAGGGGATGGACAAGGATCACCTACTGTCGCCAGAACGGTCACCTACTAGGCACAGTGTCTTTTGAGAGCGAGATCCTCAAGGATGAAGCCTTGAAACGACATGAGAAGGATAACAAGTCGTATTGGAAAGACTGGGTGGTGGAGGACGACTTTCAGGGAGTTACAGTCATCTATGAAGGGCCCGATGCAAAGTTCGAGTACGTATTCTCTGGTGAAAAAGTATTGTTGTAGAGCACTAACAGTCTCCTAGCATCTGCGCGGTCCATGGACAGGACGGCAATGCTATGGACACTTGGACTGCTGTTAATGGTAAAATGTGGTTGAGAGACCTTCTGCCAGAGCATGAGAACTTCATAAATAGTCGTATCATGACTTTTGGTTATGACTCGGACCTGACGGATAAAATCACCGTTATGGGGCTCGATGATTGGGCAGAAACTTTATTACGGTCTCTGAACGAAGTGCGAACTAGCGACACGGTAACTTCTGTCACGTCCCCAATATGAGATGTACACAGTACTCACTGTTTATTAAGGAGAAAGCGCGTCCTTTGCTGCTTGTATGCCACTCTCTCGGAGGCCTAGTAGTAAAAAAGGTATGTTTCACACTGAGCTACATTATATAACGTGAAACTACGCCAACCAAATACTTCGTAACTGACCATCTATCCAAGGCCATGACACAGCTAGATTCTGTACCCAAATACAACAACATCGCTCTGTCTCGATTTGGAATTGTATTCCTCGCTACACCGCATAGTGGATCAGAAGTAGCTGACTGGAACGACTTCTTGGTGGCGACGGCTCATGTCCTTGGAGGCGTTAGAATAGAGTCAGTCAAGACGTTGCAGCCGTTCAACGCTGCATCTGTCCGGGATGCTCAAGCATTTATCCGTTTGAAGCCCTGTCCGCCCTTTAGATGCTTCGCAGAGGGTCGCATGATGCGTGTGGGACATACAGACAAACATGTAAGTCGATGCATTTCGAATCACACCGTTACTAGTTCTGACTTTCTTCAAAGGTTGTGACACTATCATCAGCTACTCTCGGCGATCAACAAGCATACCAGATCATGAACGTTGATCACGTTACTATCTGCAAGTTTGACTCGAAATTGGGACCTTTCACGACGATCAGTATGGAACTATTAGAGTTGCTCAGTGAAGTGACCAGGCATGGCATGCAGCAGTCTGAGCCTCAGCGAGAACGCCGTGTAACAACCCAGCCTGAAACAGATCCTATAGCCCAGTCCTAATAGAACTGTTAGATGTTTGGCCAACCACGCTTTCAAGCCCATGCATATCCACCCGAGCAAGGGTTCTGGTGGGAGGGAAACGAGCTGAGCGAGATTCAACATCAGCTCACATCGACGAGACCGTTCTTTGGAAGATATACTGAATTGGAAATACTCCAACAGTCATTAATCACTAATGTGGGGCGTCCGAAGCTCACAGTAATCAAGGGAATTGCAGGAATAGGGTAAAATCATTCATCATAAAGTTCTCCCTTTCCATATTGACATATGTTTAGGAAAACCGAGCTTCTTCTACAGTTTGCATCCAAGCAAAAAGGCCGGAGAAATATATTCTTTCTAGCTTCACGGGATGGAGAGACATTTGAAAGTGCTCTTGGCACGCTTTCGACACGGATTGGCTTCGACATGATCGACAACACGGCCGTTAACCAAGAACGATGGAGACACACACCCGACTCCGAACGCATTCATATCTTTACTAAGTGGCTCTCCAATGCATGCAACAAAGAGTCGTTGTTCATCGTCGATGATATTGAAGCTTTTGGCTACTCTAAGATTCAAACCATACTGAAATATCCGGTACACTACGCCTTGGTCTCTACACGAGATTCTAACCTGAATAGAGCGGATCGATACTTTCAAGACATTCTATTACCCCCTTTAAGTAACACTGCAACGGAAGAATTCCTAACGTCGATGGTCAATAATCTATCGACGAATACACTTCGCTTGAGCAGACTTGATTCCGTAGGAGATAAACTTCAAGGTCATCCTCTCGCAATCCGAAACGCTATCCCATTTATACTCGAGCATTTTATGAGGTTCGATGATCCTATTGCAGAGTTCCTGGACCTCTTTGAGAGCCAAAAATCTGAAGAACGGCGACTATTCCTGGAGTTCAACTTCGAAGGTCGTTCGCTCTGGGAGGCCTTTGATACTTCTTTCCAGCGCCTACTGCTACAGGAGAACTCAGAAGAAGCAACCAAGTTGATTCAGATTCTTCCGTTCCTGTCCCCCGATAAACACTGCATAGACCAGGTTCTGCACATGGATAAATCATGGTTTCACGAATGCCAAGAAGGACTACCTGACATGGCAATTCTAGAGACTAGCCCTCGAGTTATATCATCATGGTTGTCCAAACTCCGAGGAGTGTCATTTTATATCCTGAGTAGTAGCCAAAGTACCTCCAGAGATCTCAACTTCCATCCTCTCATATTACAGTACATGCTGCTTCATATAGATGACAAAACTCGGATCAATCTTATGAGGCAAGTCCTACACCTTTGTTACATGCTAGAAGACAAAGGAGCGGCTCGCATGTCCCAAATAAGGCCGCATGTGGTGCACTGCACCCGGGTCCGTCGGGGATTAGGGATACCACGGGACAGCTTAGGACTTCCTGTGAACATCGTGCAATGGGTCAAAACTTGTTGCCGGAATGCAGAAGTAGGAGTGCACCCACTCGACGAGTCGAATCAGTTGAAGTATGATGCGGTAAACAAGTTTATTACGAGCTGCCGGGAAATAGAGAGAATATCATTGGACAACAAAGGCCTAATTACAGACGAAGCTACAATCTACAGAGTGTTGGAGAATTGCAGAAAAGACTTCATAGCGATGCAGGAGTTGGCAGAAGGAGAGGATGGAATACCTAAGCCACTAAGACCAGCAGTGCTGGATGCCACTGAGGTATTTCAAAACATGGTCAGATTGCGTAGCAACTACCCAGAGCTCATTAATGAGCTTGAGGGCTTGAAAAATAGGTTGAAGGTCCAATGATGGGGCCATTGCAGGGAACTTCACACGCCATATAATTGATGTGTAATTTATATGTTATGGGCAATGTTTAGCCTTTCGAGCATGCTTTTAGGCTGGGTGATCTAACAGTTAAGAAGTAGTATATCGGTCATACGATTAAATCCGAGCTGAAGGTGACGTCTGCAGGATGGATGGGATATGATTGGCAGAAGAAAGAGGAGATTGAGCATGTGATCACAGCGCTGTAGCTCATGAGGCTGCAGGCAACTTTCAGTTCCTTTCAACTCAGTTATCTATTTCCAAGTTCCGGAAAATCCGAGATTCGCGATCTAATAATCCACTAAGAGCGCCCTAGTAAGAATTGAACTTGGATTGCGAGCCTATCATGGCTCATTACTCTTCCCAACCGCCCCCTCTCCCTAAGATCGAGGCGTCGCAGTCGGTCTCCATACCCAAAAATGCTCAACGGGCACGGCGAGAGATACCAACCCTGCAAGCTGTAGAGGAGCCTGAGACGCAGAATTTGCCCACTCTGTGCTCTAGTGAGGACACTTTACTTAGGCTTGGCCACCTTCTTCAATCCTTCCATTGTGGCAGAGTCCCGATTGATCTGCTTACTCGAGCCTGCGAGCCAAAGATGACTTGGTCATCAGCAGGCGAGGTTGTTGAGAAACATCCTGGGGAGGGAGAAGTTCCCGAATGGCTTGTGGACTTCTACCAAGCCAACAAACCCTGGCTTCGGGATCTGGGACAGGAACCGCCCAACAGAATCTTCAAGATTATATCGGACAACAACATTCGCTACTTACAGGCGAGAGGCGACGGGTCCCCGATCTCTGGACACGAGCAACATTCACCACTCGTTAATGAACGCAAGTTGGCACATGTCCGTATCGCCATGGCCTTGCATGCGTTCCCATCCATCAACTCTGAGATAATCGGCGAGGAAATTGTCGATAGGCTAATGGACACGGCAAAGACCTCCGTCCTACCATTGCTCTCATCTCTCACGGAGGCTGACATACAAGATTGGTTACTGCCAGAACGTCTAGACGAGTAAGTTCACCATCATCACGCTATAAGGTAGATTGAGTCAAAAGTGACAGCCTTCTAATGGTCATTTAACTTTAAGGAGAGAACAGTTTTTATATTCTTTGTTCGAATTCACATATCAAGCCATCCACGCGCTAGGGGTTGACCACCCTTCCATTCCACTTGGTTTACCAAGACGGATATTGAAGGTCATATCTGGAAGTACCCTCGAGAATTCCATCATTCTGTACAAGGTGATGGCAGAAGCCTTGGGTACACTTTCATTCCAAGTTTCCAGACCGCAACTGCTTAATATGCTACACACTTTGGCTCATACGGACATTAGAACCAATGCCATGATTCTATACACTTTATCAATGCTACTGCCGGACGACACCATATTAGCTGGCACTGGAGCAGTAACCGAGCGTCTCAGCAACGCCTTGCCCAACTGGCGTGCATTGTCACCAACAGATCGATCCACAATGGAGTTTTTAACAGAGGTGAGCCTTTCTGGTAATTCGCAGCTCAACGTCAACCGCGGGCTCATTTTCAAAACGGTAGACGCACAGGCATTGTACGGCTTCCAGCTTTCGCAACATAAGCAATATGACAAAGCTATCATGTTCTTGAGAGCAACAATAGCGGACGTCACGTCTAAGTATGGAGAGACATCCATGCAAGTTGGACTGGTTACGGCAGAGCTGGCGAACTGTTATAAAATTCTCCGCAAGGAAGAAAAGGCCGAAGAATGTATCCTAACAACAATCCAGACACGAAAGGACTGGCGTCTGTCAACTCGGCGCGACGGGATCTATCTCCGGCTAGCCCTAGCCGACTCCTTTATCGGGCAAGCTCTATACAGTGAGGCTGTGCCGATGCTAGAGAGTATTATCCAAACCCACGATATCTCAGCAACATTCCGCATGATGAGTGTACTTCGTCTGGCAAAATCACGAAGAAGAATGCATGAGAGTGCAGAAAAGGCCTTCGAACATGATAGCCCTTTGTGGACAGGCTCGACACTACTCAGCCATGTTTCACAGGTCCTCGAAATGGAATACGTCGAAGAGTTGGCGTGTAGCATCTCAGAAATGCATAGCTTGCCGCAGGATATATCTGAAGTGGCATGTGAGCTCTTAGAAGCTGTTGACTCAGCGTTGTGCAAGACGGCCTCACTTAACGACAGCCCATCTTGGGGTTGGTATTCAAAAGTCAAGAAAGAATATTTGGAGTGAATTGAAAAAGTCACAGAGCTGAGGAAAGACAAGGGAAAAGAAAAGAGAGCAGATGAGGATGCAGAAGAAATCGGGAAGAACCGCAAATGCAGTCCTGATTCGTCCCTGTTTGATTCTCTTAGAGAAAGGCCTTGGTCAGAGAAATTGGCCTTATCTTTCGGTATACGTCTCTACCTCTCGGTACAGCTCTCTCTTATACTAATTGAGTTTGTAGATCTGGGAGGAGTTCGTACTCTGTCGAGTCTCTTAATTTTGAAGCGCATTATGCATCGAATCAGGGAGCTTGAAAATGATCACCCCGACGGCCCCGTTTACTCAAGCAGCTCATATCCGTGGATGGGAGACCAAAGCGGCATACCATCGGAGCCCGGGAGGCCAGATCAGATCGATGAATTTCTGCCTTGCCACTACTTCGATTACTTCGCTGGGATGTCAACAGGAGGGCAAGTGTTTGATACCTCAAGTAAGAATGATAGCTGACCGAAATACCAGTTGGAGTGCTATGATGCTGGGAAGGTTTCGCATGTCTGTGGATGACGCCATTAACAGTTTCATTAGTATTATCAGTCACGTCTTTAGTCAACCTAGGCTATTCCATCAAATGCCTCTATTCCCTTTCATAGAGCGGGCAAAGTATTCTATTGAAGAAGCACGGGAGGTTTATGAACGGCTTGGTATGCAGTACCAGCGAAGGTGGGAGCGTGAAGACACGAAATATGGTTTTGATGGAAAAGATCTATATTTTTGGCAGCCTTGGTATGGCTCTCAAACGTGAGTTAACCGTACGACTTCTCTTACTTTAAAAGAGGCTAAGACTATCAGTATGGTCATGTGTTTCGACGTTACGAATGGTGTCATTATGTTGACCAGCGATACCTACATATCATACAACCCTACGGCTTGGGAAGTTATGTCTGCTACCTCTGCCGGTCTACCCTATTTCGATACTACAATGATTGACAATACCACGTTCGCACTCACGAAAGGACTGGCACATAACCCTTCACAAAGCGCACTGGAACGCATTCGCTATTTCGATGGGAAAAGCCCGGCTGTTCTTGTCAGTCTTGGGTCAGGAGGCGGTGAACTAATTCCTTCATTGCCCTTAGAACTAGGATTTGGACTGAAGGGTTACAGGCAACCCCAAGACGTGTTCCCTGTGCTTGGGGGTGACATGGGAATACACCACTCATACAGACTCAATGTCCAAGGCGATTTGGGACAGATTCCCTTTGATGATTGGCAGCCGAGACAAAGCGGAGAGACCACAATCCAGCATATAAGAGACATCACGGAAACTTATCTTGGCACAGCCGAAGTGGAGGTCGATATTAATCGCATTGCCAAGGAAGCTGTTCGGATTCGGCGTGCACGCGCACAGACGGAAGGATGGGAAGCCTTTGCAATAAATGTGCAGTACACTTGTTCACTCTGTCCGAGGCTGACACCCTTCGTCACCGCAGATCGTACAATTGTGAGAGAACATCTAGAAGCGAGCCACAAAGGACGGAGCATGTCTAATCAAGAGGTTGAAAGTCTCCTCAATGCGAGCCGCACGTACAGAGGCCGCGGGTAAAGAGGCGAACCTTCTCGGACAAGAGATTGACTTTCCCCGTCAGCTGAAGAGAGGGCGTGGTGTACTTCAGTCAGTATAAGTTTATATATGGTTGATAATAATATCTTTGGATTTGAGATTGAGATTGAGGAAATAGTTCGAGTTCATCTAGCGGTAAACTGATGATAATATGCCGGTTTTTCTATGGCAGTTGAAATACATAAATGACTGATCCTTCTTCCTCAACACCATGAGCTCATGCCAAAGATTCAGATTCGCCTTCTCGCCCTCCCTCTCCATCCGGTTGAAGTGATTGATCTGTGTACCAAAGATCTCCTTGTGCTTGGGCGTAAGGGACCACTTCTCGAGACGCTCAAGTGACTCCCACATACTAATGCTCCATGTCTTGCCAACTGGATTGCCATCGTCATCTTCAATGTGCATATATCTGTTGGAGAAGCAACCGAAGTGTTGGCTGTTCTTGGTGAGCTCCTCCATACCAGTGTCAAGAGTTGGTTTGATCTCGGTGTTGTATGACTTGATCTCTGCTGGTGTACTGTTCTCCCAGACTTGGCCGGAGCGGATAAGACAAAGGTTTTCGTGGGGCTGTACGCAAACAAGCTTTCTACTAGGGTCCGATGAACAGTCGTCGTCCGTGAGTGATGGCCAGCCATCTGGTTCAAGACTATCCGTCTGCGACCTCGGAATACGATCCCTTGCCGATCCCCAATACTCATGGGTATCAGTCTCGCCGCTCATTGACTCGGCGATGACTGAGTAGCCCTCTGGATTCGGTAGAGCAAATGTAGTCTCCGTATCAGTAATCGGGACTGTATACATCTCTCTAAATACTCCGATGTCGGAAGCAGGACATAGCCCTCGGTACCACCAATCTGGAGGCAGTGCAGCTTCCCAGTCTCGATAGGACGCGGCATCTTTCCAGTAGAGTGTGAAGACTATGTTGCGATAGCCAGAGGAGTCTGCGAAGCTCGATCGAATGTGGTGGTGAGGCCCTGATTTGGTGTGGATGGCTCGGCGGATTGTGTCGATCGCGTCTGCGGGGTCGGTAGACGGAAGATGTTGAACGCCGAGGTCAATTGTGACGATGGCGGTGGTTTCTTTGGGGAAGCGGGCGGAGTGGGATGCTTGTTGAGGGCCTCTGAAGCAACGAGGATGATGAAGCGGTTGCGTGCGATTGACTTTGAGATGGTTTGGAATGGCTGGCTCCAAACAAGATCTCTTTGGCGTGCTGTACATCTATTAATACAGTTGCCAACCACCAGACACAATTTTTTGATGTTGCATTGGATATGGGTTGAAACAGTTGAACATACCTTGAAACAGTCATGTTTCAGTTTCTGACACTGGGCTAGTAGACGAGGTGACTGTTTCTGGGAGTAAGAGATTGGAAACACAACGCAGACAAGAAGATTGAAATGAATTAATTAAATCAAGATGCAGAAATTCATTCATTTATCTAGGTAGATAAAGAATGGTATGCTGAACTTTATCATACAATTCCTTTGCACCAGACGTTGATGCCGCGCCGAAAGCCGAAGGATTTCTTCAGGGGGTTACAGCGTTTCCCTTGACGCTGTTGACGCTGGAAGCGAGGTGGGTCACCTGCACCTCAGGGAAGGTCTAGACCAAAAATCAAATTCTGGCACTAAAGTTTAGCGTTTAAGGTTGACGACGGAGCTAACGATAACGTCGCCGTTGACGCTGAAGACGCTGAGCATCGCGTTGTCAAATAAATTTTAGGTAAACAGTTTTCTCTAGAGCGAGAGTCTACAGTCAGGTTTATCCATGTATCATCATCTTGACAGGTATAAAGACTTTAGTTTGCATAAAAAGATCCAAGTCTTATCCGTAAATAACGAATAAACAAATATTAGTGTCTTATTAAGCTAAGCCAACATGGACGCCGACCCTACACCAAACCCTTCCAACGACAAGCAACACAAAGTCCGCATCTACGTCGTCCAGCGATGTCCCCGTCTCTTAGACCTTGAACACGGCGTCCAAACAGCGACTGAAGAGATTGCGGCAGCAGCAAAGGCTGGAGCAAACCTCATTACCTTCCCCGAAACATGGCTGACGGGATATCCTGCTTGGGTATTCGGCATGGCGAGTTGGAACGACCCTGAAGCCCGAGGCTGGTACGAAAGACTCGTTGAAGCTAGCCCAACTGCGTCAAGTCCCCATATCACACGAATCAGAGATGCCGCGAGGGAAAACAATATCGAAGTCGTGCTTGGATTCAATGAACGAGCCCGAGAGACTGGTGGGACTATTTACAATAGTGTCGCCATAATTGGACGAGATGGTTCTCTTCGTGGTATCCATCGCAAGCTCACCCCGACGCACGCTGAGAGACTTGTCTGGGCAAATGGCGATGCGCAAGGTCTCAAAGCCTATGATACTAGCTTTGGAAGGATCGGTGCAGCGGTTTGCTGGGAACACTTCCATCCTCTCATCAGACACGCTCTGCATACAGAAGATGAACAGATCCATATCGCGCTGTGGCCTGACATGCCCTCGGCACATCAGATTGCTTCTCGACAATATGCCTTTGAAGGAAGATGCTTTGTTGTCGCCGCAGCTTCCTACCTCGACAAAGAATCTGTGCCGCCAGAGTTGTTGGAGGCATACGTCAAGGGAGCTGGCTCAGCAGATCTCTTCACGGGCGGCTCGGGTGTGATTGGGCCGGATGGGGAGTACATTTCTGGTCCTGTGTATGGTTCCGAGCCGTTGATTGTGGACATAAATATCGGGCTGACTATTGCTTATAAGCATGATCTTGATGTAGCAGGCCATTATGGCAGACCAGATATCTTTAAGCTGTCGATTAACAAGGAGGGCGATAGAAGATGAAGTAGTTAATAACTCAAAACAGAGCCAAGTTCCAACCACGATGTTTGGTGACATCCTGCCATGCAACTGCCCTCGGCCCATTGACTGACCAGATCTCATCTAGAACGTCAACACAAGCATCAGCGTTCTTAAATCTTCTCCATTTGTTCATCGCTACGAGTCGGCTCCGTATGGCGCTGGCTTGCCTCGCATTCTCAGCTACACTTCCCGCGACAAATAGAGGAAAGAGTAGAGAGATTTCCGCGAATGCGCCGTGGGGTATCCTGTCCGATAGAGTAGATATGGCCTCGACGTGCGTCGAGGTTCCTCCAGGTATTACATCCGCCACGATTTGCTGAGGAAAGCGCTTTCGTAGAACAGACTCGAGGTAGATGAGTGCCGCGCTGCGATATGTCTCGCTCAACAGAGTAAGAGGTTCATCGCTCGTGATACCAGGCTTACACTTCCACTCTGCAAGACCATTGGCAATTACGTACGCCTTCTGTAGCATCTCCTCATCTGAATCGATTGTGCTGAGGACACTTATCTCGGATAGATAGAAGATAATTCGCGGGGCATAGGCGCAATATGGATCTGCCAACGCGTCATCGCTTGACATCCAGTAATCGCCTGTTAGTAATGGCTTCCGATCGAGAGATATACTCGTCAAACTATCGTGGTATGCAAAGAAGCGCAGTAACCATTTTGCTTCAAAACTCAAGTTTCTCGATGCGCGTATTGAGTCGAGACATGCTGCTGCACCAGCGACGTGACATGTCCAGCCGACGCTTGTTCCGTCTGAGATGGTCTCGAGTGCGCACATGACCATTGCGATGGCGAGGCGCATCTCGCTCGTCAGACTATTGTCCTGATCGAGGGAACTTCTGAAGGCGGATAAGACGCGGCCACGATGTTGGAGGGATATGTCGTTGAAGTCTGGGTTGCACATTGCGAGATGCGTTGATGACAATGCTGTAATGGCATCTAAGAGAACTGGACAGTCGAATGCCATTGGGAGTAATACCGAGATGAAGCAGTTGTTCTCTGTATTCGTTGACAACATTTGCGCCAGAGTCGTCGTGTAGTGTCGCAGCATCGCCCGACGGCCTGTGCTCAGATCCCTAGAGTGACCATCATCTGGGCGAACCACATCCACGGGCTCACTGATACCAGCATGCGCATCAGGGTACCTCATCACAGCAGCCCAAGCTGGAGGCGACTTTCTAACCCGCCGGGGTGCTTGGTACTCGCAGATGAGATTGAGTCGAGTACAGTCTCCACAAACAGGCACCCTCGTATCACACTTCTTCCTGCGCTGCCGACACGTCAAGCATCCATGCTGCTGTCGCGTAAAGGGTTTCTTAGTGCGCTTTTTGGCTGATGGTGTAGAGGGGAAATCCAGATTGCCATTGGATAACGGGGGGCTGGCCATGGCTGCCAAGGTTGCTGCATGTAACGCGTTTGGGGCGAGATGGGAAGGGGGAGAAGAGAAGATGAGTGGAACGTGAATCAGCTCCTGGCTTTGGATGCGCAATAACCGCTAACTCGGTACGGAGGCGTCAGGTTAGTTACTGCAGGGTTTACCCCGCACTTTTACGGTCAACTCAATCAGCTAGGTGCCGGTGGTCTCAGGAACAATTAGTCTTAGTGTTGACAGAATTAGCTCGCAGTCTCCATATGGAAATGGGCAGGTGACGGTCTAGCATTTCTGTCTATCCCTAGTCTAGCTTTGTTCTTAGTTATCGCACTCCTTATATAGATAAGCTTTCAGGGAACTCTTATCGCTCTTGACGCCCTTGACGCCGAAGCTTCTCCACAATCCCAGCGTTCCGGTTCCCTTATCTTGAGCTAGCAGGACGACAACGTCAAGCGAAGCATCATTCGTATCACAACTCCCAGTTCAGTAACTGCATTTGATTCGAGATGTTTGCGATTGGGATGATCCATATATAGATGTTGCTCATTTCCACATTAATTGCGCATCATCCTCTCAATATGCCATGAGCACCCTACATCGAGACCAGCACTGTCAACATTATCCCTTCAACCTCAGTCCCTGATATCTTCATCCTCTTCGTTCTTCCCTACTGACCTCAAGGTTGTCTTCCCAGCTATGAAGGGCGATCATGACCACACAATGGCTCCGTCCGAGCAGTCAGCCATTGCCTCAGTGGTCTCATGTGAACCCTCACCAGATGGCAAACTTCAAGCTGAGCATGCAGACTACCCGCAAACCCACCTCCGAAAGCGCTTCACACTTGTATCAACAATCGCATTCGGTTTCACCACCATGAACTCCTGGGTCGCTTTTGCCTCAGGTCTTGCCGTTCCTCTCTCATGCGGCGCTGGGCCAACTCTCATCTACGGTCTTCTCGTCGGTGGCATTATCATGGCCATCCTCGCAGCAGGCTACGCAGAGCTAGCTTCGGCATTCCCATCTGCAGGTGGCCAGTACCATATCGTGTACATGACGTTCCCAGCGACAACACGTCGATTCGCTGCCTTCTTTACCGGGTGGATGTCGATTTTGTACACCATGGGAGCCACCGCGTCATGCAGCTTCTTTGTCGCACAGTCGATCCTTAGCCTGGTATCTTTGTGGAATGAGACCTATGTTGCTCAGAGCTGGCATGTATATCTCGTCCACATCTGCCTTTGTACCATTGCTTTCCTAGCTGCATCACGATTCCCAGCTGCCATTGGAAGTATCGGTGTTTCAGTGTTCTGGCTGTCGATCATCGGCTTTATCGCATCGCTTGCAACGCTCTTGGCAGTTCAAGAAGTCAAACAGCCTAGTAGATTTGTCTTTACAGAATTCACGAATGTTTCTGGGTGGACAGATGGATGGGCTGCTATGATCGGTCTCGCGAGCTGTCTCTGGGCTTATTGCGGTATTGACGCACCGAGTCATCTCTCTGAAGAGGTCGACAACCCAAGCCGAAACATCCCCATCGCCATCGGCGCCACTATCATACTCGGAATCATCACCGTGATTGCTTGGAACATCGGTCTTACGTATGCCATCAAAGACGTTCAAGGACTTATTGCTTCGGGTGCTCCGATCATGGAAGTGTACAATCAAGCTCTGGGCTCCAAGACCGCAACGACGATATGGGCGATTTACTACATCCTCATTTTCTATCACATCATTCTCAACCTTTTCGTGTTTTCTTCACGCATTTTGTGGTCCTTCGCACGAGACGGCGGTGTTCCCTATTCTGCCTATGTCTCTCGCCTCAGATGGTCCAACCCAGCCCGCGCAACAGCCATCATGCTCTGTCTCCAAATCATCATCGGTATCCTCTACATCGCTTCGAAAACAGCTTATAGTAGCTTCATCAACCTGACCCTATTTGCACTCAACATCACGGTTGTATTGCCACAAACTGTCTTGTTATTCACAGGTCGCGATTCACTGCCAAAGCGGGCTTTCTCGTTGGGTCGATATGGATATGTTGTCAATACGCTGGCAACAATCTTCATGCTTTTCTTTAGTGTTGTGTTTGCATTTCCTGTTACTCGGCCTGTTACTGGAAGTTCCATGAATTATCTAGTTGTTATATTCGTAGTCAGTCTGATCTTCATTGTCTCATCTTGGCTATTGGGTCTTTCCAGACGATTCACGGGGCCATCAGAGGGAACTTTACATATTTGAAGATACATGCAGTCACAATAATTGAAACATTTGAGACACTCTTGTCCTATTACATATCAACTACTCACTACATCAAGCACTATCAGTTACTTCCAAACCTCCCCCAATATGTCTGAACTAAACATGCAATATGGATGTTACAAGCTGACCTTGCGCAGACTCTTGATGAACACTGGTCCAATCAAGCCATGCTTTTGCCAATCGGCAGAAGTATACAAGATAGGTGCCGCAGGACCAATGCCATTAGCCTTGACATAATCAACTCTTGCCTTCACCGCATTGAACAAAGTAGACGCCACCTCCACCCGAATCGTGTTAGTTCCCTTTACCAGATAATCCGAGACATCGACTTGAGCGTCGTAAATGTTGATCGCTGGGAGCTGCTTGTCGTTGACCCACGCTCGGAAGGTGTTGAGCACGGGACCGAACTGAAGTACAGTGATGGAATCCTTGCTTGGGACGCAGGTGACATTGAAGGTAGCTGTGTATGTACCAACGCCTGATACATTCTGCGCTCCCGAGATCTCGGACCACGGCTTGAGGGTTGCCTGAGTGCCAAGCTTCATAACCTTCTTGACAGATGCAGACTTTGCCTCGTCAGGACCAGGAACCCAGGACTCAAGCGTCAAGTTCCAGTTGCCGATGTCAGTGTTAAGAGCATCCTTCTTTTCGCTACCACTGGCAGCAGGGATCTTTTTGGTCTGTCCGTTGGACAAGGTCAAGGAGGCTGCGTTATAATCTCCCAAGATGACGGAGATACCCTCTTTGCCATCAGAACCGTAGGATGTTTGGAAGACATTATCGGACTGTGAAACAATGCTCGTCTTAGACTTCCCACTGGTAAACGCAATGATTGCCGTCTGGCCTTGTTCCAAAGATATCTGGAAGCTAATCTTGCCCGAGGAGCGCTTGAACGATGCCATAGCAGTCTGCTTCCCAGTCCATGCATCGAGCTTGTAAGGAACCCTGCCCTGATCCACCTCTGCCGTGATCTCAAAAGTCGCCGATGAGCCCTTGTTAACAAGGAGCAGATATTCCGCTACTTTGTCTGATCTCCACACAGTGTACAAGTCCTTCGCAGCATCTGAGCCCATGGTCACTCGGGGCTTGACGGAAAGTTTCCCAAGCGCGTTGAGTAGGTGATCAGCGGATTTGGCGAAAACAATGGTGGAGTACTTGGATGCCTTGAGCTTCGAGATGTTCTTGCTCACAACATCTTGCCCTTTGCTTCCCATGGTAGTGCCGGGGAGACTTCCGATAACCACAATTGGAAGGCCTGCATCGGCCAACTCAACGAGCTTTTGCGATGCCTCGGCAGTGATGAATTTTTGCTGGTTGAGTATGAGCGCGCGATATCCTGCACCTGTAGAGTCCAAGATCTTGTTTGAAACCTTGAAATTCTTGGAGCCAAAGTTTGCTGGCGAGAGATACTCGTATGTGAAGCCTCAGACTCTATTAGCAAAAGTAATATCACCGTATGGCACAGCTGGTACCTACCACTAGCACGAACTTCCGTGCCATTATACTCATCTGATATGCCGAAAGGATCCTTGCACAGGTAAAAAGCCAAATCTTTCTTGGCTACTCCTTGTTGCAGAACAAACTGGTTTCTGGCAGTGTAATTCATCATCTCGCCCATATACTTCCATGCCGGCTGCTTAGGGCTCCATAACTCAGTGTAGATATACTGAAAAGGCGTGAATCCGGGCCAGGTTGAACCGAGTTGTTCTCCAGTGTACGTCATCCCATGGATCATCATGGCATTGACGCCGCCTGCGAATGCGTCGTGGAAGAGTTTGACGAGTGAGGGGATAGTAAGGCTGTATGCTCCTTGCGCTACTGCGCCGATCTCTGTGGAGATAACATTGCGACGACCGAGATGTGCGGGGCCGACGAATTGTGACATTTGATCTGGTGTTTTGAAGGCCAGAGATTCGAGTTCCGGGGTGGAAACGATCGGTACGTCGGCGAGCTACCAACACGTCAGAAATAATTCATAGCGCTAGTATTACAGCGAGAAGAACTTAGACCTACAATGTCCAAGGGAATGTTGTAACCAACTTGGCATGAGTGAGAGAGGCCCAGCGATTCAGCCCAATCTTCAAAGGTTTGTAGATACTCCTGGTAACCCTCGTTCAAGGTCAGTCGGTAGTCTTGGAGGTACTTGCTCTGTCCATCATCTAGAGTTCCATCAAGGTAGAAGGTAGTGTTGTAGGGAGCTTGAGCTGCTGTAAAGGATGTTGACTTGTGGAATAACAATGGAAGATACTTGATGACGTCGTAACCGCGCTTAGCCTTGAAGCGATCAGGGAAGTCGGGAGACCAATAAAGCGACGCTTGTATTTCCATACTGTCCTCCCAAGCTACTCGTATGTTAGCATGCCTAAAGCAAAAGCTTATGGGATTGAACTTACTATGCTTGCCAACCTCCTTGAGCAACTGACGGATCTGGGTACTCAACAGGTTCTTCTCCCAGAACTGGAATGCTAGCTTCGCCCCAGCGGCACTGAAATGATCTGTTACCCAAGAGCCATTGGCAATGACATCGGTGGGCACGCCTTCGCAGGATCGCTGGTTGGTGTAGCGCTCGTAGTGCGCGAATAAAACATACTCTTTGTAATCCTTCGGTGCCGTCCATGTGAGTTTGCTGTTCTTGACATACTTGGTCAAGTCAACGAGTGACTTCTCATACAGGGCGACGAAGGCGTTGCTGTCATCAGAGGCGTTTACTTCGCAAGCGTTAGTATAAGACACAACAGTGTGATGAACGATTGTAGGGGTAGCGCTAAGTAGGGGGGATGTCTTACTAGATGCGACGGCGGCGGCAGATACCCCAATAAGACGGCTCCCACCAAACTTCTCCTGCGGGTGGATATATCCCAAGTTCTCGTTCCAGTTAATATCAGCAGCTGGCAAAGCCCCATCGAACTTTTCTCCTCCCTTGACAGACACCTTGCCATAGACAAGCTGTACAGCAAGACCCGGAGTAAGCGGCTTCGATGGAACACCCTGGCCCTGGCTAGCACCCAGCGCCACATCCATCGACAGCCCATTCGCTTTGGTCGCTTCGAGCGCAATCTGAAGAACGTCTCTGAACGCTGGTTTACCAAAGGCGTATGTCTCCATCTTGGAGTCGTTGACACCACCGAAGCCGTAGTTGTAGAACGGGAGAAACTCTAGACCGCCAGCGCCTAGCTTTTGGAGGTCTTGGATGTCGGTTTTGAGAACATCGTGGTCGACGTCTGCATCTGGAAGCCTGTGTATAGGAGTAAAATGGCGATGTTTCCTAGGGTTGGATTGGTTATTTACCAATATCTGAACTTGGGGCGATACTCGGCTGCTGGAGCAGTGAAGCCTGGGACCGCATTGGGCGAGTCTGGGATACCCAGCCCAACGACTGCACCAATGGCAGTCGTGGAGGCAAGCAAGTGGCACCCGTAGAGACGCATATAGTCAGAGTACCAAGTTTGGTGAAATGAATGTGCTTATACTTCCTAGTTAGAAGATTGGCTTTTGCAGATAGCTATAGGCCCTTCTTTTATGTGCATTTCTAACCTCGCAACTCGGGCAAGTTGTCAGCGAGATTGACATCCCCAAGGCGTTATCTAAATTAGCCATCGCTGTTAATTACGGCGAAGTGAGCCCCCTCCATGGACGATTCCCCGACACTCACCAAGCATTTACGGGTAAGCTTGGTCGTATTGAGGTTAGCACTGCCGATTCAGGGGATTACCCCGTGGGGAAATAAGGTCCCGTGAACTGTGGGTTAGGCTCGTTCCTTAACTCGGATACACTGTACTAAATAGCTGATTGAGTATCTCGTTCGCCTTCTTGGTGTGACTCTGTTTTGTTCACTGACGTCTACTCTTAAATATTTCTACCATCACATGGCGTATCGCCTTTGATAGAGAAACTAATTGAGGTGCTATTTTTGTTATGTTATATCTGGTTTACCAAAAAGCAGAGGTTGGGTGTAAGTATGACCTCGTTTACCGCGTTGTTTACCTCGTTTACATCTCGTTCCACTCACCCCGGTCTTTCTCCGTCTCGGCGTTTGTTACCCCGTCTATTTACTCACTGTATACGGTGAATACATGACAAAGACAACTCTTTTCGATTGAGTTGCAGGCTAGTACCGAAAACGACATCACATCGAGGAATTCTGAAACTTCGCTCATAAACACCATAAGCCAGGAAATTTTAATTCTCCTTAGTCTCTAAATCGGGGTTTCTTCTTTTCTTTACATAGGTACCTAAAGTCTGATTTAGAGTTTTTGTTATTTCAGAAACGGCCCTTTTCTGGCTTTTTTAATATTGACACGCTGGCTCGCTTATGCTGCAGGCTGGGCTCGCGGATTTAGAAGATCATTACACCTCTTCTGAGCCGCCACCTCCTTCTCGCCAGGCCAGGTCCCCCCTTCGTTCATAGACAACTTCTCCATCTGTATTCCAAATGCCATATCAGCGGCTGTCGGTCCCTGGCCATCTGCGCTCGGCACGTCTCTGCGGGCACCCTTGTCAAGAAGCAATTTCACTGCGGCATCATTACCCGCAAGAACTGCCAGGTGCATCGCTGTTAGCCCTAAGCTTTCCTCAACAGCGTCAAGCTGTTCCAGATCATTAAACTGCAATAGTAGCTCATTCATAATCTCACGGTTTGCACTCCAATCGATATCGGTCCAGTCCAGCTCAGCCGCCTCGGTTGCATCCGTCCCGCGGAACTCGGTGTCAATGTGAGCGGCTGCGGCGCGGTGGAGCGCCGTCCACTGCCGAGTTGGCTCGACGATGAAATTCAAGCAGTCTGCGCTGCCAAGGAGGTAGCGGAGACGTGCGATTGAATTTCGCGCGTTGGAGGCGATGACATGGCCCAAGATGGTCGTGGGGTTTGTGAAGCTCAGGTGGCCGCTGCTCATGCTGGTCGAGTTGATATCAGCACCATGCGATATGAAGCATTCAGCGAGTTGGAACTGGTCGTTCTGTACTGCGACTAGTAGTGGGGATTCGGTTCTGCCAGAATCGTCCGGGAAGCCGTCGATGGGCGCGCCGTGGTCGAGAAGGGGTTGGACTAGTCGCGTATCATTTTGTCCTGCGTACGCCAGGACATGAAGAGCGGTCCACGTTGAAGTTTGTCCACTGAATGGATTCTTAGAAGCTCCCGTGGCCTGTGCTCCATGCTCAAGGAGAGGATTGACCATCGTGGGACGATTCCATCGAACTGCCTCTAGGATCGGCGTTCGCAGGTCAACGCCGCATGCGCGGTCAATGTCACCCGTTTTGAACGCACCAACGTCTTGGGAATGAAGTACTTCTTCATCGTAGTTTTCTCCAGCTTTCATGACATCAGCTCCGTGTTTGAGAAGGTATTCAACCAATTCGTCTCGGGCTAGTGAGACGGCCAAATATAGAAGCGTTTGGTTGAAGCCGCCGTAGCCCTGGGGGGAGGCAACCCTGCTGGTCCTTGGTAATAGACACTGGAACGTTGATTCCATCGCCTGTTGGTATCTCGGGCCATGGTACAGGATCATGTCGAATAGGCTGCTGCCGTAAGCAGCCTGCTGAAGGAGGCTTGTCACCAAGAAGTCCCCGTGTTTGTCTGCCCCTTGTTCGACATTGAATTGCTCGATGGCATGGATCATCAGCTCCAGGCACTCTGAACGAAGTTTTGATGCTGCAATTTCTAGCGCACTTCTTGCTTGAGGCCATGATGTATTGCACATCCTTGGATCGGCGGTGTGGGACAACAAGAATTTGACAATTTTGGGACGGTCACAGTGAGTCGCTAGTTCATACGTCAGCCCCTCTGGTCCACACAAAATCTAAGTCATGTAGTTTATAATAGACGCGGGATGTATATAGAATGGGAAACACTCACCCCATCCGATTGGATGACCTTCAGGGAGCCGATCAACATCTAGCGATGCCGGAAACCCTGCTTGGTAAGCGATGAATGTGGTGGTTTTGCTATTTGTATCGGCGCCGGCTTGTATCAATGCTGGGCCAACACTTTCGATCTCTTCATCATCGAAGGATATCAGCCAGTGAAGCGGAGACTCTCCATTCCGTGCCACTGACGCGGTCGCTCCATTGGAAGTGAGCCACAAGACCGTATCATGATGTCCTGCACGACAAGCACACAAAAGCGGCGTCTCGCTTTGGTCGTTGAATTGGTTAACTTTAAGCGAGGGAAAGTGATCCAATAGAGCCCTGATAGCTTCAGTTTGACCGCAACTTGCGGCCACGTGAAGAATACGGTCACCTCTCTTGTTGGCTGTGTAGTCGGCGATGGAATCAAACTGAGAAAAGTTCTCAAGCAAGACGGGAATGTTTTCAAAAGTTCTCATCCACATATTGTGAGCAAATCCGTGAAGCATTTCTGTCTTGAAAAAGAAATTCGCGCCTGTGCCTGCGAGGACGTCACGGATAGTTTTCTTCGTTTTCTCGTAGGTTTCCTTGGAGATCATGGCGAGATCTTCGAGGGCAGTTCTTGAACCACGTAGGGCCATCAGTTCCAGGGTTTCGATTACTCCGTCTGTATTATCGAACGTGAGCCCGATGGCACGCGCGATTCGGTATCCATATGCTGACGCCAGTGGATGCTTCGCTCCCCAGGCATGAAAGAGCCATCTGGATGCTTGCGATGTATCTTTGTCTACGCCGTACCCGTTGATGTAGAGAGCCGTGAGAAGGAAAGCCTCCGGTGGATTTATCATACCCTTCTCAGCCTCACCCTCGCCTCTTTGGATGTATGTCCTTGTCAGGTACCTCTGGACAGAAGGATCCATCTTCGTCCAGTGGCGCCATGTGAAAAAATGTTGCTATGCGGGATGAGCTTTCTATGTATTCAACGAGCCAGGCTATTATAACCTACATTCAGGTTTGATTTCAACACTTGATTTGGCTCAGCACTGTCTCGGTTAGTTTCTCGTTATGTATCGCCTGTTGGCAATGTGAGTACCTGTCTTGAGTAAAGGAACCACTGTGGCCCAGGGCGACCATGATTTGTTCAAGGTCTCTTTGCTGTGGCTCATGCGATAATCCTATTATCACAGCTCTTTTCATCGCATCGTATAAGCCCGAACGTTGAACAATTGCGATCAGCTGTTCCTTCAGTGGCTCCAACGCTTGGAAATACATGGTTGGAATGGCACACAGAATCTTTTCAATGTCGTCAATGCCAATCGCTGGTTGGTAGGCCTGTCCGTTGTTCTGTTGCAATTGCTGCTGGAGAGACTGGAAGTGCTGGAGGAACTGGCCGCTGTCGCCATAAGTAGTGGCCCTAATGGCTTTCAAGTACCATACAGAAATATCTGTCTGGCAGCTAGTTCTTCAGTCTCCTTCAGTTTCTCTGCTTCCGCGTAGAATTCTTCGCCCTGCTTGGATGGGTCCACGAGGAGTTTGAAAATGCTTTGACCATGTGCGAATGTACACCAGATGAAGAGGGACAATGAGTATATGTCGGTATACTTTGCGTCTGATGCCTTGACTGCTTTCTTCGGCTCGGGGGCTTTCCACGGCCGGGTTCCTCCTAGTAAGAGGCTGCTCCTTTCAGCATTTATCACCTGAGAGTAGCCGAAGTCATTCACTTTGGCTCTGTACTTGTGTTCCGCGTCTGCGAATATCAAGACATTCTGCGCCTTGATGTCACCATGAACGATGCCACATGAATGAAGCATATGAAGACCTTTGCAGACATCAAGGCAGAGCTTACGCCGAGTCTCTACGCCGAGATACTCCCTCTGTTGCAGCTGCCAGAGGCTCCCGTATTCCGCAAACTCCACCATGAGAACCGGTAGTTTCTGCGAAGAGTTAAATGGGTTTGCGCCCCATGCCAATCCAAGAAAGTCGACGAGGTTGGGGTGCTGCAGGATTGGCCGGTGCGTCGAGAGATAGAGCTCCATGATTGCCGCGTCTATGGCGTGCCGGGACGTTTGAGTGGCTTCACCTTTATCCGAAAACTCGATGACGGCCACTTTGTAGGCGACTACCTCCGGCAGCTTGCGTTTATCTCTAATCTCGATCAAGAGGCCATCCATGTTTGTACGCGACGTGAGAGGCTTCTGGGGCGGGATGCGACGTCGATACACGGTGAAGCTTGCGCCCCGGCCGGCATATGAGGCGCTGTCCACGGCTTGTGCATTTGAAAATACTGGAGGGACCGATAATGTCACGGCATTGTCGGCCAAGAACGCTCTGTAGGCAAAGTCCAAGGCGTTCGGGATGAAGCGCGCATCATCTAAGGTTGAAGGGTCATAGGGTTTGAAGGTCGTAGGATCGGAGGTTTCGTCCCTGAAAGACGTCAAATTTCTTCCTGATGAGGAATCCATTTCGTTTGAGAGAATCAGTGACTGGGTGATAGAGGTCCAAGCTGCTCAGCTCAAAGCGTGAAGGAGGAATGTTGGTCCGGGTTCTGACCAGGCGGGGAACCTTAAAGGAATGGTTCCGCTGCCTTAGCTTCTTTCAAGGGTCTTATGTTGCCGGTAAACACATAGTTATTTATTATGTAATTACCCATTTGCGGCTGAGGTGCTACGGCCTGCCTCAGCCTGTTTTGCCGTTGACAATATTGTTAGGACGACTGGAGGACTATTGCGAAAGACACCAAGTGGAGTGGACTAAAAAGTGGAGGAGTGGGCTCAAATAAGTCACTGGATGGGTCAAAGGAGTTAACTATCTTTAGCGAAGGGATATATGATCATTGACCGCTGGAAAGAGCCTAAAAGGTCGGAGGCGCCAGTTTAACAGTGTTCAGAGATCTTAATATCGGATAATTGCACTTGCATAAGCCTCAGGTAGGCTAGGATCCTGTTAGGCTGATTAGGCCTCGTCCAGCATCACACGCCTATCCGACACAAACCCCTTGGGCGATCCACCGAGACTCGGACTATCCAACCAAAAGTTATAGGGGAAATACCTCTATTACACATCCATCATGGACCCTGGAACAGCTCTAGCTGTGGTGTCGCTCTCTTTCGACCTCTTTGCCAGCTGCGTTAGAGGCTTCACCTTGATATCTGACGCTCGAAACATCGGAAAGGATGCAGCCATCGAACGAACAAAACTCGTGCTTCAAGAGCATCGACTGATTGAATGGGCTAGGGCAATCGGCCTCAACCCTCCCAGAGACGATGGATCACTAGAGATACACAAGCACCCTGCCGCTCTCATTTTGTTCCAGCTAGAGCAGCTTCTCTCCTCAACGGACGCTTTGAAAAAGCGCTACAAGCTGGAACTCGTGTCTCCACCTAATGACTCTGATGACTTGGTCCCTTCCGAACCGGCGATCGTCTCTGACAACCCGGCTTCATCGATCCTTTCAACTATTGTACCACCCGAGATTCGCCAGGGCATCCTCAAGCGCGCATCTACACTTAACACGGCGAATCGGTTCCCACGGCGTCTTTATTGGGCCGCTGTCGACAAGAAAAGGTATGCTGAGCTGGTGCAGGATGTGACCGGTCTTGTCGATGGGCTTTGGTCTCTCTTGGACATTCCTCACCGAATCCAGACGTCTCGCGCAGTCAACCAGACGCTGCAACTCGCGATCCAAACGAGTGAAGATATCAAGGGTCTTCAGTATCTCCAGAAATCTCTTCACGACTCATTCACAGATGCTGGTGTTGGAAACTCCCTCGCTGCCTCGGCAGGCCTAAAGGCACAGCATATTTTGCTCACATCACATAGTGGTGGTGCCCGGCAACGAGCGCACTCCGATGATGGGGCCAGCCGTGTACCAGCAGAGCTTCCATCGGTTCTGGACCCTTCCCGGCTATCTGGCATTCATATGATGACATCAACCATTGGATCTGCCCTTTACAAGGGAGACACTGTGCTAATAGAAGAGAAACGTGTACAGCCAGGAATGAAAGCCAAGCTTAAACCACGTGTTGAAGCTCTTGTGCGTCTACTCTCGCAGCCCCCCACGCCATCTTTTCAAACATTCCCTTGTCTGGGATACACTGAAGAGCAAGGGGGCTTCCGGTTGGTCTTCAGACTCCCTCCTGGCACCGAGAAGCCTCCTTCCCTGCTCAGTGTATTATCGAAATCCAGCGGACCACTGCCAGATGTTGGCATGCGACTTCGTTTAGCTGCCCAGGTGTGCCAGACGCTCCTGAGCTTCCACACAGCCGGCTGGCTCCATAAAGACATGCGATCTGAAAACATTCTCCTCGTCTCTCCGACCTCTAGCTCATCCATTGACCGCCTAGGTCGACCATATCTCTGCGGTTTCTCGTTCGCACGACAAGGTTCGCCGACCGAAATCAGCGAACAGCCATCTGAGGACCTCTCACGGGACATTTATCGGCACCCCAAGGCTCTCGGAGAGCCTTCGGACAGCTTCGAACGCTACATGGATGCATATTCTCTCGGCTGCGTCCTGATAGAGATCGCAGAATGGGCACCCCTCCGGAAAATTGTCAAGAAGCGCGTTGATATCAGCGATGGCAGTGGCGTAACTTTGGCTGATGTTGCTTCACTCTCACAGTGGATGTATGATCGATATATAACTGAAGGATTCGCAGGATTTCGACTCGGGGTTGGATTCATGAGGATGCTTGCTCTATGCATCCCAACAGGAGATAAAAAGCCGGATTTGGCTGACTTCTATTCTGCACTTGAAAGTATAGCTACTTGTTGAATTTAATTAGAGTTGCAGTTTTAGTTATATTTAATTTATATTGGCAAATAAATTAATATTTAAGACAGTACCTTGAAGCAGAATCAATAAACCCTAAAGTTATCAAAAAAGAGCCACAAGTATCGGAATCCCCATAGAGAGCAACTTCACCCTTGTCAAAGATGAACCGCCATTCTCGTTGTCATTGTCACCGCTTCTTCCCGTCGCGTCTGGAAACAATTGCGCTCTGTGGCTTGTCCTCGTACTCCATCCCCACATGTCTTTCACAGTAACCGTACCTGTTCCCGTGACATGAGCCTCGGTACCTGTGTACCATTCCTCCATTGCCTCTGCCGAGTATCCATTCTCCATACAGTAAGAAGCATAGTAATGCCTCATGGTCTCAGCATCCTGCGACTCTTGCCCATTTGAGCAACTCGCCTGGGCGCAGCTGTCGATGTGTTTGCTCACGGCTTTCGCTTTGTCGCTGTCTGTCGCGCAGTAGCATTTTTCTTGGTACGGCGCACCGCAGTTTAGAGCGCTGCCGACGTCAGCGTTTGGGTTGTTGGGGCGGAAGAGACATGGTCGGATGCACTGCTCAACGTCGCCTGGAACTTTGCGGAATATATCGACTGTTTGGGAGAGAGACCGAGTCGCGAGGACCAGCAGTGCGATTAATCTCATGGCCATGGGGGTCATTCTCAGAGTACTTGGTGGAAATGAACGACTGAGGCGTTGATGATTGTTGATCAAATGGTGAGAAGTCAATATTGAAATGAGTGGACTTGATGTCAGATTCTGTGTGGCGTAGTCGACTTTATCTGTAGATCCCAGCCGCGATGACTCTTCCCCTCATGCGCATTGGTAGGCATCAGGCCATCAGTGCTGTTCTGTAGGCGGTTGCGCAACCAATGACAGGCGGTCTTTCCTGCCAAGACTGTAGATCTCTGTTTCATAGCCCTGCAGCTTCTTTTTCATCACTGCCATCACCAACACAAAAACTATAAATATCTAATTCTAACTGTCTCATATCTACACGATTTATTTTGACCAAAAATGGTAAAGGGGACTCCTCATTTGCTGGGAGATGGGGTAGAGTTGACTGAATACATTTACTAGTGACGAGCAGTCTTGGTCGCTACCAAGTAGTGGTGATCAATTTTTCCCAAGCCCAGGTCATAATGTGTATATGTCTCTTGAGAAAAGTATTTTTCGTAATCCAACCAGACACTGCATTCCAGGTGATCCTCGTGGCTGAGCTTATCTGCGATCTGATCTACAATTCTCCGCGTACGGCTCACCCCGAAACGCCAAGATCGTATACGCGTATAGAGATTAGCCCATATCATAACATCAATCAACCTATATATATCAACATCAGATCCTAGAGATCTTGATCAAACATCTCATCACTTTCAACCTTATCGTCTAACACAGACGTGTTCATTCTTACCTCCTTTATCTTCTTTCGACATTTTGCTTCCGCCTTCCGCCGCGCACTCTGCCATTCAATCTCCACCTCCAAATCGAACAACCGACAACATGGGCATCAGAGACTTTTTCGACAGCCGCTTCTTTGAGCATAGTTGGAAGAACAAAGTCTTCATCCTCCAGGTCGTCACTGTTACTATTGCTTTCATCCTCGGCATCGCCAAGGTTGCAACAAAACCATCGGGTATCCCCATGACAAGATCCGACATCATGGCCATAACAATGGTGGGCTACCTTAGGTCTCTGACCAACACAACATGGACCAAGCTCACAGTTTCGCAGAGTCTCAAGACATACGCTTTCCTTGCCTACGAATATGTCACACAAAAGGTAGACAAGTTCAAAAGATTCGGAAGCCTCAAAGCCAATGCGATTCTGAACACCATGGACATCGTCTTCTGGGCGGTCGTGATGGGCTTGGCGTTTAATATGGCCACTCAAGTATGCATCGGTGCGAACTGTGCAATTGGCATTTTGGTCGGCCTGGTGGCGCTGGTCGTTACGTAAGTTGCCTTGCCTCAGACTCGTCAAGGAACTGGCTGACACTTCACAGAATCGTCAATTTTTGGGCGGCTGTTATTGCTTGGAAGGATCACAAGTACTTCAAGTGCAATGGCGTCCGGCGTGGCCATGGTGAGAAGTAAGGCGCTCAGTCCGGATGTATGACTTATTGATGAACTGCGCTATTTGTTTGGTTGGTGCTGTTGACTCGTTGAGGACTCACAAAGGTCCATCTTTGGCCTTATTTAGCGGGCGACGTGGCCGATAGAAAGAAGAAGACTATGAGAGAAATGAGACTTTGAGATACACCATAGACAATAAATGATATAGAGAAACCTGGGATATACTCTGCGCAAAATTGAATACCAAAACGTGTGACACGGTCGGTGGCTTTGGACATATCTGCCTCGAGGGAACCACCACATCTGACTTAACAGCTATGGCTTTTGGCTTGAATCGCTCTTGTGTTAAAGCTTTAGGATGTAATTATAATGTAGAACGCTACATTGTAATCACAGCAATGGCCCTTGATAATATCCTAGTTAAATTATTAGATTTACCTATAAGACTTGGAAGATTTTAAAGTATAGTTTGTTATTATTAACATACCCTAAACTTGGCTGGAAAATGTTTTCAGACGTAGAACGTGTTGTGAGCCCCACACAAGAAGCCATAACTAATGAGGTCTAGCGTAAAGCGGGAGCCGAGTCGCTCAGCACAAAACATTCTTAATACGCGTATTCATTATTGTCTCCACATATCAATCCGCCATTCACACGCACTGCCTCATAAGGCTTGGGCAGCTTGGCTCACGTAACTCGACACTGATCAATGGGAGTCTGTTCCGATTGATCGAAACACGAATGTATATCTGATCGGAGAATTAATTTAAATATTTATCGTAAATTAACTTTCCCAGAAATCACCATTTACCCGAGAATTATGCCTTGGTGATGGTTCTGAGACTTCGTTGGAGTCATGAGTCGGATTTTCGAGTACGAGTGTTTCTTGTGATACGCGTATTTGACGATAGCGTCGTCTCGGCCATTCCGTTTTTCGCAACCAGTCAATTAGCTACAATGTTTCGCGGTCAGATTTCTTATAATATGGCGTCTCGCCGCTCGGCAGCTGAAAATATTCTCAATCATTTCCAAATCTCCTCATCCTTGATCGACTTGTCCCACCATGTCTCCAACACCAGATGACGACCAATCTAACCGACAGACGAGATATTTCGAGCTCCCAGCAAATGGCGAGCATAGTGCCCAACTACCAGATGAGCTTCCGCCCTACCAAGCACTAGCGGAATTAGAAGCCACGACAACTGGCCGTGAAGATGGACGAATTGATATTGATCTTAGTTCGAGAATAGCTCGGCGACTCTCGAAACTGGTTCCCACGGGAAAGCCTCCCATTTCTCACGGGCAGAATCAGCCTCCTGCGTACACCGAGACAAGCGAAAAGAGCATTCGCCTAAATATCGTCATTCAGGTCGTTGGTAGTCGAGGCGATGTTCAGCCGTTCGTCGCGCTAGGTACAGAATTGCAGCGCCATGGCCATCGCGTGCGACTCGCGACACACGGTCAATTCGACAAATTTGTGAGAGAGTCAGGTCTTGAGTTCTTTTCCATCGGCGGTGATCCCGCTGAGTAAGTCCCCCAGAACCATTTATCGACGCAGCTAACCTCTTTGTAAAGACTGATGGCCTACATGGTCAAAAACCCTGGTCTCTTCCCTAGCATGAAGACACTACGTGGAGGTGAAATCCAGCGAAAGCGCAAAATGGTGGACGAAATGTTGCACAAGTGCTGGAGTTCCTGCATTGAGCCTGATGAGCTCACAGGACGACCCTTCGTTGCAGACGCCATCATTGCAAACCCGCCTAGTTTTGCGCATATCCATTGCGCGCAAGCCCTTGGTATCCCGTTACATCTGATGTTCACGATGCCGTGGACGAGCACGAGAGAGTTCTGTCACCCACTTGCGAATCTGAAGGCCAATGGGAGTGATATGTCGGCGACGGCTGCGAATTATGTGTCTTATTCACTGGTTGAGTGGATGACTTGGCAAGGGTGAGTTTTGATGAATTGCCCAAAGGTGCCAGTGTGCTGATCGCAGATAGACTCGGCGATATCATCAATGCGTGGAGAGACACCATAGACCTGGAACCGATTCCCTTCAGCGAAGGGCCTTGCTTGACGGAGACTTTGGGAGTTCCAGTTACATACTGCTGGTCTCCGGCTCTGGTGCCCAAGCCAGCCGACTGGCCTGAGAACATTGGTATGTCTCTATCCCTGCCCTTACGGACCGTTCGCTGATAACAGCCATGTAGATGTCTGTGGATTCTTCTTCCGCGATGCGCCAAAATATCAACCTGAGCCCGCTTTGCAGCAGTTCTTGTCAAGCGGTCCGCCACCGATATACATCGGCTTTGGCAGTATCGTAATCGATGACCCCGATAAGTTGGCAGCGACTATTCTCGACGCTGTCCGTGCGACGGGGACGCGGGCAATTGTTTCTAGAGGATGGAGTAAACTTGGCGGGGATTCGCCAGGTGACGACCAAGTCTTCTTTCTGGGAGACTGTCCGCACGAGTGGCTATTTCAGCATGTTACTGCAGTGATACATCATGGAGGAGCCGGCACCACAGCCTGTGGGCTTCTCAATGCGAAACCCACTACCATTGTGCCCTTCTTTGGAGAGTAAGTCACCGATACCCTAACTCAACTGCCCATGCTGACCGTGGACAGTCAACCGTTTTGGGGAAATATGGTCCACGCTGGTGGTGCAGGTCCAGCTCCCATTCCCTTCAAGGCCCTGAATAGTAGCAATCTTGCCGAAGCTATTCTCTTCTGTTTGACACCCGAAGCTTCAGCAGCAGCGCGACAAATCGCCGATAAAATGTCATGTGAAGCTGGCGTCAGGCGGGCCGTGGCATCCTTCCATGCGAACCTACCTCTCAACGCTATGCGATGCGACCTTCTACCCAATCATTCTGCAGCATGGATGTACGATAAGAAGGGGAAGAAGATAAAGCTGTCTAAGATAGCTGCTGAGCTATTAGTCGAGGATGAGAAGGTGTCGTGGAATAACCTCAAAGCGTATGTTACAAGTGACAGGCATGGGAGAAGTGTGCTGACCATTTTGTAGTTACCAACCGCAACCAGTCCATATTGAGAACCGTCGTTGGGATCCGGTGACTGCAACACTTGCGACGCTCGCCACGACTAGTGTTGGAATGGTCGCATCAGCCTCTGACATTGTCGTCAAGCCCATCCAAGCACTGCGGCCAGTGACTCCAAGTGGTAGCAGATCAGCAAGTCGAGATCGATCAGGAAACAACTCGAAACGCCCATCGGAGGAGGATGTCTTTGGCCGGCCAGCAGGCATAGATCTGTCCTCAGCACCAACAGCCACCAAAGACATAGACCCCAACCATGGTGCACTAGCAGCCGTCAAGGGCTCAGCATCAGGTGTCGGTGGCTTCTTTAAGCACTACTCCAAAGGCATGCTTCTCGACCTCCCTTATGCAGTAACAGAAGGAATGCGCAACGCCCCCAAGCTTTACGGCGGCAAAGCATACGACCCAGGCGCCGTGACAGATTGGAAGTCAGGCGGTATCGCAGCCGGCAAGAATTTTGCGCATGGTATGGTTGAGGGGATAGGCGGTATAGTCATGGAGCCTGTGCGAGGGGCGAAGAAAGAAGGCGCTGCGGGTGCTGCGAAGGGTGTCGGTATTGGATTGTTGAATCTGGGGACGAAGGTGGGTTCTGGGGCGCTTGGGTTGTTTGCGTTGCCGAGTCAGGGGGCGTACATGAGTGCGAGGGCTCTTGTGAAGAGGAAGACGGGGAAGGGTATTATGGAGGCGAGGAAAATTGAGGGGAGGGATGTTGTTGAGAGGAGTGATGGGGAGACGCGCCGAAAGGACAGAATGGTAGTGGTGGAGGAGTTTGGGGCACTGATGGGAGAGAACACGAGGTAGAGAGGCAGATAGAGCGAAATTGATAGAGTATAGACTACGTATATATTGTATTGTTGGAAGACAACCCTAGCATTATGTCTAGTGTTTGCAAGACAAGCTTAAGAAGGTGGTAGTTCAATCCTTTTATATACTACGCAAATCATACCATCATCGAAACCAGAGCCGGAATTTCTGGTTGTCATGATAGGTTTCCTCGAATGTGATAAAAGGTTGTCCACTCTCTCCTTTGCCTCCAAAAAGATCAAGATAGAGGTGGGGATATTTGCAAGAGCGGAAACTATCAATGAAAGTATCCATTAACATTATAAGTCCTGCGATTGTTTTAGAGCGCGATATAACTTACCCGACTACTTGATCTTCAGTTATGGTGTTGATATCCCCTCCTTCCAGAAACCACTGAAACTTCTCGTCCCAAAGGTCGCCCGTTTCGCAATCAACATGTCGTTTATGCCCTATGGTCAGCCGTGTTAGTACCATATCAGGCCAGGTCTTTGCATAATACGGACCATAGCTAGACAGGTAGCCGCCAGTCACTGGGCTCTTGATCATGACACGAGAATCGCCCGGCACATCGGTGGATAAAATAAGCCAATGCTGATTAGGATTGGTTTCCCAGGTCTTATTGTCACTGGGAAAGATTAGGTCAGAACGCAAGTTAGAGAGACTAAAGAGGGAATGGGGATGATCTCACAATGCGATAACGGGAGGATAGCCTCCACCACCGCCCTTCAGATCAACAAACATGCCGCCAACTTGACTGCGAATGTTGACTTTCCTTTTCTGAATCCACAGCTCTCCGCCACCTCTACCGTCTTCGGGCATTTTGTACAGCAGACAGGAGAATAGACTTCGCACAAGAAGTAGTCGAAGAGGTGAAAGCCAGTGATAGAACTGGCTCAAGGAGGGAAGTCTAGGATGATAAATTTACAGACGAAAGAACTGTTCAAACTTCCCGACTTCGGAGAGGGATGTAAGAAGTTCTATCATGGCGAGGGAGCCTGTACGGAATGTCTTGTGACCGGATCGTTTCTGACTTTTGGATTGAGACAATGTATTAACAACCTCATCGTGGCTGGCTGAGGGTGGGTAATAAGCTTGGCTGAAAGTTTACTGCATGGCGCCTAGCCCAGTTGCACGGAGTCTGGTCTATGGTACATCCGGCAGTTTACTCACTGGATAAAAAATGGACGCAAACGAGAAACAGAAACTATTCTGGTCTATTTTTCCTCTCAGGTGACGTGTCATGACAAACGTCTGGAGTCTCGTGGCTTTTCTACTTCTGCTTAGTTGCAGGAACTACGAAATTCACGCAAACTATACGGCAGACCACATCGGGGAATGCGCGAAAGTGCAGGCCTACTAGGGATGTTGACTTAAAGACAAAAGATGCGCGGTGGCGTTGAAAGTGTCTGAGCTGACACTGTAGCTCTGATCACACCCATGCAAGCTGAAGAACTTAATGTTGAAATGTTTCTTGATTAGTGGGTCTATTGGCTGCGTCTGGCGGCAGGCATGATCCGATGTACGAGATATCACAATGGGCAGCCACTGATGTCAAAAGTTATGTGTTTTCGCCTTAAAAACAATGTTCAGCTGGAGTAAAACGAAACTCAGCCAGCCTCTATTCAGCCACATTTTAGATGAACTACCACCTGATTTTGTCGATATGTGATATTGTGCAGTGCGCCTTTTCTTGGCTCGCTAATATCATCCAGTGGCAGGACTGCACCATCCCTGTTGCCACTAAGACTTGTCACATACCACCAGACACATGATACATTATCCAGAATGGGGTTAATGGTGTCTTTCTCTATTATCCTCTATCGGGTTTATGAATCACACTGCATATGCGACAGGGCGTGTGTTTAACAAAACGGAGATGATTTACAAGCCAATAGCCCAGGCCCAGAACTTTGCAGTAGTGCCAATATTCCAAAGCGGGGAAAGGAATGTGATCCAAACCTGCACCCGCACAGCTGTGCATATATTTGCCTCAATAGTCGGCTATCCAAGCAAACAGTGAAGGAAGGTGTTTTCTACGCTCCCACTACGCAACTGGACTTCTGCCGACACACATTCTTGCCAATCACCACAATGCCAGAAGCAGGCAATCCGGCGCCACAGCCCCAATTCATTGCGGCCTTCAACTTTCGAATTCAGATGACAGGCGCCATGATTGACCTCGCTGGTGGTATAGGGCCCGTGATCTCGTTGTGAGCACCATATACATTGTGTTAACTCATTGAGCTTGAGACTGACAGCATCTACCCCTCAGTGGACCTCACCAGCATGAAACCAACAGGAACCAAATTTGGTCTGTTTTCTCTGTACCAGGGAAAAACACGATTCTTATCAAGAGCGAGGCAAATCAGCAGTGGCTGGTTGCCACTGGTACGTCCACCAAGTCGACAGGATGCCGAAAATTAATCCATCAAAACCCAGGATACTGCCAGCCAACTAGCACAGGCAATTTGCATTGGTCTGATGAAAGTGCCCAGTGGATTATCCAGGGCGGAAATATTCATAATTTGGACAATAACACCACTGTCTCGTGAGTTTGGGTTTCATATATAACTTTAGAAGCTATATCTCATAGTTCCCAGGATCTGGAACAAACATTACACTGATTGTGTTTTGGACCTTGAAGGAGGTAATGGACCTGGCTCACCTATCCTAGCTTATAAGTATCATGGCGGTTCAAATCAGATTTTTAAGCTTTGGAAGCGGTGGTAACTTGAGAAATATATCTACTAAGGCTACTCTATACAGGGTATTTAGTTAAATATAAAAGTAAGATTATATTATAATGGTTAGGGTTTTAAACAGGGAAACTAGTCTATATTAGGTTTATATTTACAGAATATATAGGGCATTATATTAAGTATATTAGGTTTTAAGTTATATCTTTTAATAGTTAATAGTATAGGTAAGGCTTATTAAGGTAAAGAAGTATTATTAATAGCTAATAAATTAGGTTCTATTTAATACTAAATAAATATATATATATTTAGGTAGTTTTAATAAATTAGTAAGGTAGTTATTAAATTAGTGGTAATTCTATTAGATTAATATTAACTAAATTAAATTAATAGTAATTATAAAGTCTTAATGCTAATTATTATTAGCAGGTAGTATATTAATTAATAAAAAATATAGGGTATATATAATAAAACTGCTAGAGTTATAATATAATCTCCTCTTTTCTTTAGGCCTTATCTTTAAGGCTTAATTAATATATCTATTTATTAATTATTTCTAATAAGTTTAATTTTAACTTTATAAACCCCTTAAGATATCTAACTGTATATTTAAAAATAAGAAAACTTCTATTAAAAATTGTAAATCTCTTTATTTTCTTATTGCAGTATTTAAAAATTTAATTATATTTTATTCTAACTGTATTTATTAAAAAATAGAGGAGTTATATATTCTAGATTCTATAAAATTAAGCTATTATAAGCCCTATATAAAGTCTAGGGCTTTCTATAATAGTTATAGTTTATCTATAGTAGTTAATAAGTTTTTTTTATAAAAATATAAAATAATTATAGATATATTAATATAATATTAACTTAAAAAATTATTAATAAAAAATATTATTTTAAGTATAAAGAGGAGATTATTAAAGATAAACTTATTACCCTTTAGGCTAAGTCTATTTATATTTATAATATAATAAATACTTAATTTACTAAGATTACTTATTTATAATGCTAGTATTATTAAATAAAGGTTAAGGGTCTCAATATAATTTAATATAGTCTTAATTTTATAGATAAATTAAAATAGGCTAAGTAAAGTAAATAATTTACTTTAAAGAGTGCTATAATTAATAGTTCTTTTTAAGATTAGTTTATAGTTATAAAGCAGTTTAAATAGGATTTTTTAGGTCTTAAGGCTTTCTTTAATACTTTTAGTAAAAACTTATTAAAAGTCGTTAGGCATTAATAAGATATTTAAGAGGTTTTTATATATTTTTACTCTCTAGATAGTCTTTCTATTTTATTAAGTATTCTTTTTTACTATTAACTTCTTAAATTTCCTTAATTACTTTTACTTTATAGAGTTCTAGACTATTAATTTCTTTTAGTTTATTGCCAATTTTAATATATATTATATTAGCTACTAACTTAAGTAATATAATATAAAAGACTTTATAGAGTCTAACCCTTATTAATAAATCTAACTTATAGTTATTCTTTAAGATCTTTTTAATAATCTTATAGGGTTTAATATACTTAAAATCTAGCTTATAATTTAGTTATTTTATTATAATATTTTTAGTAGATAGATATACTATATCTCTCTCCTTAAAGGTTAGTCTTTTTAACCTTTTAGAATTATAGTACTATTATATTTACTTATTAATAAATTCTAATTCTATTTAGAGTTTATTATATATATTCTTTAGGTCCTTACTTTTAATTATAGCTATAAGGTTAATAATTTTAGTTTCTTATATATTATAGTATACTTTTAGTATATAGCTAAAATTAGTATTTAATAGTATAAATTTTATATTTTTATTATAAGCAGTATTATATATTAATTAAATATATAGTAGCTTCTTAACTTAATTATTTTATTTATAATTAATATAATACTATAGGTACTATTTTATTATTTAGTTTATTTATTTTATCTATCTATCTGCCTAAAGTCTAAATACTATTATAAGTCTATAATTAACTTTTATATAGGCTATTAGTGCTTGCCAGAATTTATTAATAAAAACTAGGCCTCTATCTATAAGGATTTCTTTTAGTAGTTCTTATTCTTTTATAATTCTATTATAAAAGATATATATTAAGTCTTTTATATTTATAGCTTCTTTATAGAGTATATAAACTAAAAATTTTATAAATCTTTTAATAATAACTATAATACTATTATAAAAGATTTTAGTTAAAGGTTTTTCTAATAATAATAGCTTAATAATAAAATCTATTATAATTAAGCTCTATAGTATTTCTATAACTTTAAGAGGTTATAGTTCTCTATAAGGTTTATATTATTATATCTTTATTTTTATATAAATATTATATTATTTAATAACCTTTTTTACTATTAATTACTTAACCTAATATTTATATTATAAAAGTCTCTTTAAAGTCTTAATAACTCCTTAATATCTATATACTAAATATTTATAGAATTTTTATATAAATTCTTTAAGTTTACTTAAAATTTCTTTAGTAATTACTAGCTATATCTATTTTAGTATTTATATTTATTAGGTAAATCTATATTCTTCCTTTTTATTTTTTAATCCTTTATAGTAAATAATTATAAAATGAAACTTATATAAATATTTTATATAATATAGTTATTATTAATTAAGTTTATAAGTTATAATAAAATATAATATATTCTAATAGTTAATATAAACCTTAACTTAATACTTACTTTCTATAAGGTAATATTTAAACTCCTTAAAATAGTTAATAATTACTAGAAATTCCTTATTATAAATTAAGTAATTAAGCTTTACTTTATATAACTTATATAAATAAAATATAATAGGGTATAATTTTTTTATATTATCTTATTAATTAATTTATCCTTTTAAAGTAAAATCTAATAAATCTATCTTTAGTTTAATTTCCTTATTTAGATTAAAGATAGCTAAAATTAATCTATTAATAATAGCTTCCTTAAGTTATTTAAAGGCTATTTAGGCCTTATTATTCTATTTAAAGAATTTATCTTTCTTTATAAGTTCTATTAAAGGATTTATAATCTTACTAAAGTCCTTAATAAATTATTAATAGTAATTAATAAAGCCTAAAAAGGCTTATATTTCCTTAATATTATTAGGTATTTTTTATTTTAATACTATAGAGACTTTCTTTTTTTCTATTTTAATTTCTTTAGGTATAATAATATATTTTAAGAAGTTTACCTTTATAATATAAAAGTAACTCTTTTTTAGTTTAATTAATAGCTTAATATCTTATAGTATTTTTAAAACTTTATAAATATATTCTTTATATTCTTTTTTATTATTTAAAAAGATTAAAATATTATTTAAATAATAAACTATAAAGATATTAAGGTATTATTAAAGTATACTATTAATTATCTATTAAAATATTATAGATATATTAATAAAATTAAATAGTATAACTATATATTTAAAGAGTTTAAATTTAATTCTAAATACTATCTTTTACTTATCTCCTTTTTTAATATAAATTAAGTTATATATACCTTTAAGGTCTAAAATAATAAAGATTTTTTTACCTTATAATTAATTCTTAAGTTCTATAATAAATAAAAATAAGGTTTAATCCTTAATAGTTTTTATATTAATTAGTTAGTAATTAATAATAGATTTAGGTTTTTTATTTTTTTTAAGTATAAAAAATATTAATAATACTAAAAAAAAGCTTAACTTTTTAATATATTCTTTTTAAAATATCTTATTAATATATATTTTTTATACTTTTAACTTTTCTTTATTAAGTAAATATAACTTCTAAAATAGTAAGTTATTATCTATAAGGTTAATTTTATAGTCCTATTAACTATATTTAAAGACTTCTATTTTTAGTTTTTTTATAAATAATCTATTATATATTTAATACTTTTTTAATATATTTATTAATCTATCTTAACTATATATTAATTTTAGTTTCTTTTTTAAATCTTATTATTAAAAAATACTTAAAATCTATTTTTTATTTTATATACTTTTTTTATATTTATATTATATTCTTTCTAGAGGTAGTAAATTCTTTATTTTATACTTATTTATACTTTCTTTATTAATTAGGGTTTAAGATTTCTTATTATTTTTTATAATTATTTTTTTATTACTTTTAGGATTACTAGAAAATATAATTTAGCCTTTCCTTTAGTTAATAATTAGGTTTTTTCTTTTAAGTTATATTATATTTAAGATAATATCTATCTTCTATTTTAAAGGTATAATATTAAAATTTACTCTTTATTTCCTTCTTTTAGCTAAGATCTTAAGGTAATTAGCCTTTTAATCTATAATATTATTATTATAATTAAAGAGCTATCTTTCTATATTAATTAGTAAATAGGGCAATAATTTCTTTTTTTATAGTATTTTTAGCTTTATAACTATTTCTAGATTAATAAAGTTTTTTTATACTTTACTATTAACCTAAACTTTTAGCTATCTTTCTTTAATTTAAATAGGTAATATTAAATATATTAATATATTTATTATTTATATTACTCTTAAAGTACTTATATCTTATTATAGACTTAACTTTTTATATATTTATAGCTCTATTATAAATAGTATCTAGCTTTTTCTATAATATTATAATAAACTTTTTTATAGTTACTATTATAGTATCCTTTACTATTAATACAGTTATTAATAAACTTTTTATTAAATAACTATTATTAGTATTATTCTTTTAGTTTATTATTAATACCTTTATTTAAGGTTATCTATCTAAATAGTATATTATTATTATTTAGATATAGGCTATCTGCCTTTTATTAATATTATAGTTTATTAATACCTTTTAAGCTAGTATTATTAATTAATACTATTTTCTTTAGTATATACTTTCCTTAAGTTACTTTTTTAAACTCTTTTTCTGCTTTTTTAATTATTTATTAAAACTACTTAATTCTATTTAGAAAATCTTTTATTTTTTAAATCTATCTATAAAGTAATATATTAAACTATAATTTTATAACTTTTAGTTAATTATATTATATTTTAACTAAATATCCTTTTATTTCTTTTTATAAATAAGGTTTATTATTAAATATACCTTTTATAATAACTAAAAAATAATTATTATCTATTTTTTTTATTTTATATTATTTATATTAATAATTTCTATATAAAATCTATAAAATTTCCTTATATTTAAGGTTTATTAGTATTATCTAAATATTATTTTATATACTAAAATCTAGTTCTCTATATAGCAGGTTAAATATATTATTAATATAATAGGCTTTAATATAAACTATACTTCTTTTTTTTATATTAATATATTCTTTTAATCTTTATATATAAAGGTTATTATAAATCTTAAAAACTTTAAGTCCTTATTTATTATACTTTTTTTTATAATTTTAGATTTATATTTTTATAATCTCTTTATCTTATTTTTAGAGATATTATATTATAACTTATATTTTTTCTCTTTTATATCCTATACTTTAAGACTATTAGTTAAAGAATTATTAGATATTATTTTTATCTTTTATTTCTTATTTCTATATTACTTCTTTTTTAATAAGCTTAATTTTAATAGAGATATTATTTATTATTTATAATAATAATAATTATTTTAGGTTAAGGTTAATTATTTCTTTTTATTTTATTACTCTTAAGGTTTATAGTTCTTTAAGTTTTTTTTATTTTTTAATATTTTTCTTATTTTACTATTATTATCTTTAACTAATATTAAGTTATTCTTTAAGTTTTATATCTTTTTAAATTTCCTTTTTTTAGATTTCCTTATAGATAACCTATTTCTTATAGTATTTCTCTTTAAATAATATTCTTTCTATATAATATTTTTATTAAATTTAATTTTATTTTTTATAGGTCTTTCTATTTAGTTTATCTATATAGGCTTCTTTATATATAAAGAAATTATTTTATAATTTCCTAATAAAGCTTCCTTTATTTAAATTCTATCTTTCTTTAGGTATATTATTTTTATATAAGATAGTTATTTTTACTATATTATATATACCTTATATTATTCTTAAGGTTTAGGTTCTCTATACTATTTATAGCTTAAGCTATTAAATTAATCTAAAGGTCTATTTACCTTAATTTAAGTCTTATAGCTTATATAATTTTAGGCATTATTATACTATATATTTATAATTATTACAGTTATAATACTTATATCTAGATATATCTTATAGCTTATATTTATAATTATCTAATTAGATAGCTTTTAGTATTATAAGGCCTACTTATATTCTATATAAGGTATTATTTTAATAGTTACCTTATTATTATTTTTAATTTTAAGAGTTATTTTAGTAATTATTATTATATTATTAATTAAAGTAATATAAATTAAAGTTATCTTTATATTTATAGCTAGCTTTCTCTTTTTTATATTTATATTATTATTTATTAATCTTAATTACTATAGTAATATAAGTTATTAGGTTATTAAGTCTATCTATAAGATATAGTTTATCTTTAATTTCTTCCTTAAGGCTTTAGTAATAAATTTCTATAAGGGCATTATTATTTTATTAAGTTTTAGCTACTAGCTATTAAAACTTAACTAAATATATAGTATATAACTTTTACTATTTAAATATAAGTAATTTAGCTATAGCTTACTATTTTTTATTAATTACTTTAAAATTATCCTTAAGTGCTTATTTAAAATTATTTTAATCTATAAAGATATTTTAGGTATTTTAATTTTAAAGATTTTCTTTATTCTTAAAGTAATCCCTTATAATAGATTTAAACTATTTTTTAGTACTTTTTTAGATTAAAGATATAATAAATAAAAGTTTTTTAGTAATAATATTTAGTTTATTTAAAAATAAATAAAAGTATTCTTTTATTTAAGTAAGAAATAGGATTATATTAATTACTTATCCTTTAAAGGGTTCTAGCTTAAGTAGCTTTAGAGCTTCTTTAAGGTCTCTGCCTTATTACTTATTATTACTATTATTAATTATTATAGCATTCTATTAGTTATTTATCTATATTTATAAGGTCTAAATTAGATTATAGAGCTATTAAACTTTAGCTGCTATTTTAATATTATTAAGTAGTGCTTTAATATAAAGAGGTATTAAATTAATATTACTAAATATCTTAATAATATAATATTATTTAGTTATTTTAATATAATATATTCTAAATAAGAGCTATTAATATATAATAGTTAGGGTTTTAAATAGAAAAACTAATCTATATTAGGTTTATATTTATAAAATATATAAGGTATTATATTAAATATATTAGGTTTTAAGTTATATCTCTTAATAGTTAATAGTATAGATAAGGCTTATTAAGGTAAAGAAGTATTATTAATAGCTAGTAAGCTAGGTTTTATTTAATATTAAATAAATATATATATATTTAGGTAGTTTTAGTAAATTAGTAAGATAGTTATTAGATTAGTAGTAATTCTATTAGATTAATATTAACTAAATTAAATTAGTAGTAATTATAAAGTCTTAGTGCTAATTATTATTAGTAGGTAGTATATTAATTAATAAAAAATATAGGGTATATGTGATAAAACCGCTAGGGTCGTAATATATATTGGGAAATATATAGATTAGATTTACTTAACTATATCTTAGCTATAAATCCCTTATTTAATATAAAGCTAGTATAAATTAGCCTTAACCTAACCTAATTTAACTTAATAAATTAAAAGGTCTTTTAAACATTATTTATTTACTTGCTTTAATGTAAATTAGCTAGTTATTATAAATAATTATTATAATTACTTAATATTCTATTAATATATATAGTAATAGAAACAGGCTATTAATTATATAATTAAAAGTAAGCCCTTTTGGATTATAAATTTATAATTATAAAGCATCTATTAATAATTAAATTACTTAATAATTAGCTTATATAAAATTAAAATTAAAATTAAAATAACTTTTTAATATATTAAAATATTTAAAACTTATATTTAAAGTAATTAGAAAAATATAAAATAAAAGTATTTAATATAGTATTCTAAAACTATTATTGCCTAGCTATTTCTTTAAGAAAGTCCTAATCCTCTTAATGTTTGTAAACATAGAAGAAGTATATACATGTGTCTTCCTTCCATATTTATAATAGCTAATGTATTTCTTAGCCTCTTTAGGAAACACCCCAGCCTCTTGGAAGTTTTTAGCAGCTTGGGCATATACCTTCTGTGTCCAATATTCTGGATTTTTCTTAAACTCTTCAATGATCTTTAGGGACTGAGGCGATTTAGGATTCTCAAGAGCTGATCGTAGCTCGCTCGATGGGGTGAAGCCGCCCGCTTCGGCGCAAAAGCCGAACCAATTTTTGTCCTGTATTTTACCAAGTAAGTTGTGAAGACTCCTTTCCATACGCCATGTGGCGGCATGAGAATCAATACCGAGTGGCTCGAAGATATGACTATAGCTATTCTTAAAGACGTGGTGCTGCTCACCAGCGAGTTTCACCTCTCTTGTAAGCCTTTGCCTGTTTTGAACTGTTTCCTCGGGCGAGCAGTGCTTCTTGAAAGCCTCATTGATCAGTTCCCAACTCTGACTCGATTGTTCCGCCTTTGACAAATAGGCGGCGGCCTGAAAAGTGACCGCATAATCAATAGACGCCCGGTTATGTCCAAGGTGCAGATCGTCTATTTGGGTGGCTGAGTCCGAGGACTCTCCTTCTTTGCGTTCTTCCTCCCTCTGGCCTTGCTCATCTGTTGGTATCTTTGAGGTTCCTGAGTGGTCATCAAAATTGACAGGATCGCTTCCAGTGTACTCGTAAAGGTTTTGCCCATCTACATCGCCGAGAGGATCGGGCGATGTCCACCGAGCAAGCCATGGGCAATAGTATCGCGCACCACAATGGTATAGGCCGGTTTCTCGATCGTGTTCGTATCTTGCGAATCGAAATTTTCTGGGAGCCTCCACTTGACCGTACATGAAGGAATATAAAGTATTGCCAAAAGGTGAGTATTCTTCATACGATATAATCAGACCTTCATCATCAAGCTCCATATTTGTTCCTGTCTGAAATCGCACCAGAGCCTGGAGCCAACGATTGCTAGTTTCGGCCATAGCTATGACCTCACTTCCAATGATATTTGCAATCCATTTGTCGGGTCCATCAGTTTGAGTTTGTAGCTCGATGGTTTCAAGGAATAGCGTGTCCTTCAGCTTGCGTGGACCTTCACCAATTTGAGCCGCAGACTCAGTGACCTTGCGTACTCGATTACCAGATCGATCGTACACATAGTATGTTCTTTCAGCAACTCCAGAATGGATATTCTGTGTTGATGAATAGCCGAGCATGTCTTCCATATTCCAATGGAGCTCCGAGAACTTGGGTATCGACGTCATACACCCTGCGAGACCAGCATCCCCAGCATAGCCATACCGACCCTCAGGCTTGTTCCCAATGCTGGTGCTGCTTAGACGGTTGCTTTTGACAGTGGGATCATCGCTGAGCAGACTCTTCTCTTCATAGAGGAAGCTTCTACTCCAGCCATTAATCCCTGTTGCATGTGGAGCATCATGCCTCATCTGTAGCATGTTTCCTTCTAGGTCGTAACGATAGGTTTCGAGATATTGATAGAGCAAATTACCATCAGTGATGCCGCGTGACGAATTGAGGCCGGTCATGGCGTTGTAGGGGCTTAGCTGGTTGCCGTTGACGACGTTGGTCGAAAGCTGCCCTCTACCAGTAGCAGAGGCCAGCCTACCCGTCACATCATACATGTAGTCCCATTCAGGCTCAACTCGCGTTCCTCGGAAGTAGAAGTCCTGTTTTGAACCATCTCTAGTATGAACCCGACGACCAGCGCAGTCATACACGTGTGTCAAATCTTGAAGTACCTGTCTTCCGATTCGCGAGGGACGCGTGGTCCGTTCTGAGATGAGACTTCTATTCCTAGCATCATAAACAAAAACTGTGGAAACTTTGTTGCCATAATTCATGTTTTCAGGCAGCCCGTCAGCTGTAAAACGAGCACTGCTGAGATAGGGCTTCCAGGTAGAGTCCGCCTTAGACATGAAATCGGTTTTGTGTACCTTGCCTTGTCGAGTGAATACCCTCCTGGTTCGGTTTCCCTGTGCATCCGTTTCCTCAACCGCTTGACCGAAGTTGTCGTAAATGTATTTGTGGACGTACGATGTCTCTTCCAGCGCAACTTCCCTGTTCCAATCGATCTCATTCTTGTACTCTCGACAAGCCTGGAAAGTCTTCTCAACGCAATGGCTGCGGATATTAAAACAAGTATTGGAATGAATGCCGGATTGATCCTCAGCTCTCCAAACCTGGTCTTTCAAATTGTTAGAGATAGCGTGCGGACATTCCTCTCCGTAGGTGATTCTCGTGATCAACTTGGGCGTCTCTGTTCCTTTCCGAGCCAACCTCTTCACCTCACGCCGCTTCCCGTCGTAGTGAGTCATAAAAGAGTATCCACGACAGTTCCACGTTAGCAAATCCCCATCCTGGGCATCTTGAAGAGACCATGACTCCCCTTTGTCCATCCCGATAGTCTTTAGCTTCCGGCCTAGCTTATCGTAGAGCATCTTTTCCACAATTCGATCATATGAATCCATGTCAAGAATCTTGTTGCCGTTCACATCATATGCAAAGCCTCTTACATAACTCTTGCCATTAGCAATACGAGCAGTACGGATGGGAAGACCGCAACAGCCGATATGTGTGACAGTAGGGGCGCCGGCAAAAATTGAAGACTTTTCAGCCGCTCGTTTCTCTTGCAGTGTCCCCTGTATTCGCTGATCGTACCAACTTTGCGTATATCTGTCGGTTGGGACCTGATGGAAGAGGTATCCAATATCGGGGTCATCACGAGGCTCGGCCTCCAGTATAACGTCACCGACAGTGTACTCAGTTGTCGTCCAGGCGGAATAGACTGTTTTTGACCAGGTTTGGTCTGGTAAAAGCGTTGCGACTACGCGACCGCTAACATCACAAAGGGTCAAAGTCGAGTAGGGAGTCATGCGATCCGTTGGGGTAGGCGCTGAAGAGCTCTGAAAACTAGGTTGGAAGTCACAGACAGATTGTCCATCCTTATTGGATATAGATGTGCTGGATGTAAGCCACATCCTGGCGAGATCGTCTGGATCGTTCAGTTGCACTTCTTGAAATTTGTGACCAAGGCCGTTCAGGTAAGAAACACTGACGTGGATATTTGACTTGGTTGATCGCCCGGAATGAAGAGGGCGTGACATATGAATAGAAAATGATGGCATGATGGTTTCTGAAGCCTCAACCGATGATGTAGTCTTTGCAACTAGCGGACTCTCTGCGTTGTGCCTAGCTTCCCATTGCGCATATCCGTTGATGCAAAGAACGGTTCTGCTGCCCGCATGCCCCAGAATACGAGTGGCAATCTCGCCAGTAGGATCCAGGAGAATATCATTGGCCTCCTCAGGACTGATCTCAAGGACCATGTCATCCAGGCTGTCCACCTGGTCCTCATCTCCAGAACTTTTGCCCAAAGCTGCGGTTCCGACTAGCTGGCCCAAAGGGTCTAGCAAAGCTCTAACAGCATTGAGATTCGGATCAACAATTTCGAAAGGTTGCAGCCGCTGATAGTCGTTCTTGAAAGAGGTCACGTTTCCCACGGCGTCTTGAACTTCCTCAGCAAGCAAAAAGTCTTCATCAAACCTAACGTGCGATACATTATCGTGGGCGTCGATGAAGAATAAAGGATTATAGAAGGTTCGACGGGCTTCCATGACTTCGTGTCCTGCCTTGAAACCCCCAGGTTGGGTAAAAGCTGTGCGTGATGACGGTTGCCACCAACTATCGCTATTTTCCAGTTTTACATACCTGCCCTCGATCATGAGGTCTGTGACTGAGCCGGGGATCTTGCAGTTACTCAGGCCGAGCTCTATCTTGGCTATGATCTGAGGTGTGAAAGCCAGACTATACGATTGGTCCAGTAGCGAAAATGCCTGTAACTCTGCATCCCCGAGCCTTGAATTCAGCAAAGAGTCCTTGAAGTAACATCTATTCTCTGTGCGTAGGGCCTTCCATGTCACCTGAGACTTCTCTGTAGGTAGTGTATCGAAGTCGAACACGCTAGCCTCTTCAAAGGTGACTAGAGATCCGTTTGAGAATGGGAACTTGAGAACTTCGTGCTCTTGTCGCCTCCAAGGCAGTGGCTTGCGAAAAAAATCGTGCTCCACAACCTCGTTTGTATACCAGGTCTGTGTCAGAGACATATTGCCAGCCTGCTGGTTCTCATTGACGTCAGAGAATGTCGTACTCTCCTTGCGAGGATAAACTATTTGAAGCAATTGTTCCACATCGCTGAAGAGGTTGGTTTTCAGGACAATCTCATGCGTCACTCGTGGGTCTTCCATTTCTCTTTCAAATTGTGTCGAAAGGGTCTCTAGAGGATTGACCTGGACAACAGAGTATCTGTTGGAGCCCCGTGACTGTAAGACCTTCACGTCATACGACCGTTCTTCAATCAAGAATGGTAGTCCAGCCTTATCGGTTCCGTCTTGACAATACGTTTCGGACCGTAGGTTGACTCCTTTCAGAGCCTGAAGGCGTTCTGCCGGTTCAATGCCAGAGTCCTGCAAGCGGCAGGACACCTTACGACTGGTCAGAAAGTGGGAGTCGTCAACGGTAAGACTAAGGCCGACGCTAAACCACGACTTCGTGTGCTTGACCGGCAGTTCATAAGACTGGTTGTTACCGATTGTAAGCCTTTCGTGATTCAACTCCTCGACCATTTCAAATCCAGCAAACTGATTCTCAAAGGAGTCATAACAGCCATTGTGATAAATGTACTCAGTTGAGTGCAGACTTCCAGTTATACAGTCTGCTACCTCCACTTTGGACACGCATTGAACTGGGTTTGGCAGCTTGGTCGACCACGGTAGACCGTTGTTTCTATCTTGGACATAGAACTTGGTAGACGGAGCGTAAGTAATTCGTGTCTTGGCTCCCATGCCATTGCTGTAGCTCTGTAATAGGTGGGGCTTCAGGTCTCCCATGAGATCAAGATACTTGATTCTGTTCCTCCCAGTAGAAACATCTGCCCAGCAAAGGCATGCAGTTCCTTTTCCAAGGATATCGAGTGTGAAAACAGATCCTGGGCTCAATCCTGCTGGAAGTCTCGAGATCGAGATCTTATCACTCCAACGATTTCCGGCTAGGTTATAATAGAGGTTTGCTCCGCCCGTGGCGAGAATGTACAGTAGATCGGTTGTACCACTGCCATCCACATCGATGAGCCGTACCCGGGCAGGATCAAAGCTCGAATCTTCGGACAGGAGTGGACAGTTGCCCATCTCAACAACAGCACCAAAACTCCCGTAGCCAAGGTTTGGCCAGTATCTTATCGACCCTGAAGAAATTTCAACAAGATCTGACAGTCCACTACCCATCATATCGGCAACATAGGTCTGAACCTCAGTCGTCTTGGTGAGCAGTGGTCTACTGACTGGAGTTGCTGCTAGAGCACGTTTGTAACCAGAGTAGCCTTTCTTGCCGAGGTTTTGCTGCCACGCAAGCCCTTGGGAGTCATCAGCTATACATAAAGTATCAGCAAGACCATCACCGGTCAAGTCAAGCTCCAATGTGTCCAGCCATGTATCTCCATTTGGGGTTTCTGGAAAGGTCGAAAAGCTGCTCCAAGTGTCTGTATCTCGCTCAAAATATCCTTGAAGGACACCCTGGCTATCTCGTAGAACATAGTCAACATGCCCGTTCCGGTCAAGATCTTGAAAGACACCGCCTGCGATACCGGGCTGCTGTGAAAGGATTACTGGAGCCCCAAATTGCAAATCGTCACACAAAGCGCCTAGGCCCTTGTTCCGTTGATAGCTGAGTGTGCCATCATCGGTCCTGGTCAAAAGCCCCGGCATACCTTCACCGTCCAGATCCAGCCATTCCGAGACTTTTGAATCTGAACCGGGAAGTTCGAGCAAGTTGATAACGTTGACTTCCAAAGCTGCTAGCTTATTTCGCTCCTCCACTGCACTATAATGGAATGACCATGGAGGGAGGCTCTCAGACCAGCAGCGTGCTGCCCCATGAGGACCGTCTTTGACTATTGAATGCCCTGTCATAGACAAGCCCGTCAGTACAGTCCTGTGTGCGGACTCATCATACTGAATCGCTATGGAGTGAACCAAGTTCTCTGAATCGCTAGTCTGTTGAGGGAAGTGATGGAACATCAGAATACGCCGACAGAGGCGATAAGTGCGGACTTCAAACCCAGAATGACTTTGAGAAAATGGATCGAGACGCATCTTCCAATTGAGAGATTCAGCACTGGTTGGGGTTTCGTGGCTATGTTCGCCATAGTCGAATATAAGCTCAAACATCCAGTCCATATCTTTAGTCAATTGTGATACTTCCCACGATTTTGGATCACGACTGGGAATCCTGTTTCCGTATTTGATGGTCTTGATATACTTCTGACGACACCTCGACTCGTTTGTTCTATTCTTCTCCCACACAGGGAGGACTCCGCTGGCATCAACAAGATCTTTGGCGTCTTCTTGTTTATACGTGTACTCTATCGCATTGCCATGCGCATCGTAAGACTTGCTTAGCATCCAGGAGAAAGTGCGACTCTTGCCGTTTGAGGTTTCAAGAATTCGGCTGCCATCGCTATCACCGTAGATTGTAGTCTCGTTGTCAGAGGAGAGAGTCCTCCAATAGATATCTGTCGGATCAGCCTTGCTAGTCCAGCGTTCAACACGCAGGGATCCATTGTCTATTCTTGGCCTGTACATGACAACTTCGTAGTCGCCCTTGGGTTCTGACACGGTCCTGGTTTCAGGAGAGCCGTTGTTCGTCAACACTCTGACAATGTCAGCTCCCGACATTATGATGTCGTCCTCGTCATCCAGATATCTCGGGATACCAAGCGCTGTCTTGCGACTGATGGAAGGAAGTGATACATTCCAGCCGATCCCAAATGCCCCATTGCCAGCACCCGAATCATAGGAAAGTGTAAGCTCAGGGTGATAGCCACCTCGACTTGGCGACGCGTGGACGGGTAGTGCGAATGACATGGTTCCATTAGCTGGATTAACTGAGAAGTTCTCGCTGATAGGCTTGAAAGCACCGCCGCCCTTCGCCGAAGTATCAAACGAGGTAGAAAAGCCTGGAATACCATCACCCAAGGCTTGCACCTGAGAGGGGAAAGGAGTAGATGGGGGATATCTACTGCTGGGAGCCGACGGGGCATTGTTGCGTCCTGAAGTTGGTAATCCCGTCTTCTTCGACCCCCCAGCGGCCGACTGAGATGAAGACTTAGGCGTCCCGTCACCTTGAGGTTGCGGATTGAGGCCTCGCATGATATCTGAGGCACCAAAATGATCTAGAGATCGAGCTTAGGGCGCTTGTGTGTAGATGGTTGTTCGACAGGCAGGAAATGTACTTGAAGCAATAGAGCAAGTTTGTAAGAGTGATATTTTGGTATTTTTTTTTTATTTTGGTTTTATTTTTAATTTCTTTTAAAATGATTTGTTTTTAGATTTTTTCTTGAATGTCAAAATATAGTTGTAAGTACTGACGTATAGGCACAGAATAGGCGGAATTGAAAATAGCTTTCGTAAGAGAGTCTAAAGCAGTGAAGAAGTCGCTCCCATAGAGTATCTTCTGAAATAATTTGGATCGTTTCAACACTCCACGCAGGTATCTAGCTTGCAATCGGGGCCTATGTAGCTAAGGAAACCTTTCCGCCGGGTCTCATCCGATATCGCGCTCATGCAGCACGTTTTGACCGCCCTGTTTTGGTAAAAAATTCCTAGTGCCACTGTGAGCGAGAAACTGATAGACTTGAGATCTAGAACACTCCGAGAATGTGACAAAATCCTAAAGCGTTAATCTCTGCATAAACCTGTACTAATGCCTACCTTGCCACTGCATCACATGTTTCACAATGTTCAGCTGGAGATGATTAGAATGGTATGTGGGAAACATTCTTATCGAATCATTGACGAGACTTAGATACATGGTCGATCAAGCCATCATCACTCGCTGATAGCTCATCACAATTACTGTCCTCGCACACCTCAGATGTGGCGTGTGCAGTAAGTACTGGTTGTTGGGTTGTTGAAGCCTATCTTGTTCATATTAAGACCCACGCAGCTCAGTGGCGTTCTACCCCTATGGGGTGAGTTGAGTTGGGATGACACCGGGGTCTAAGAACCCGGGGCACAAAACGGTGCAGCCTGGACAAGCTAATTCTTAGTCCATCTTAGAAAGCTACTCCTCAATGGTAAGGAATGCGCTACTGTACGTCGAGGTTTATCTCCCCATACCTACATACTTAGGATTTTCTGTATTAGCACACGCCCAGTGTCACCTGCATGTTAATGTGTGATTCCGATGCCCCTTCGCATTTCTTTCGGACCCCAACTCCCATGTATGCAAAAGCTAAGACACATCATGTCAGCTAGCCACAAGCTACCGAAACGGGCCGTAGGGCGCCACAGCTGAGTCTAATTGCCGATCACAGCGTTCTAAAGAAATAGATCAGAGCTGGCATTGAGTGCCTCGCGGAGTCCATGGCAGATGGGTCATTTTCATTGTCATGTATGCCTCGCGTTGCGTGAACGTCAGCCTGTAGCCGAACTATCTTGTGACGCAATTGTACAAACGCTTTAGGTAGAACCTTGTATTGTGAAAAGTCAATATCTTATTTCTCTATCGTATCTGGCTGGTCTTAGCTGTACAAACCTTGCCCTTGTTGGCAGTATTACGCTAAGCAAGGTATCTTGTGACAGCGGTGCTGAAAAGAGGTAACCGATTACTATTGCTAAGCGCTCAATTTTGCCGAGCTCCCATTCCTCTTGGCTTATGTCTTCACAAACAAGACTAGTAACAGCTCGTTCAATAACTGACCTCATTGGAACCTTCTGATCTTGAACCAGGCCTTGATCATAGGTCCCTTAGTACTTCAAAGGCATGCAGGTAATCATTCAGGCAGCCACTCGCCAATTCACTCGCTCAAGTTAACTACTTTCGTCTTAATGGGCAAATCAGCTGGACTGATCATGCTAGAGACCTGCACACGCCTCACTACTTTTCTTCAAAATCGAGTCCCACAACAACATCGGGACTGCGCCAGACCAACTCGTCCGGTGTGACAGGAATAGACTGTTGCTTATGGGTCTGGTATGAATATGATGATCGCGATACAAGACGAGTACCCATGTGGATAGCTCAAGTCGCAGTGTACATACCTGGCAGGGGGGTTAGAAAGCGACTGCTAGGTATGTGAGTCAACAGCGACTTTTGACGTCTTCCAGATTCACTAAGGGTCATATGTCCATCTCCTTGCTAGTACTACTTGTCGTGTGAGGTTGCAAATGGTCGGAAACGGTCAATACAAGCGACAATCAGCATTCAGAATCAGGGAAAGGAGAACATGACTTTGGAACAGTGTCGCCTACAGGGATCCTTAGCATGTATGTATGATCACTTGGAGGTATGAGGGACTTCCAAAGTACAAGCAGAACCTGCAGACAAATAGCTTCTTCTCCATACTTCAAAACTTTACAAAGAGTCAATGAATGTGTTCATAAAATAATAGGTAACTACACACAAAAGGCCTGTAGAAATCAAGTACCAACCACGTCAGAACGGAGAAATCTGAAAATTGATGACAAAATCGTCCGAATTTGGTGGGGATGTCATCTTCTTCAACTCAGGCAGCATAAGCCAGTTCTCTCGTATAATGATGGGATACCTGTCGGCCAACCCCATGTCCATGTCGATCATCTCCACAATGATCGATTCGCCCGGCTGCACAGCAAAGCCAGTACCCTTCTTCTGGGGCTTGATAGTCAATCGCCACCAGTGCTTTCCCTCTGCCTCACTCTGGAACCTGACTTCTATTGGCATGAGGTTCATGGATGACGGCGAAGAGGAGGTCATCGTGATGGTTCCAGATCCTTCAATATGCTCAGCACCTGAGTCAGTGGGAGTCACAGAATCAGATCTGGGGGACCTTGGTGGGGCTGGAGAACCGGTCATGAGGGTTTTGATGGCTCCCTCGGTCTTTCCATCACCGGGCTGAGAAGTATCGGTCATCTTCCCCTCATCATCCGCACTCCCAGGCAAGTTATCCCACATTTTACCAAGGCGGGACTTTTCCTTGGGCACCTTTGGGACAGCCTTGACTGGCTCAACATAGTAAGGGCTTTTGACTTGGTTGATAACCTCTTGTTTGAAAAGCTGCGGCCCACCCACTCCAGAGGTAAACCTGATCCAGATGTATTGAAGACCGACTGGGTCGTTGGTGTTGTTCTTTCCCATTAAAACAAACTTGGGTCCCTTCTTTTCCGACACAGCCTCGCAAGGATCTATGGTCCATGTCAACTTGACGACAGGCTTCGGTGTGCCTTGGCTGGGAGTGTTCGCTATGGGCTCGTACTTTGACTGAGAGACCCTGGGAATTTTGAGAGCAGGATGAACTGTGATGTACTTTCCATCCGTCAACGCTTTCCCATCGAGCCTATATAGTGTCAGTAAAGATGCCTAAGTCTGCTAAGCATCTGATACGTACGGCTTATGCTCCACAACTGCCAAGACGTTGCCAAAACGACTGATGACAGGATTGCTGAAGTTCAGGTCGCCATTTCCTGGGTATACAAACTTTGCCGTACTCTCGAACTCTTGCTCGATGTCTCTCTCAATGTCGGTCATGCAATTTCTCATGCGCTTTAACCACTGATCTCTAATTTCCTGTTCTTGGCCATCGGGGCACCACATGCGATCCTCAATGAGCTCGTTTGGCTTTTGTCTGACCCGGAGGTTGGCCACTTCTTGGGGCTGAGCACCAGGTGGGGTACGGACATCAAGACTCATTCTTCCATCCTTGATACCCGTTATAGCCACCTCGATTTTCCAATCCATTTCGTAAAAGTATCTGCCATGATCGTGAGATTAGGGTTGTAAGATGTAAAGGAAAAGAACCTACCTCAGACGACCGGTTTTTTCATCTAGCACCCGGTTGTTGTTTGGGAATATCGTATTGTCATACACGTAGTCTGTGTGTCCCGTCACGTCGAAGACACTAGATCCAATTTTCCAAGACAGCACAACTTTGGTGGTAGCTATTCCGATGAGCAAAGCAACTTCACCAAGAAAACAGGGTAATTACTTACTGTAGTGGTCTGTTGTGCTGCAAGCTCCGCCATGGCCTGCCCACGCATGGTTCCTGTCTTTATCTGAGATCTTGTCGTTGTAATCCCACTCATATGTCACAACAGAATCGTCATAATCTTTGTTCGTCTCTACACGCTTGAACTTAAACGCTTCGCTGGTGTGATTGAGGTTGTAATTTCCCACCTCATAGTTCCAACTGGTCATAAACATCTGTTTCTCGTTGTCATAGCTTCGAGAAACCCACAGGTTTGCCACCTGGCTCGCCTGGTTCAGGCGTTGAAGGCGCTTCAGTAGATGGCCTTCGAGAAAGTGTTTATAGCTGAGAGCAAAGGTACCCTCTATCGCATCACCGCCCTTGTAGGATCGGCGCGGAATGACATAGTTGCCACGCCACTCGAGCTGCTTGGTAGTGGGTGGCACATTGCCGGCCACCATCTCACACCAGAGCAGTGCGTTAAATCCTTCACCAGTTCGCGACGTTTTAGGCTCTGTGATGCCCTTCTGTGGACACTTGTAGGGATACGTTTGTTGATATAGATCGGTAGGAGCTATGAGCCTTTAGCTTATGCAAAGACGAGCGGGAGACGTAGAACATACCGTATGTCGGCTGCTGGATATTGACTATCACAGTTTAGTGGGACTCAGTAACAAAGTTCCAGTGGGGCGGTAGACTTACCTCGCTTTTCAGGCAAGTTAAATGTCACATTTAATGTCGACCTTCCAGCAATATGCTGTTCGTTGCCCCATTGCCCTAGTACGATAGATAAGAGCACCCAAATCTTGGAGCCGCCAGGCGAGTTGCAATATTGAGTAATGCTCATAGGCTTTCCCTTCTCATCCGTAATGAGAGATAGGTCAGGATGTGGTGTACTCCATTGGGCAGCTACTACGGCTTAGTGGTTGCATGCACACCGTTGGAGGGCTGGAGAAGCAGCTTACTGGTCAACTGAGCAAATAGTCGCTCAACGCTGTAGTCTCCTGGGAATTTGTAGATAGTACCGGCCACGGAGACAGCTTTATGGGTCGTCTCATCAATCTGAATCTCCTTGTAGATGGTCTTGTCTGGCTTGACCTCCTCGGTATTTAAGACGGTGGGGATGGCCAGCTCCCATCCGTCCATCTTGCGTTGTATACCCGTGGCAGTTTCGACGTATCCTGACTTAAACCTGGTAGACGATAAGCGACTGGCCAAACGCTCTGAATTTCCAGAGTTTCACTAACCTCAACATGTAGTACACGTCCTTGCCGTACGCCTGATCCTTAGAACCAGGGATGATGAGACGGGGCGAGTCAATCTCAATGTTGACAAGCCCAACGTCCTCATCATTGAACATGATGTCCTTCATGTCAGCTTTATGCATCTCGAACATAGTTTCAAAGTTTTTGTTAAGAATGCGTTCAGTAAACGCAATCACCTCATCATAAGGCGTGGAGCCAGTCTCCAGGCTGATGTTCAGCCTTGACTGGTGGTCAGCGTCAGTCTCGTTGGAGGCCATCTTTCACAATATAATAGTTATAATTTTCGTCAAAGCTCGGAACGATGGGGATGGTTGATACTTTGAGCAATGTCGAAACAGCATTCTTTTGTGTGATTCTCAATACTAACGTCCTGGACCGAAACCCAAATATCGCTGTTTATAACTGCCAGGTGTTAATAGGTAACATCGCTACTTTGCAGTGCATTCGAAATTGGCTAAGCCTGCATTCATCACATCATGCTTGTCGAGTGAGCACATTAGCAGCCAACCGCTTATCGTTATCCACCGAATTCTAGTGGGCTGCGGATCGTGACCCTCTGCTCCATGTATGTACTTACTCTTTGCGGCACGCCTCTAGAGACCCGCACGCCATTCAGCTACTGACTCCCAACTGTGGCTTGGGGTAGGGTTGGGGCCCGACCGAGGTGCGCCCCACTCTAAGGGGGACTTCAAGATCTAGGTTTACCCTGGGGCATTGTAGTTGGTCCCATTCAGCCATATTCATGCCAGTGTTTCTCAAAACATCGTTCAGCTTCAATCTAGTCAACGCCCCTCGCACCCTAATTCCACGACCGATATGTGATATTGTGATACATTGTGCATGTACCTACACACTACCAATGCTTCTAGATGTCACATTGTGCTACCAAGTCAGACAACATTGATTTGAGTAGGGTGGTTGCAGAAATGGGGAAACACGCCCTGGGAGAGCGTAGATTTGGCATTCCCCGTTGCTTCCTTGTGGAAATATGCAGGTAAGTTATGATTGGACCGTGACTTTCATCTTTGAGAACAGCGGGACCAATGAACCTGCCCTGCATGGACCCTGTATAACTGAAAGACATCTCAAGCGTGAAATAAGTCGAACAACTCTTGTCACAGATCACCAGCCCTTCGAACAACAGGAATTGCCTTATATCTTCATTTGGTTAATCATTATTCCAACAATCATCTTCAGGATAAAAATAAAAACAACTATAAAAAATAAAAACAAACATAAAAATAAAACGCGATGACTACTCAAGCGAGCTCCGACATACTCTGCGAGCTTTTCACGGATATCTTTAATGAGGAGGGGGACGTCAATATTGCCACGTTGGCGGTACGACAGACAAAGACCCTGAAGAGCGCCATCAGCGTTCTACGCAAGGAAAAACTGACGTTATTTCGGAGCCCTTCCGCGGGATCTATCCTAAATGTGATGGACTCCATTGTCGACATCTCTAATGAAAATCTCGAACTGCTTCGCGCAATTGGGGCCGAGTTCCAAACCAAGACGTTAAGCGATATTGCGAGGCTCTATCTCGATACATCATACCTTTCAGGAGGAACCATCTCTGGTCTTGATAGAGTCAAGTGGGAGCGTGAACTATTTCGGCTCGAGCCAACTGCTGTTCTGTACAATCTTGTGGCTTCAGGAGATATTCCCGTGGCATCGGAAGCTAAGGCTGAGACCGAGAGACTTCTCCTTACTGCCGTTCGGGAGAAGGTTGATTTGTCGGCTCACCCTTTACGAAGGCTGACCGACATTGCATCTTACAAGTCCCCTCCCATTTCTACCTCAGTCAGCCCAGATGTACTCGAGACCTCTATCGAAACCATTGAGACCATACAGCGTCTACAAGCTGTGGTATTGAACCCGCGTCACATAGGCCCTCTTATCACAAATGGACTGCTCTCCGCGAGGGCTATCTCCTCCATGGAGGCAGAGGCTTTTGCAGATCGCTTGGAGAGCCATATTCCTCACAGTGATGCCATCCAGATACATGATAATGCTTTCACCATCACGACCCGCAATGAGCAGACTTGGGTCGAGTTTTTGAGATCCAAAAGTGAATCGTTGCTTCCGGCTACGCGCACGAAAGATTCAGAAGTTCCAGAAATCGAGACCAAAGACGATAATGAAACCGATATTAACTTCTCTACACTTTTTGGCTCTCACAGCGATTTTGGCAACATGGGTTCCGAATCAGTGCTCAGTCCAGCGGCATATCTTGTCGAACTTCTCAATACGCTGCGAAGCCATGTTATTTCCCAAACCCACAACACGACTCTGCTAGACAAGCTCCAGGAACGCCGTGGTGACCTGCGATGGTTGCAGCTTACTGACGAAAACACGACCACAACCATTCCCTACCTCGATCTTGCTAACGAGGTCATGGAATGCTACTTGGTCAGTAAGCATGGAGCCCAATTGGGAAATGGATACCCCAAAGCATTGGAGAAGCTTTGCGCCGAAGCTGAGAATGCGAATGCTTCGTTAGTGGAGCCCTCCAACATTCAGATGAATGTCTACAGCAAGCTCATTCAGTCGGTGGTTGCTCCTCTCCATAAGTTCCCATATAACTATGGTATTGATTTTGTGAAGACGGCCCTCGAGCCGATGGGTATGGACATTTACGATCTTTTTACCGACTTCATGTCAGGTCCCCGTCACCTCCTCGAAATTCTACCCCCTGGGGCCTTCAAACACTACACTCCTGAACTTATCACTGCTGCCGAGGAATCTCTCCAAAGGGTGGGTTCCGCCCTCATTTTGGGACTCGAGGAGTCTGATTATACTTGCATCACGCACGAGAGCTTCATGTCTCTCAAGCTCCTTCGGGCTGTCCTGCCTGGGAAGAGTACAATAAGCGGCAAGGAATACGAGAATGCAATTGGTTATGACGGCTGTGCAGCATATTGGGGCTATGAAGACGCCAGTGATATGCTCAATATGTCTGAAGGTGGCCTTTCCCTGATCAAGAGCGAGCTATTAGAACGTTGTGGCCTAGAATATGACGAGCTGGTTGAGGTCCTCCAGACTAGCTTTATGAAAGGTCGCACCATCATCACATCATATGATGGATGCTCTTCAATTCCGCAGGACCTGGAAGCACTAAGGCTTCGAGCTTCTGTCTTGGTGAACGCAAATGGTGCTCTCACTGAGTCTATTTGTAGTGATCTACAGAGCTTCATTCGCCTCAGACACCGCCTTAGATGGGATACCAGCACTCTGGATGCGGCACTCTATTCTCTTAGCCAGTCCAAGCCTGCCAGTTTTACTGGCATTGATGCTGGAATGGTCAATGGACTAGCAACCCTCAAGCACTTGAGTGAGCTAAGCAACGTTCCAATTATAGAGATATGCCCTCTGTTTGGTAACATCGATCGTAACGGGACGCAATCACTGTATAGTCGCTTGTGCAAGCGCAGTGGGTTCCGGCTAGCGGATGACGCATTAAGCCTGGAAGCAGCAGAACCTATATCGGCCAAGCACTCTGCTGTAGCCGCATTGTTGGGCGCGTCTGCTACAAAATTGCAAATTGTGTTAAACTCATGTGGGCTGGATGTATCATCCCCGCTGACACTGGAAACCCTTTCGGCTATCTATCGCACGCAGAAGCTTGCGTCTATGTTTGGCATAGAAATGAAGCAGTATAGTTCACTGGTAACTTTATATGGCTTCGATACTCGTACTGCTATCTCAAGCCCGTCATATGTACTGGCCAGCTTGAAACAGTGGAGGATGCTCCAGGAAGCTGGTTTTACCCTCGATCTACTCTGCAAGTTCCTTGGTTGCGACCAGTCGGACCTTTTGAATGACTCCGAAAGACTTTCACAGACAATGTTTGCCGGGATTCAGAGCATCGTATCACAATGGCCTGAGGTAAAAGTTGGAAATACGTATACAGAAGCCGATGTGGCGGCCGCAGCGGCAGCCATCGATAGGGAACGATCTACCGAGCTGATCGATTATATTGAAGGCAAGTTGAGCCAAAGAATGGCAAGTCCTGTAGTCACTAATCAATAAACTCAGGCAAACAGATTGTCTGCACCACAGTTGAAAGCTCAACGACGACTGTGCAACGAGTTCCTGACACGCTACGAGAGCATCTTTCTATCTTCCGGGACGCAAAGCAGACGAAGGTAACCCTGCGAGGCCTACCAGATGACCAGGTGAAATCGTCAATAGTCGACCTGGAAATGGTAAAAGAAAGAAAGAAACCCTGGAAGACAGTGATTGCCCAATTGGTCGAAAAAGCGCAGCAAATGGGTACTAAAATCGCCGCTTTGATGGGTGATACCACCATAGCTGATAAACTGAAATCTGCGATTTGTCACGACAGACGCATCTCATTTCTACGAGCTGCTCGGAAGAAGATTCGGACGCAGCAGATCGAAGCGCTAGTTGTTGATACTGTACAGCAATCAGTTTCTGGCCTGGACACAATTTCAGTCAAGTCATTGCTATCAGAAGGATCACCAAATTCTCTGGATCGAACTACCAATAGCCTGTTGGAGTTCTGTGCCGGAGGAGCGCTCGTTCCGCCTGTTAATGGTGGCTTTCAGGCCGACGTCAGTGCGCTCACTCGCAACATTCAGCGCATAGAAGGAATTCTCACCCAACTTGACATAACACCCAAAGAGCTACGGGTCCTTCTACCGTGTCACAAGTTGGAAAGCTCATTTGAACTGGACTCTATAGTGATGCTCGTTCATTATACGAAGCTACGAGCTTCACTGTCACCTTCCCAAGCATCTGCCTGTATCACCCTTTTCGAATCCCAAACAGAAGCCAATTCGAACCCCACAAACGCAGTCAAACGAATCGCCAATGCCACTGGATGGTGTTTCTCTACCCTAAACACCATTTTCAATTCTAGGTATCCTATTTCTGCAGATTCCGAGGCCGAAACAGCATCTAGAAGTCCAATCAAGTTATTGCAGATACAACGTGTTCTTGCGGCGTGTACCAAGCTTGACATCATGGATGCGCAGATCAATGAACTGTTCGGCTATTTAAATGACATAGGAACCGCAGACAAAGCGTTTTCCTTCGCAGAATTGCTACGCCAAAAAGTCAAGGCTCGTTGCTCTGAAACACCAGCCAGCGCCCTAGGAAGCACTCAGACTGGCATGAATAGACTGAAAGAGCGGCGTCGCTCGGCCCTGACTGACTATCTCCTAATGGACGATGACTTGCAGCTCCTTCGACTTGCGTCAGCCGATGATCTCTATGACTACTTCCTCATTGATGTCAAGATGGGTGCTGAGATGGAAACGTCACGAATTCGTCAGGCCATCTCTACCATCCAGCTGTTTATGCAGAGGTGTTTCTTGGGAATCGAAGAGAAGTATGGCGTACCTGCCGCCGCCGTCAGAAGTCTAAAGAGTCTCTGGGGCACCCTCGGACGCTTTACTACCTGGGAAGCTAACCGGCGAGTATTCCTCTTCCCTGAAAACTGGATTGACCCGACTCTCCGTGACACCAAAACAGAGCCCTTCAAGGCTCTTGAGGCTTCTATTCTACAAGGGGATCTAACGGAAGAGTTTATCTCGAATGCGATCAAGTCATATGTCTATACAGTTCAGCCTATCGCCCATCTGGATGTCCAGGCATACCTCTGGGATAAAGGCGACAATGACCGCGCTCGTTTCCACTTTTTTGCCCGAACCCGTACAGAGCCGCATCAGTATTTTTACCGGTGTCTTGAACTCGAGCCATTTGGTAAACTTGAACTGTTACCGTACTGGTACCCTTGGACCACCCTCGACATCGGCACGCCGCCGCAAGCTGTCGACAACACCGGGGAAGCACAACCGAAGCCTGGCGCTTACATGATCCCCACACTTGTACGAGGTAGAATCATGCTATTTGTTCCAGAGATCTCGCTTAAGTCGAAGCCATCCGAGGAATTCGCCACCCAGAGCATTACGACCATGGCCACCATGCCGCTCAACACGGCACAGCCGACCACCAAATACTGGGAAATCAAGATGGCGTGGATGGAGTTAAGAGACTCTAAGTGGTCTCCGCGTGTTGTATCACCCGATTCCCTAGTGGTTGAAGAGACAGCGAAGGATCCCCTTCCAGCCATTTCGGCGTTTCGCTTCCGGGTACGGGCTCGCTCGGCGATGGACACGAGAACGGACCTGGCAGCAAAGTTTGCCACAGGTGTCGATGGCATTCTTGTGTTAGATATCGAAAGCTGGCGCAAAATTAACAATGTTATTGAGCCTCGTTATCTGGGCCAGTTTGAGATGCGAGGAACTGAGCTATATCGGACTCAGAATCTCGAGCCTGTATTTGATCAAGACTTGGAACCGACAACTTTGCCTACTAGATTCTCCAAGCTAGATTGGACAGTGGCTGATAGGCACACTCGCCAAGTTCCTGGTCAACAATTTCCGTCTTACGAACTCCAGTATAGAAAGAAAGAGTCAGGCTCGGACACAACGAAAGCTTGCATGAAACAGCCTCTTCTTGTTAAAATCGGCGAGGACCCTAAAGACCCCCAGGATCTAAGCTGGACACTCACGTTTGACGATACACAGTCTTCACGACCTCTAGGATTATTAGTAGACGTTAAGAAAGCATCCAGTGGCGCTCAAACATTCTTCGCCCGGCCACGCACCAAGGAGCTCGAGAATGAAGGAGAAGATATCTTATCAGCAGTTGACGTCTTTCCTTTCCACCACACCTTCTCGAGCAACCTCCTCGACGCGGCTGTCACAGAGCCATCAGTGGCAGGAATCTACAGGGCAATCAGCACTCGAGAAGGTGACTCGAACGCTTTTGGACTTTACGCAGACAAACTCTATCATGAATTGTTTGACGCTTATTCAGTATACAACTGGGAATTAGGCGTGCATACCATTTCGCTGCTGATGTTTATTGGCCAGACAGCAGTTTGATCTTGCCCTCCAAGTTGCCCACCTCTTATTCGACCCTACAAAGAATCCCGACAAGCCTAGCAATTGTTGGTCATTTCCCCCTTTCAGAGATATCAAGGCGATAAAGGGCCAATCAATCCGTTCAATTTTGACGTCGCTGGCGCGGAAGGAGTCCAAGCTCTCGTATACTGACGTTGCAATTGCTGAGTGGAAAAAGAACGCTTTCAACGCACACAGTATCGCAAGAGGGAGGCCTGCGGCGTATATGCGACGTGTAGCTCAGAAATACGTCGAGACACTCATTGCAGCGGGTGATGCCAACTTCAGACAAGCCACTATGGAGAGCATCCCCATGGCTATCCAACGCTACATCGAAGCGGCACATGTCCTTGGTCCACGACCAGTCCAAGTCAAGAGCATCGGTAAGAGGAAACCGCTCACGTTCAATGGGCTCATTAATAAGGGTAAACTTGACACCTTCTCTAACGTAGCCATCGATATGGAACTCGAGTTTCCTTATTCATGCCTACAACATGGACAAGGAGGAAACAAGTCCCAGCCAGGCTCTTCGAAGGCAAAGAAAGGCCTGCTGGGCTTCCTTGCAACAACATACTTCTACATTCCAACAAACCCGCAACTTACAGCGCTATGGGATCTCATTGGTGATCGCCTGAGTAAGTTGCGAAGCTGCCAGGACATCAACGGTATGGCCCTCCGCTTGCCGCTCTTCGATCCGCCCGTTGATCCAGGTATGCTTGTCAATGCTGCTGCTGCTGGAAATGCTGGTGTTTCCACTGTGATGGGAGAACTGGACTCTCCTCTTCCGAACTACCGCTTCATTTATTTGGTCGGGAAGGCTGTTGAGATGGTCAACCAGTTAAGCAGCTTGACGGACATGTTTCTTTCTGCCAAAGAAAAGGGGGATTCAGAAGCCTTTTCTCAATTGAAAGCTCACCAGGAATCCGTGATGCAGGCTTTATACCGTGAACAGAAACTTCTACAGAAAGAGGAGGCGGAGAAAAGTATCGCTGCGCTCCGAGATCTGCGACAGAACCACGAAAGCCGCCTTACATACTACCTTCGCTTGATTGGTGAAGATCCCAATACCATGATCCCAGACAAAGACACCAAATGGACTGATATCGAGCAAGCAATAAGCTCACCATCCAAGGATGATCTTCGCATGTCTAGAGAAGAGAAGCTTGAGTTCGAAAAGTCCCAAGAGGCAGCGGGTCTGTCTTTCACTGCAACAATCTTGGATACCACGGCATCGACACTGATGGCGCTTCCCAACCTCATGACGCAAACACAACCAATGGGTGTCGGCGTTTCTCTTAAAGTCGACGCAGAGAACATAGCTAAGTGCATGGGGGGTATGTCCACAGTCATGAAGCTCAGGGCTCAGATGTGTGAGATGGAAGGTGGTCGTGCCTCGCGGCGAGGAGGCCTCATCAAGCAGTTGCAAGATAGGCGCGCCCAAGCGAATATGGCAGGACGGGAGATCAAACAGGTCGACAAACAGATCGAGTCAGCTCTAGTACGAGTTCGCATCTCCGAAGCCGATATCAAGGCACAACAAGAGAGTATCCAGCAAGCGGCAGCGACAGAGGCATGGTACAAGTCGAAGTACACGAATGCGGCCCTCTACGCATGGATGGAAAACACAACCCGAGCGTTGTGCTTTGATGCTTATGGACTAGCAATGGACCTGGCTCGAAAGGCAGAGAAAGCTTTCCAGTTTGAAAGAGGGCCACACAAAGCTGCCACGTCCGAATTCATAAGCAGCAAAGGGTACTGGAACAACGGCCATGATGGTCTTCTAGGGGCACAGACTCTACTTCTAGACTTGCGCCGCATGGAGGCTGCGTATATGGAGTGCTCTCCGTTTGACTTTCAGATCCAGAAGAATGTTTCTCTTCGTCAGATTAGTCCCCTTGCACTGATGAACTTGAGAATGACTGGCGTTGCCGTCTTCTCTGTCCCAGAGTCTCTGTACGATCTCGACTTTCCTGGCCACTACTTCCGGCGTCTCAAATCTGTCGCTGTCAGTATTCCCTGCGTCACAGGCCCATACGCAAGCCTCAATTGCACACTCAGCCTCCTAGAACACAGCTATCGTATAAGCCCACTGGCATCAAGTGGAGACTATATACGCCGAGAAAGTGATGATCGCTTCCGCACCGATCGCATACCCGTCAGTTCGATTGCTCTCAGTCAACGTAGTGCCGATAGTGGTGTCTTTGAACTCAACTTCAACAGTGAGCGATATCTGCCTTTCGAAAATGCGGGTGCCATTAGCACATGGAAACTAGAGTTGCCGCAACATGTCCGCCAATTCTCCTATGAAACCATCAGCGATGTTATTCTGCACCTCAAGTACACATCACGCCAGGGAGGAGCGCAGCTCCGCACCTCAGCTGTGGATGCTGTGAGTCGCCTAATGGCCGCTGCCGATGGTGTTAGCGAGAGTGATGGATTGTTTGCTCTGATTGACGTCGCTAGTGATTTCGCAAACGCTTGGGCATTAGCTCAATCTCAAGCTCAGACTGGACAAGCTGGCGATCTCCTGGTTTCTATAGGCGACATTGGCGTGGTGCTACCCTACTGGTCCGTCGGCTACGCCGTTAAGATCCAGTCTGTCACACTCATCTCGCGCTGTAGTTCAGAGGTCGGCGCTAGCTTCTCTGTCGACTTGCTCTATGGCAAAAATAATGAAAGAAGCTTTGGGGACAATGTCAGCCGTAATGATGGCTGGGATGTTCGTGAGATCTCGAATCTTGATGCTGACGTCGCCAATTGGGGGCTACGATTGAAGCGCAAGAATCAGGGCGGGGATCTAAAACTCGCATCGGTTAAAACCATGTACTTAATCATGCAGTACACGAGGACACAGCAATTGTCTAGAGTTTGAGCGTAAGGTAGAATTCGTGGTGGTGAGGGGAATGAAAACATGATAATTCAGTATTTATTCCATCCTATGTACTCATTATGTGTTGAAAAAAAAGAGCAAGTCTCGTACTTTATAGCATGCCAAGGTGTGTATATATTATATGCTTCAGTAATCTGCAAGGTATATAGTTCAAAAGATTTCATTATGGAGTAGTATTAGCTGCTTTGCCTCGATGTTCTTCAAAATAGCAGTCCTTCTCTTGGTCAATCGAATATCTATGTTGGGTCACTAGCCTCGTCATTATGTAATTAATGCCACTATAAAAAAAGCCTTTTAAGATGAGAGCCAAGCCTTTTTGAACTTCAACCTTATTTATTACAGCCTTGTACAGAGAAATCCCGTTCGGTATGTATAATCTCAACCCAGATGACACTACTTACTCACACCCTTTATGCAGTCCACGACAGCACATTACTTCATCGAAATGGCGGTCTCTCCCGAAGCCGCTGCCATTATCCAGCGTAAGAAGGCGCAATACTGTCGTTTCGCCGACTCCAATCAATGGAACCGCTTCGACAGCATCATGCTTCCCAACGCGACGTTTCTCTTCCACAATCCAGATGGCAGTGTGATTACAAAGGGAGACATTGAGTACTCGTGGTCATCTACAAAAGATTGGGTAGCGTTCTTCGAGAATGAGTTCAAGACGATGCAGACGATTCATATTGTTGGACCAGCGGAGATGGAACAGATTGCACCTGATGAGATCAAGGCTATCTGGGCTGTTACGTATCATGCTGGGACGAAGGAACATGAGGGTGGTGTTCATGGAACAGGCGGTGGGCATTATCACGAGACGTGGAAGAAGGTTGGTGATGACTGGTTTATGGAGAGTTTGAGGATGGAAAGACTTTACTGGAAGGTATTGAGCGTTTAATCAGCTAATTCAAGACGACTACATATATCTACATTTATGACGAGCCGTTCACTCCGTTTGTGCCATTTGCCTTTTTGGCTTCAGAGGCATCCTCAGCATCAACGCCTCTATACTCGAAGTACTCACTCCATTCGCGATCATTGATCAAATCCTGAGCAAGTCTCTTCTCATAGAAGATGGCAAACTCGCATCCCTCATCTGACTCAGGTGATGGGTCGCGAGGTGGGTACACAATGATAACGCCCTCAGTGATACGATCGAGTAGGTGACGGTACGTAGCTGGCTTTGCGAAGCCAAAGTCTGCCGAAGTGATGTTTGCATCGCGATGGTCTGTCTGAAGAATAGATAGAGGAGGCTGCGCATCAACTCGTGTGTTCAGCGACGTTTTGTCGCGAATGGTAGCCACCATCTCGAGCGTCTTATCAAGGTTCTCTTGCGTGACGCTGTTGGTCAAGCGACGGATGTACGATGCCAACTCTGACAGCGACCACTCCGACATTATCTGTGCAACAGTTGGTTGCGTAACAGGCGCAGTGGGAGACGTCACAGCGAACATGACATTGTGCTGGATGCGCGGTGGCACCTTTGGGCTGTGCATTCGTCGTCTCATATCAATCGCCTCACACCAGTATAAAGTCGAGTTCGGATCGGGGTTGAAGACGGGTGCTCGGATACGCGTGAGGTTACGCCAGATGAAGGCTGAGAAGGCATCGTATGTCGAGATCCATGTTCCGTCGGTGGGAGTGGCCTTGGCTTTGAGCTCGGCTGCTTTGCTCTTGGGGAGGTGGAAGAGCAGAGACACGCCGACTTGATGGGCGGGATGGCGCTCTGGTGGAGCTGGGCCATCGATCTTTTGATCTTCTGGGGGTTCCTGCTTGATGAGGCGCGAGACGTCGAGGTTGAGAGGATCCCAGCTTGGATGCTTGGTACCGTTTACATCAGCGTAGCAGTTCTCAGCTAGCTGATGAACGAAGCCTGCCCAGCCCATTACATCATTGGTATAATGGTGATGATGGATGTTGAAGACAAGACCACCGCGGATGAAGTTGGCTTTGAAGGCTGACACGACAGGTCTGTTGTCAGGATGTGCTTCTGGCTTCTCACCATATGTCATGGGCGGTACACTCCATTGCTCAAGATCCCCAAGCGTCACAGCACTAAAGTTCGTCTTCTCCAGATCCTCAAACGAAGGATACTTATCCGCATCCTCAGGTGCATCAAGCCACTGCACAATGAACCTCACAGTACTATCCCTCGTCTTGGTAAACGAGTGACCACCGCCTGGATCCTTCTCAATGGTCCCACAGTAGTGTCTCGCCTGAGCTAAAGTCCTTTCCAACCCAGCCTTGAGGATCTCAGCGGCTCTTTCTTTCTCCGAGTCCTCTAGCTTGAAGAAGAGGGCGTAGTTGTTGTAGCTGCAGACGGTGAGGTAGTCGAGTGTGGTGACCTTGAAGCGTTCCTCTTCGGGGTCGTTTTCCCAGCCCAGTGGGTGAAGATGGTAGACCTGTTGCTTGGGCATGGCGTGGGGCACGTGGTGGATATGGTGAGATGTGTGTGTGAAAGTATGCGTGATGGGGAAGAGTATGGGTGTGAGATTGAGCTGGATTTATGAGCCTGGTAGCCGAAAGTGGGTTCTTGGCAGTATGATTCTGTGGCCACTTTCTTCTTCTTAGCTGGTTTTTCTAAGAAGCTATCAGCATTAACAGTGAGGGGCTTGCTATACGAAAGAATGGAACCGAGTTTCTGGCTGCATAAGAATTGACGAAAAAGTTGAAACAATAGTATTGGGAACGACCAACACGGTACGTTGTAAAGAAGTGGCCTGATCCTTCAATGCAGCCAAGGCTCTTGAACCGACGCAGCGTTACGGATACCAGGGACCTGGTTCTCCGATAATTATCCAAGGATATGAAGTGCCGATCATCTACAGATTTCTGATGAAGATGTTACCAACAATGCCAAGTCAGCCAAGTTTATGCAACGCCAACAGGGAACCAGGGGTGGAGGAACTTTAAAATCTGGAGCGGGACGTTGTCGGGAGCTAATAAAAAGTCCGCGCCGTCTGCTATGCGAGAGATCAGACGGTAATAGTCTTAGCTTGAGTGCTATTACAGATACCTACGGAGTAGCATGAAAACGAACTGGAATTGAGCTTAGCATAATGTCATGATGAGGGACCCCATGCTTGGGAGTAGTTGTCTTGGCCTGTAGACGGGTGTAACATTTCCGGTAACCGGGTAGTCAGCGTATATGCATCTGTTTAGATTTGTTAAGGATCTGCCCTGCTGGAACAGGTTCGAAGCCATTTGCTGAAGGATTCAAATTGCAGTGACTGATCACATGTTGTTGGTTCACCCCTGCTTGCGTTCTTTTCTCTTGGTGGGTGGGGAACCTGAATCCTTCCGGGTGCCGTTTTCCAGTCCGAGTCGAAATCTTAGACAGTCTCTCGTTTTGTACTCACAAAAGAATCATTTTAATGCTATAGGACTGCTAATCACTCATAGCTTCACTTAGGTTTCTCACAATTAATGCCAGTGACAAAGTAGTTAAACCTCACAAGGCTCGGGCCAAGCCTAGCCAGGAACAGATCATAAACTTAATTGCTCGTTTGACCAAGAAGTGGCATCAGCTTGTAGCCGAGGTTCCACCATATGGAGTTCATTCTCAGCCTAGACAGGGTCATAACCAGGCTTTTCAAAGGCGGCACCAACGTCCCGAGCAAACTTGTGAGAAAACTATCACAAGCTCCCGCCACGAGCCCCTGGAACTTTCAATGTCTAACCCGCTGCAGCCATTGCCATCAGATTCCGATGAGCCAGGATTTCGGAAACTGGTAGCTAGTCTTGGATATGATCGCCAGGAGAACACAGACAGGGACATTAACGCAAACGGATGTTTCAATCAATAACTCAATTACGGCTTGCACCGACAAGACCTTTCAGTAATAAATGACCTTGTAAATAGGCAGTTACCTGCTATAGCATCACGTCCAAAAGCAATTACTGTTTCGCCTCCCGGACCCGAGATACCGGGGTTGAGGCTCGCCACGTTTGGTACTAAACTCTCCTTAACATGGGGTATCAAAGTCTATCCGTAGAATCGTTAAAACTCAGCTTGTTCCTGGACCTCTTGTGCCTGAAGATCAACAGACCTTGTTATTGTCCTGTGCTTTCATCATGGCTACCATTGATCTGGACGGACCGGCCCTTGCGCCCCCAAAGGGCGAGGTGTCGAATCTGAACGACCCTCCGAATCAGAATGGTCTGGCTTATACTGTTCTGATTATCTGTGCGGTTATTACCACGATATGCTTCCTTCTCAGAGCTTATGGGCGAGTTTATCTGCTAAAGAAGTTTCAGACTGAAGAGAGTGAGTAGGGCGCCTGATCCTTCCCGAGTCTTAGCTAACGGAGTTTGAAGTTCTCACGACCTTGGCATATGTATGTTTGATCCTTTGGCAGTGCTTTACATGATCTCTAACAGAACCAAGGGCAACTACTGGGGTGCTGCGTATGCGACGTTCAAGATGGTGGATACGCCTGGATATTTCGTGCATCAATGGAATGTCCGTCTCAAGGATGTAATTCCCACAAACTACGTGAGCATCTCTTCACTCAGGCTATAAAACCATAATAACTGACATATATCAGTGGGTTCTCATCTTTGGAGTCTGCTACTCTTTCGTCCTCCCATTTCTCAAAATCGCGATCCTCGTTGAATGGTGTCGCCTCTTCGTGCCGAAAGGCACACGAACAAAGAGCATCTTTTGGTGGGGGTGCATGATCATTGGGTTCGTGCAGGCTACGTCCAACACCGCTATTGTCGTTGCTCTGAATATGCAGTGCAACCCGCATGAAGCCATCTGGGACTTTAGAATTCCTGGTGCCAAGTGCTGGGATTTGCATAAACTTCAGGTCGCATCTGCTACAATCCACTTGTGCTGCGATATCGCCATCTTTTTGCTACCCCAGCAGGTTATCTGGAAGCTGAAGATGTCTTGGAAGAAGAGGATGGGTGTTTCTGTTATCTTCGGACTTGGTCTACTGTAAGTGCATTTCTTGAGCTCACTAGACAGCTACTAATAGATAAATATAGGGCCTGTGTATCTGCTGCTTTCAGATTGGCTGTTACAGTCAAGTACGGCAAAGCCGCCGATGCTCTCTACGCCCTCGCCCCTCTAGTGTTCTGGGCCACCGCCGAAATGACTTGCGGCTTCTTCATCGTCTGCGTCCCGTGTATCCCCAAGATTCTCAAAGAAACCGGCGTCATCCGCAACATCAAGCGTGCATTCGGCATGAACACCGCCCCGACGAACCCAAACACTGCAGATCGATATGGCAAAAGTGGGACAAAGGGTTCACAGCTTTCCTCTACGGGCCCCAAGTCTTACTACAAGCTAGATGAGGATGGCGTGCCGCTGGGAACACTGAAGGGATCTGAGTCGACGGAGTATCTGCGGGATAATGCCAATAATGGGCAGGGTATCACTCGGACGACGCAGATCAAGATCACGCAGGATAATCGCTCGACAAGCGATTCGGAAGGCCATGCTGCGTTTCCGGCGTCTCAAAAGCCCTGGGGTGTATAGCGCAGGAGTGTTGCCAGTTGACCGATGTTGCATGAACTGTATAAACCGGGTCGAATTATGGCATTACTACTCCGTAAAATGCTGCAGTTGGTGTAAGATTTTGTATCATCTAAAAATAAATATTTGGCTAAGCCTTCAGATACCGAGAGTTAATAATTAAAGAGAAAGTTTTGCATCAGCATTAATGAGTGCTCTCTAGAAATCTGTGAGTACAGCACAAGACTGATGACATAGAATGAGGCCATTCCATGTTACATCGCGCATACCGAGGCGCAGGATACGTCTGATCGTCGTGTAAAAATCCCTATTTGACCAAGAACGAGAAATCCTTGGCAAGGAGACGAGAAAAGAAATCGTAATGCAAAGCAGTCATGATATGATGTTGGTCCTCGCTACGAGCCAAGTCTCATCAA